TGCACCCTTATTGACATCCAATGTCTTCAACCTAGCCAAAACTTCATCTTTAGAAAATTGAACATTCGTAAGTCCATAGCCTAAGCTTGATGGCAATAAGTACCTTGCCACATAATTATTATCCAACAGTGTTTGAGTATCTGACCCATAAATAGACGCAAAGTAATTAGAGAACATTTCACAAATCTCAAATCCATCTGTACTGGAATCAACGCCATTGGAAACTTCGGCCGGAAATGAACTACCTTTATTCCGTTTACTTTTAATAAATGACCAAAACTGTTTCGGATCTTGTTGTATCTTTTTTTCACTATTATTTAAAAAAGTTTTGTAACAGTCTGTGGTCATTTTTTTACATCTCTTACTTATAATATCTAGTTCTATTTTATCCCTTGGATTTTTGTATTTTTTTAAAAGTTTGTACTTTTCTTTATAGCGATTTATTAAACTATTGCTAAACCAACACGGATACTTGTTTTTCTTATGTTTGTATTTCGGCACAAAACGAATCAGGACATCCTCAATTATATTGTAAAAAATAGCCACTAAATCATTAACAGAGCCAAGATTTTCAAACTTTTCATTCCAATCAATACTCTGAAGATATCCATTGATAGATTCGTAATCCGCTCTGTGGAAATTATATCTTATATTATTTGTGTTATTATTTAGTGTTTTAGATATTCCGGTAGAAATAACGATTTCCAATGGCGGATGAAGCAGATCAATTCTACTAAGAGGTGCAGCTGCCCTATTGACTTCGCAATGGGAGAAGTCAACCAGAACAAGATCAAGTATATTGTTTCGAATATTGACAACATTGTTGCACTGATGAAAATTATTAATTCTACAAAAATCTAGCATTAATTGGTCTCTGGCAGATAAACGATATCCAATAGCAGAATTATCTATAGCCTTCCAGTCGATGCTGCCCAAGTTAAAATCGCCAAATATACAAGTATGCATATCATGGATTTCAGATACTCTATTGCAATTTGTTAAGAATTTATCCAGTAACATTCTATCAACAGGAGGCGGGAGATACAATGCGCATAAGGCGATTTGATGGATTGAATCAGAAATAGAAACATTAATAACAACCCATAGGTCTTCACAGCTAATCTCCCATGACTTTTTTCGGTGGGATACAAGCTCTTTCGTGACAGCAATAGCAACACCACCTCCCTCACTCTTAGAACTATTACTAGTCTGGCGATCACGTCTATATACAACATACCTATCACAAAAAAGTTCCGAACTGTCTATACCATCGTTTAACCAGGTTTCAGTTAATACAATAATGTCCGTGTTACAATTTAACACATTTAAATAGAAATCCTGTGTTTTGGTTTTAAGCCCACGGACATTTTGATACAATATATTAATCGATGAGAATTTTAAAGTTGTACAAACTACTACATGACCTAAAATAATACTATAAAATTTACACTAACTTATTTATACAGTCTATGCTCTTTATTAGATTGTAGTTAGCTCCATCATCCTTCCGCACAAATATTCTTCCATCACGTACCCAAACATACTTATAGTTCAAAGCCTTCGCTCTGGACCGCGCTGCAGCGTGAAGTGCCTTATTAGCAGGTGAGAGATGTTCTGTTATATAAATGGGTCGTTTTATGTTACTTATTTCAGCGGATACAGTGTTGAGTTTATCGTGTGGATTAGACTTGTTAAACTTAATTGCAGCAGCCATAAAACTATCGCGAGTTTTTATATAGATATTGTTGTAGTTTTAGACGTTTTATGAGCATATTGCTTTGTAACAATTTAGCCTACAACCTATTTTTTTTAAATATTATAAGTTAAATAGTGTGTGTATTGAACAGTGAACCAGGTTCGCATAGTACACAGTGAACCGGTTCACTGTGTACCTTATGATCCTGGTTCACCGTTCAATGACAGTGTTATGCTGAAAATCAATAATATTTTTGATTCTTTTAGGATCCCAAGGCCAAGAAATAAGGAAAGGAAAATTGGAAAACACAAGAAAGACGATATGATGTCAGCATTACTAATGGTAGAAAATGGTAGCTCCATTAGGACGGCGGCAAAAACCAGTAAATAGTTATACCAGATGAAGACAGTGAAACCAGTGAAGGTGAAGATATAATTCTTGAAAGTGAAACGGACCTAGAATCGGATGAGGAAGTGACCAAGAATATGAAATTATTGATGAAAATTTTCCTTATTTACAGCGTAAACTAATTATTAACGAATACGTCCTAGTCTTGCTGCAATCTAAAAAACGGACTGTTTATTACGTTGCAAAGATTCTGGAAATAGAAACTGACGATAAATATTGCGTTTCGTACCTAAAATTAAAAGATCGTCTGAATAAAACCTTTATGTTTCCTCTAGAACCCGATATGGCTAATATGAAACTCAGTGACATTAAAATGATTCTCCCTCCTCCTTGTGTGTCCGGTACAAAACGTCTAATTAAATATTCCTTCAATATAAACTTATCTTTACTAAATATGGCGTAAATATTTACTTTGACGCATTTTGATGTATTTTTTTCGTGATTCTTTATTTAGTCAGTAAATTAATGAAGACTGTTAATTGTACTATTTGAAGAAGGCTGATTGTTAATTTTATCCAGAGGTTTATATGATAACTTAGCGTTATTAAGAAGTTAACTGCTGTGAAGAAAACTATACGAAACCATTATAATTGATATGTTATGTTTATTTTTTGTTTACCCAGTTCTTGCTTCAACTGGTAGGTAATTAAATGAAGACTGATTTTATTATTATTATTACCATAGAGAAAGCACTGAAAACCAAAATTTTTTTGTTATTAGAAGTAATATTTTTTTATTGTATTTTGTACAACAAAAATAAAAGACAAAATCAAAATTTTTAAGGATTTTTACTGGTAACGAAATTGTGGTTCACTGTTGAAATACAGGTGGTTCAGTGTATACTACCTATAGTACACAGTGAGCCAATTCTTTATTTTTGTTTTAAACTTCATTTACGGTCTTTATTCGTTTCTCTGGCTTTCTGTAACTTGAATATGAGAAACTGTATAAAATTGCCTAAATCATGACACCAAAACGAAATTCTTAACTTTAATTTCTAACAAGTTATATGACTTAGAAAAAAGGTTGGTTCACTGTTCAACAACGCACCCTATATTGTTTTGCAAAAATATAGTTATTATAATAGAAACTGTTCAGTTAGTAATAATATTACCAGGTTGGGTATTTTTTTTTCTTTTTGGTTAACATTTTTGAAAAAAAGTGAAATTTGTTTAAAAAAAATTGGGTATTTTTTTTCTAAATATATATAATTGTTTTAAAACTTGTCAAGTCTATTAAGATATATATTTACAATAAAGTATGTTAATTAAGGTACACAAAATACAGAGGATGGAATAAAGAGAAATAAAAATGTTGAAACAGAATGTCCACTTTTCATAATGGCACATTACAGAAGGTAGTGAAAAAATAAAGTTTTTGATTCAATAAAAACTGTCTATCGTACCAATCTAGAAAAAAAATTGTTGTTAAGGTAAACCTGGCAAGCCTGATTTTTAAATAACACTAAGAACAAATGAAATCTTTGAAATAACGTACCTAATAACTATGACTTCCACATTGTTCCTCATCATTTTTTATATTGCGATCCACGAAAAAGCCAAACGTTACGTAAAAATCTTGCGACCCCATCATTACAAACTTATAACAATATTTTAATGAATAATTAATCCTTTTCTTGTATCCATTACTACTTTAATAATAGGCGGTGTAAATGACAACCCAAAAAAAAATATAATCGAATTTTTTTTTTTTTTATACCACTGAGGTGGCAAACAAGCATACGGCCCACCTGATGGTAAGCGGTTACCGTAGCCTATGAACGCCTGCAATACCAGAGGTATTACGCGCGCGTTGCCGACCCTGAAGAAACCTCTTTACCCCCTTTTGAAGAACCCCATGCTGTAGTCTCTCGGGAAAACCTCGGCAGGGAGCTCATTCCATAACCTGAGTGTTCGTGGGAGAAAGCATCTCTGAAACCGCGTTGTACGCGACCATTTAGGCTGTAAGGTATGAGGGTGAACTCCCTGCCGATGGCGAGCCGTACGATGATAGAAAGTGGCCGTAGGCATCATATTGAATAATTCCTCTGAGCACAATTTTTCGAAGTCTTAATATTTTTTAACAGACTGCGATCCAAAAGGGGTCTCGGCACTTCGGTTGAAATACGATGCCCTAACATATTCAAAGTATTTTTGTAAAGACTTAAATTGGAGTATAAACGGTAATATTAGCAGCGATTAGTACTTACTTCATAGGAAAGTAGAAGAGATACGTAACATTGTGATTACTTGCTCAATGAGTATCTTATTTACATTTTCTTTTAGTCGTGTTTTGTTATTTAAGTAGCATCTTTTGCTTTATAGATGCCATTGACTATATTTAAACAGAAGAATGTTATAAATAATTATATCTATCACATTATGAATATATATTTATTTTATTTTACCGACATCTCCATTCATTCTTGCTCGATAAATCTCTTTTGTAATTCTTCTTTCATCCATCCTCTCCAAATAACCAAACCAACGCAACATTCCTTTTTCGATTTTTGTCACTACATCGTCTTTCAGTCCACACTTCTCTCTAATCACACGTATGTCGACCAAATAGGCGACGTGCTGAAGAAGGGCCAAATTAAAAGTACTCGTAACCGGCAAGCGTGTATGAAAAGATTGATGAATGTGGAAGAAGCGAAAGAGGTTTGTTTGAATCGAAGCATTTGGCGTTCCATTGTTTCTGTCTACCCTAAAGGGAGACGGGCGTGACAGATATGTGTGTATGTATATTTATTTTCTTGTGGTAAGTACTTATAGTTTATGTCATGATTTCCATCGATATCGACATTTTGGGCAGACATATTATATATAAATATATATAAATGAGATCTAGTAATATTACCCTAGATCTATCCCCCATTTTAAGGTTACGCAATAAATAAAGTGCAATAATTTATTTATATAAATAACATTATATTATTATTAATAAATTATAATAAATAGCGTACATTTATGGCTATCTATAAATTTTTGTAGTATAATATATAATTTCTTGGCTAGTGAATATTATTATGGAATTATGTATGGCTAATAGTTAATATATCTTGCGATTTTTTATTAAAACTCATAAACATAAAAACAAGAATTCCTATTAAATTTGAATTTGTTTCTGAAATATTAATATAATACAATATTATAAGGATCAGCAACTAGGAACAAAATTATTATAATGTCTTTAAGTAAATATATTTTAAATTTGTGGGTAGGCACTACCAATAAAATTTTTACTACGATACCGGTAAGAATGAGTAATAATATTAACATCTTTACCAGCAAGTTTAAGATAACAATCATTATCAGTTCGAGTAACAAAACATAGAGTGTATAATGCAATTTCTAATTCCGGGGAAGTACCGATGAACATGCTGTCGACGGGCTTATCGACTCCTTGTTGAGTGAAGTGAAGTTTTAGAACCGTTCCTTTCTGTAAAAAGTTATAATAATAACAATTAGATATAACCACTAAATAAAAAGGAATTTGTTTTGTATTCTGTAGAATATTGTTTAATCGTTTATTTTTTATACAGAAATATGTACTTTTGACTTTTAATGCCTTATAACGTCTGGTTTGGGATAATGGTCTTTTATCAAAATTGTCCTCATACAGACACCCTGAGGAATAATGTAAATGGTTCGCCAGCTTACTATTCTACTCCGGGGTCATGTGTTGCCATTCCTGAGGACTCAGATGTTATTCCTCTGTACCCTGTAAATTCACACCATATTCCATACTTCAAACCGAAACATAGCCATGCAAACACAATTGCTTCACGGTTGAAACACGAATGGGATAGAGGTACCCAAGTAATCGACTTTTGTACAAAGTCTCTCTCTGGTGATTGTGATATCTCTTCCATTTAATAATATTAGAAATAAATTGTTGACTGAAATGACTGCTTGAAAAAACTTTTTAACAGTAACAGTACAGTTAATAGTTTTAAGTAGGCATACTAATTTTGAGTAAGTGTTTTAAAACTTACATCACTTAATTGTGTATATTTGAGATAGCCAAGATAATTCACTCTATTAGCTGCTTCTTCTTTGGAAAAATATATCCAATTATGTAGTCCTAAAATAAGAAGAATTATGAGTATTACTTTCCGGATAAATTTAATAGTGATGAATAACTAATTACTTAATAAAACGAAAACCCCATACCTGATACATCACCATTTTTAAGTTCAGAAACAAATACGTGTTCAAATCCAGAACTACTAATTTTTCCTCTACTCCTAGAATATAGCCCAAACCACAGTTGTTTCAAAAAATCCCTTTGCTGTCTTGGATCGGGTGTAACGTGACCTGTAATAAAGTAGTTATTATAACAAGCCCTTACAATACTATAATTTTTAACATTTCCTTAATGTAAGTGCAGGACCTTTTTCTTTTAAATAGTTCATCAAGTGCCGCATAACTGCTGTTGACATAATTGCGTCCATAAATTCATTTTCTTCATTACGTTCCTGTAAATTAATGACTGCTTATAATATTCAATTTACATTTCTATTATTGTAGGATTTGCCAACTTAAATATCCTAAATAAACATTTTAATGTATAACATATTAAGAAACTTTCAAGCTTAAAGTCTACATGTTGCAGTTATTTTCATTAGTGTTACATGCTATCATTTTTTTTATCAAAATGTATTGGAGACTAATTTGAAGATATTCAAGATAGGGTGCGAATTGGGAAATCTCCATTCAATATAATCAATCAGACTCTATGCATTTTTGCGTAGTTTGTTTTCTTTGACAGGAAGATCGGTCGGCACATCAATTGTCGAGGCAGGTGCACACTGGGTAGTTAATAACTTTTTCTCACAGATCTTGTTATCTGCCAACAAATATATGTCCCTTCGCTGGAATAAGACGTATTGTGACTATGATACTTATAGCTGTATGTAATGCATGCGAAATGTCTACTTAATAATTGGAGAGATTATATTTTCTTTGTACATAACATTAGCTATTTATCAGTTACTAGCTTCTTCTCGCGATTTTGCTTGCATGAATCGGTCAGTATATAAAGTATCCTAAGTTAGGATATAATCTACTTATAAACCAAATTTAATTTTTTTTATACAACTTAGAATGGCAAGCAAGCTGACGGTCCACCTGATAGAAAGTGGTAACTGTCGTCTATAGACATGAGCAGTACCATGGACATAACAGAGTATACTGTTTCACCCACGATATCCCCCATGCGTTGCCTTAAATCCCTTTAGTAGCTTTCGCGTGAAAGAGTAACAAACATCCATGTAACTATCCTTACAAATTTTCGTATTTATAATATAAATACATAAATTACATAGGCGTGTGTATAAGCATGATAGTGAATAAAATAATGATATGTACTCGTATTAAAATTGAAAATGATTTTTACACAGGATAAAAGGTAAATAAAGTCATGTTCATTATAATACATTCTATAAATAGCGTCTAATATATTTAAAAAATATAGTTACTGAGAGGGTTTTCGTGTTATAAGAGTATTGATAATATAGGTTGTAGGTTAGATTTGTTTGATAGCTTCTTATTTAAAATATTAAGCACAAATAGTTTACATATGTCCGGGTCTGGCATATTAATACTGCAATTTCCTTAAATAAACGAGAATCTATATATTATCACAATTCTTGCCCTATAAACGTAAATAATAAATTATTGTCAAGTTTAATGCTGTACAGGATAACCTTAACTTACCCACAAATAAATTTAATTGGGTATTAAACAACCAAAATCATTCAGTTGTGTTTGCACGGCTCTGTTTCGGTTTGAAGGGTGGGATATGGCGTGAATTTACAGGGTACAGAGGAATAACACGCGAGTCCTCGGAATGGCAACGCATGGAGGGTATCATGGGCGAAACAGTATACTCTGTTATATTCACGGTACTGTACATGTCTATAGCCGACGGTTACCACTTTTAGTCAGGTAGGTCGTCAGCTTGTTTGTCATTTTAAGTTGCATAAAAGAACATACTAAGTATACATATGTGCTCTGCGTGAGACAGTTTATTATGGAAACTAAAATACTATTAAATTCAAAAACAATGCAAATGAATTCTAGATAAATAAAAGTAGTGGCTATTTAATGTTTTTCTTTTTATTACCACAATGACTCACCTGTGGTGTTACATGTTCGTTTACCAAAGTATCTCTTTCATAATTATCTAATAAGGGAAGTATTTTTTGGACTGTTGGTATATTCCATGCTTCATCTGCGATAGTGAGTAATCTGTAAACAATTTAAGTAAACGTTATCTTGCAAGTGTAATCAAAATGATTACCAATCAATTTAAAAGAAGCACATAATATGTCAACCACACTTGCGTCCCATTATATTTGTGTCTATTCGAGAACGTTTATTTTTGGTTATTGACATACAAAGCTTTGATGACATGATTTTCGATTGGCTTACAAGATATTTTATTATTATTGTTATTTCAGCCGTTCCCAAAGAGGGTTGACGTCAGGCAGGTGGCCGGTCGTAAAACTAAAAACCAAATCTTTTTGTAATATGGATAAAATCATATTACGCCGACCCCAAATGATTGGGATAAAGGTAAGAAGATGATGATGTTATTTCAGCCGTTAACTACCCACTGTTGAACATAAATTCCACGCTTGGCAGGAGGGTTGGCAACCGCAGTCAGGATTTGGAGTTGTTTTAAGAGAGACGCCGCTGCCCATACCTCGCCCTAGGGAGAGTCACCTCTTACGGCACCCACGGGAAAGGAAGGGGTGATCTATTCAATGCCGCGGCACACGGCGTACAAGATATTACTAAATAGTAATTACTTACGGTCTAGGTGCTTTATCTTCTTTAGACTGGCCCGTAGTTTTTTCTTGATAATTAACAGTAATATATTTCGCAGCATTATTACTATCTTTTCTTAATAATTCCTCACTTAGTGTTTGCAATTCTGTATCGCTAGGACTATTTTTATTGTTTTGATTGTTATTCAATATTGAGCTCGGTAACACAGGGCTTCCTGCTCGAGTAGTCGTTAACCCATATGTCGGTATAATGGACTGATTAGGTCCTTTGGATGTTGGTTTCGAGGTAGTGCCTGATGTAGATGTATGACCACTGATTATAGCGCTAAAACTAACAGGTTTTGGAGTGAAAACTGTTGATTGTTTTTGCGTTGGTTGGGTAACTGGTTGTAATATTTTAGAAGTAGTTGGCGTTACTTTGTTATTTGTTGATCCTTGTAAAATTGTACTGTAGCTTGGTACTCTCTGTGGACTATTTTCCTTGTCCTTACTATCATAAAAGTTTATTAAATCTTTAACTTTTCCCGATGATTGATGAGTATTCGTTACAGTAGGATTAGAAGATGGATATTGTGGGGCTACATAGTCTCGTTTTCCAGATGACGTCTGATCAGGACGAGTAGATCCCTGTTGAACTTTCTGATTAAATGGCGGCGGTGTAACAGATGGAGATCGTAAAGGAGGAAAGTCTTGCTTTTTCGTAGTCAAAATCACAGTAGGTGGTGATGATGTAACTGACGGTTTTAATGGTGGAAAGTCTTGTTTATTTATTTGAGTATTTTGTGGATTCGACTGTGCCACATAATCCCGTTTCGGTGAAGTTGGCTTCACATTTGATTCATGTAATAAAAAGTCTACATTTTGATTCAATAGTTGTTGCTTATTATATTCTCTTCCTGTAACAACTAAAACAACACGTCTAGGTAAATATAGCTAGACAATATTGTAAATTATTTAGAAGGCAGTTTTGAGGAACAGAAAAAGTTTAAAAAAAGGAATAAAAGGAATACTGTGTATAAACTCTAAAAAATAAATACATAGTTAAAATTATTACGTAATTGAATTATATTAATAATATAATCCGTAATTTCATTCACGTGATTAGAACATGTTCATTAACCAGGATAAAAAGTAGCTTATGTCCTTTTCATCCCAAATATCGTATATGACGCACCAAAATAACAAACAAACAAACTCTCTTTAGAAGTAAAGAAAGATTATAAAAACAGGCTAAAAACAATTATGACATTGCGATGCACTGTCACACTCTAAGATATGCGTATTAATTTGTCTCAGGTTATACCCATCACATAATAAAAAATATATTCTAGGATGATTTACGTGGTAGGTAACTGCTAATGTAGCTTTCTATAGGCGAAAGAATATTTAAAATCGTATTGTATTGTATTGTATTGTAAAATCTTTATTATACATAATTCATATTTAATACAATAAATGATTTAATATACAAGGGCGGACTTATCCCATAAAGGGATCTCTTACAGTCAACCTTTGAGAAGCTGAAAGAAAACTGTAGAATGTATAAGGGTAATAACCTACACTTAAAGATAAACTAAATAATACCCAGTACAAAATTGAATATATAATACAATAAAAACAGCTCTATATACCTACATGTGTAAATAAGAAAAGTACAATCGTTTGAGTAGTTTTTAAGTTTATCCATTACAAACATACAAAAATGTTTCCTTTTTATATTAATATAGAAGTATAGATAATAATTAACTACCTATTTATCCTATTTATTACTTATTTGTTATAGATCAAATATAAATAAGTTTGATCTTAGTTTATTTTTATAATAATAAAAAAATCATCAGAAAAAGAGTTTGTTTCATGACCTCGAAATGTGGATGCAATAGATAGGTAAACAATTTGTGAATTTGTATAATCAGTACAAAATATTTTAAAATATAGTTGTTTAGTTACTAAGTACTTACGTGTTATTTTCCTTATGTACAGTAAATCAAGCAACTGATCACATTTTAAACAAATTATTGCATTTTTGATGGTTTGAATGAATAATACTTAGAAATAATGTTAATGGTTAAAACATTACAAAGATACTTACCTAAACTAAAGTTAAAAATAATTAATATCCCAATTAGCAGATTAAATGTAGACAACATGATTTTAAAGATATTTGTGTTTTTAATGAAGTTGTTTAATTTATTTTCTATTATAAAACAAATATAGATAAGGTCAAAATATTACGATGACACAATTATATTCGCGTTATTAAAGTTAACCTACTACAGGGTCACTAAGATACGAGAACTAGTAAAGCAACTGACTAGTGACTGAATAGTACGTATAGATCAGAAGTAGAAGTGATTCCACGTCTCGCTCATCTTTCGCGACTACGTATTTAGTTTATGATTGAATGAACGGATAATTCAATAAGAATTTGAATGGTTACTTGAGGTGATAAACATGAAGATGAATGAAACACGTTCATTGCTATATTTTGTCGTGTCTATATTTTTTGTATTATCAGTTATACTTAAGAATTAACTCGTATTATTTAAAACTTAATCAGTTTGCGTAGTTTACTGTAAAAAAATAATTTCTAAAGAAATATTTTGTCTTATAGATGAACGGAGTGCCTTAGTATAAATATTTTAAGTCCTACTGTGGCACTAACATTATAATCAAAGACCCCAATTGATCTGAATTATAAATTTTCCGAAAATTTCATAATTTTCGAAAATTTATCGACTAGGTATATCTATAATGTAAGTTTATTTGCTTATTATAAAAAAAGAGGAAGGAAATTAATTTAATAATATGAATTTAAATAAAATATAATCAATTTAAATAATATTATTATTTATTTAATTTTATTATCCAGTTATTTTTTATTATTTATACTTATATATACACAAAACAAAAAAAAAAACCCCGCCCGTATTAATTAAACATAGTCACGTCAAGATACGTTGAAATGTAGTATATTAAACACTAATAAAAAAAGAGTCAGTCCATTTTGACAATTAGTTAATTGATTTTGACCCGTTTTGAGGCTCGAAGTTCTACCTATATAATCATCATCTAGCAATTTTTATATTTTGAATTTTAGGTCATTTGTTAAACTATTAGGGTGTGCTCGTCTTTTGATTCCACTATGACAAATAATAATTGCTAAAATCAACAATTTATGTTAGTATATGTTCGTAAAGTATATCTTTTACAGCATACTTATTTATTTTTAAATATTTTTATACATTATCTTTTTTCATTTTATGAAATAAAACGTGATACTTGGTATCTAGGCACATCTAGTATATAAGAATATTTAAAATCGTATTATATTGTTAAATCTTTATTGTACATAATTCATATTGAATACATTAAATGATTTAATATACAATGGCGGACTTATCCCATAAAGGGATCTCTTACAGTCAACCTACACACACTTAGAAAAGTAAGTGTGTGTAAGTACAACAATATTTTTTACAAAGAAAGAGAGATTCTAAATTAGTACATTACTGCAGCGGCCAGCAACTGAGGCATTGATGGACGGACGTGCAAATGTGGGCCGAGGCGTAGTCGAGGCATACATACGTGAGTCCAGTAATGCCTAGTTGTGGCCAAGGCTTGTATAGTACTTTTCTCAAACAATGCGCGGAAATCAAAAACACAATTTTACTTTTTAAGTTCAATGACGAATAACGAACAATAATAAATTTTTACGCGCCATAATGTTCCTTTGTTTTTTTTTCAATAAACAGCTTTCTATTTGTAACCCAGTTCGAAATTTAAATAAAACCTTTTATTAGTTACCTCCTTGGTAGCCATGTTTCGAAGTAAAAGGTCATTCCATTTTTAAATTACAGGACAGATATGAGTTTACATAGTAATTTATCTGGCCGCAAAACACGACAGATATGGATTTTCATACAACTTTTGCCGGCCGCATGTATCTGGCCAGTACGGCAATTTTGATTTATCTCTAAGAAGATTATCAAAATAATGCTCACATTTCCAAGCATGTTTGAGAAAAGGATATTTAAATAATAATAATGATATTGTTCGCGACAATAGCGATATTTATAGCAATGTTTATAGTTAGTTGTTAAGTTTCTAGTTTAATCGTTTTTTGTATTCTGTTATTTTATATAGATTTACATAGATTTAAGATACCTATAGTGTAAGTTAAATAAAGTATTCCTTTGTGTGTTGTCATTATTACCTACGAATAGAAATAGAAATTGTAACAATAAATAGAATTAAGAAATTGTAAATTGCAATAAATAAACGCTATAGAGTACCGATCTGAAGAGACACGCGTCTCGTTCTTTCTCGCCCCGTCCCGCTCGCGCAGATTCGCTAACGCGAGTTGGAAACGCTATCATGCGAGCGGGCGGGTATAAAGATAGGCCGCCTCTCGTCGAGCGGCATTCGCTTCCGGGCAGCGACGCACTACACTCGAGAAGAAATAGGACAAGAAGAAAAAATACTCTCTTCAGACGGTACCGGAGGCTTCAGAATAGTAATCCCTGTGTTTCACTCCAGCCTGAACCAACGCCCCCTACAGTCCACGCTCACCGTACGGCAGTCCACACCGTTCATCGTGGTCCTTCGAGAAGCCGGATTGCTGGAGGAACACCGTGGTCCTTCGAGAAGCCGGATTGCTGGAGGAACACCGTTGGTATATCAAGAAGCCGGATCGCTGGAGGAAGACCATTCTGAAGCCGGATCGCTGAAATGCCGACTACGAGAAACATGAAGTCGTCGCAACAAAAAATCGCCGTCACCGAAGCCACAACGTCCGCCGCCACCACGTCGACTACGGCCGCCGGAACGCTGTCCGTCGCTGCCACGCCGTCCGTTGCTGCCACCACGTCGTCTGCGGCTGTCAGAATGCCTTCTGTCGCTGCCACGTCGTCTACCGCCGCCACCACATCGACTGCGAACACGTCCGGCGATACGACGACCACAGGAGCCACGGAGACTACCGAAGCCACAGGAACGACAGAGGAGACAGCAAGGAAGAAGGAACCGAAGCACGGCACGGCACGCACGGTTCGCACCACGGCCTCGCAGAAGAAGAAGGCTCTGGCCAAGGCACGGGAGGAGCTACTTCGAAAGGAGGTGGAATTGGCTGCTGCACGTGTCGCCGCCCTGGAAGCCGAATCAGAGGACGACGAGGAAGTAGAAGACGACGACGCTACCGTCAGAAGAGAACGAACGTCAGATTGGGTTCATCGAAGCACGCTGGCACTCACGATGGAGCCGCATGTACCAGAGATAGAAGAAGTCACCGGCAAGCGTCAGGGGTTCGTCCCATCGAGACCCGTTGAAGAGGATTCGAGAGCGCCGCCGCCACAGCCGAGCAGCGACGCACTTCACCGGGACCACGCACGCCACGTTGACCCACATGCCGCCATGCCTACGATAGCAGCAGCGATGCAGTCGATGAAGAAAGAAGAACCGGTGCTGAAGGTGGGCATCGATTGCAATGAGTTTGCGATCGCCATGCAGATGGCCGCTCGCAACATACTGCCCTCCACAGCGTCAAGAGTCACCGAGTTGCCAGTCTTCAATGGATCGTCGAGCGAGTGGTTACCATGGAAGATGGCCTATGAAGAGAGCGCAAGTCAACTCACAGAACAAGAGAACCTAGCAAGACTGCGCAGAAGTTTGAAGGGGGCCGCAAAGGACGCGGCACGCTCCCTATTCGTCGGGTCTACGACCGCAGAAGAAGTGATGAAGATGTTAGCCGCGAGGTTCGGCCGCCCTGGAGCACTCGTCACAGCCGAACTGAACAAACTCCGCGCGCTACCACGACTCTCAGACAACGCAAGAGACGTCTGCCTCTTCGCAAGCAAGGTGCAGAACGTCGTCGCCACGATACGAGCGCTGAACAAGAGCCACTACCTCTACAACGAAGAAATAGTGAGAAACGTCACAGAGAAGATGCCGTCGCTACTACGCTTCAAGTACTACGATTTCGCCAACGACCAACCGGAGGGACAACCGGACCTCATAACACTCTCTCAGTTCCTGCAAAGGACCGCCGCACAATGTGGAAACTTCGCCCCCGCCGAGGAGATACCGTCCGAAGACCGGCGGGAGTCCGCTCCTAGGAAGACGGCGAAGACATACACGACGCAGGAGAAACCCGCTACACCACCGTGCCCGATGTGTCGACGAGAGGGACACGCTCCATCGGACTGCAAGACGATGAAGGAAGCAGACACATCGGCGAGATGGGAGTTAGCGAAGACTCATAGGCTGTGTTTCCGCTGCCTCAAAGTAAGAAGATTTCGCCACGCCTGCAAGAGCAAGAGATGTGGAGTGGATGAGTGCACGCAGACTCATCACCCTCTGCTGCACACCACGCGACAACAGCCGGAGAATGAAGTGACAACACACGTCGTCGAGGACAAGTCCGCCGCAGTCACCGCATCGGCAAGGGAAAACGACAAGATCGCGTTCCTGAAGATCCTGCCGATACGAGTCACCGGTCCCACGGGAACGTGCGACACCTACGCGCTACTGGACGACGGGTCGACTTGCACCATCATCGAGACGACGGTGGCGGAGCGAATCGGTGCTACGGGTCCCCCCGCACCATTCTACATGGAAGGTGTGGCCGGGGCACGGATCAACGCAGCTCAATCGACGCGTGTTCACTTCAAGATCCGCGGGCGGAATTCACAAGAATACACAGTGGGGGCACGGACGATGGACAGACTGCAGTTATCACCGCAGTCGGTACCGCGCAGCGTCATCAAGGGCTGTCCACATCTACAAGACATAGAGAGGGAACTGGTCTATGAAGAGGGCAAACCGACGGTACTGTTGGGACAAGACAACTGGCACCTACTGCTGGCCCACGAAGTCAGAAGAGGATCCGACACGCAGCCGGTCGCATCACTCACCGACCTGGGATGGGTACTGCACGGTACGAGTCGCGGCAGGACAAGACAGCAGGTGCACAGAATCAGCCACATAGTGACGACACATGAAGAGGAACAATCGATGGAAGAAATGATGAAGCAACATTTCGCGCTCGAATCGCTGGGGATCGCACCGAAGAGGTCTTACAATGAAGAAGAACGTCGCGCCCTACGCATCTTAGAGGAGAAAACTCGTCCGTTACCGGCGGGAGGATACGAGACGGGGTTATAATGGAAGAAGGACGACCCTGTGCCGCCGGACAACTACGAATCGGCAATGCGACGTCTCCAACTGGTCGAAAGGAAACTCGACAAGAATGAAGAAATCAAGAAGAGATATGAACAGCAAATGGACACACTACTCAAGAACGGGTATGCTGAAGTCGCCCCGCCACGGAGTTCCCAACGGGTGTGGTACCTGCCACACTTCGCCGTCATCAACCCGCAGAAACCGGGGAAACTGCGGATCGTGCACGACGCAGCAGCCAAGACGAAGGGCATCAGTTTGAACGACATGCTGCTGCCGGGCCCCGACTTACTTCAATCGCTACCGGGGGTCCTCATGCGGTTCCGGCAACGACGGGTGGCAGTCACGGCGGACATAAAGGACATGTTCATGCGGGTCACCATACGGGAAGAAGATAGGGACATGCAACGGTTCCTGTGGCGAGGAGATCGACGAGAGGGTCCCCCTGTGGAATATAGGATGAAGAGTGTCATATTCGGCGCAACATCGTCACCGTGTACAGCGATCTACGTCAAGAACAAGAACGCAGAACAGTACAAGGAAGAGTTCCCGGAGGCAGCAACGGCGGTGGTCATGAACCACTACGTCGACGACTACCTCGCCAGCTTCGACACGGAAGAGCAAGCCGTACGCGTCTCAAGACAGGTCGCACAGATCCACGGTCGAGCCAACTACTATCTCCAACGGTGGGCGTCGAACTCGCATCAAGTGCGCGCCGCGTTCTCCGACACCGGCGGGGACAGCGTGGTACAACTCGACGCGGAGAAGATACTGGGGATGGTATGGCGACCTTCTGAAGACACCTTAGGCTTCAACTTCAACGGACACAAGCTTCCGCCACAGATAGCCAGCGGGGAACAGACGCCGACGAAGAGGGAAGCGCTACGAGCGATCATGTCATTGTTCGATCCACTGGGCCTCGCCACTCCCATCACCATACAGGCGAAGAAGATATTGCAGGAGACGTGGCGTACCGGTATCGACTGGGACACCGAGCTGCAACCACGGGAAGCGGACGCCTGGCGGAGCTGGATGGACCACGTGCGACGGCTGTCCGCGCTGGAGGTGCCGCGGTGCTACCCGGAGGTAGCCACGGCCGATACAGCGGAGCTGCATACATTCGTCGACGCCAGCTCGGACGCGTACGCCTGTGCCGTGTACTGGCGGGCCGTAAGCGCGACCGGCAAGGTCCACGTGTCGCTGATCGCGGCAAAGGGACGAGTGGCCCCACTCAGCAAGGTGACCACGATACCGCGACTGGAGCTGCAAGCGGCCGTCCTCGGGTGTCGCCTATCGCGCACGGCAGTCGAAGAACACGACCTGAAGCCCGCTCGCCGAGTATACTGGTCGGACTCACGCACCGTGCTCGCATGGCTACGCACCGGTCCTCGCGCATACAAGCCGTTCGTCGCGCATAGAGTCGCCGAGATCGTCGAAGAAACGAAGACGAACGAGTGGAGATGGATACCGACGCGGCACAACGTAGCAGACGACGCCACACGCGACCCACCGACGGACTTCGGCTCGCAGCATAGATGGTTCCGTGGGCCGGACTTCCTGTACCTCCCCGAAGAGCAGTGGCCGCGTGAAGATAGTACGAGCGACGATAGTCAAGCGGAAACGGGAGAAGAACGCGTACACAAGCTACAGAACGCGACGCAGTTGTCTATAGCATTACCCGATCCGTCACGTTTTTCTAATTGGTTGAAACTTGTTCGCAGTTCAGCACGGGTGTTGCAGTTCATCGACCTCCTGCGACCGACCAGTCAACGCTGTACCGCCATCCGAAAGAGGAACAAGAAGAAAGAGAGCACCGACCCCACTTGGACCCGCACGAAGAAAGTCGATAGAGAGAAGACGAAGATGAAAATCAAGAACAGCAATAGTCCATCTGTGTGTTTCATCCCCATAGACACACACTACCTAGATCGCGCGCGACGGCTATGGATTCGCGCGATACAACAAGAGGCGTTCGGCGACGAAATCGCAGTATTGAAACAAGGGAAACAGCTGCCGTCATCCAGTCGACTCATACAGCTGTCGGTCGTCATAGACAACGACGACATTCTGCGACTTCGATCGAGAATAGCGGCCGCCGCCGATTTGTCAGCCGAGCAACGAGAGCCCCCATCGTCGACGGAAACCACACCTGGGTGCGCCTATACATCGCATGGGTGCATCGGAAACTTCACCACGGCGGCTTCGAGATCACCACGAACGAGGTGCGACAACACTTGTGGGTGTTGCGCCTACGACACGCCGTCCGCAGTGAACTGAAGAGGTGTCAGCTGTGCCGCCTACGAAGAGCAAGACCGGCGCAGCCGTCAACGGGCAACCATCCACAGAGCAGGCTGGCGCATCATCAACGACCGTTCACGTTCACCGGCCTAGACTACTTCGGGCCTATGACCGTGACAGTGGGCCGCACTCACCAGAAGCGGTACGGAGTGCTCTTCACCTGCCTAACGACGCGCGCAGTCCACCTAGAAATCGCCGGCAGCCTCAGACGGACGGCCCTGCGGCGCTTCATAAGCCGCAGAGGGTGTCCCACTGAGCTATGGTCCGACCAAGGCACCAACCTCAAAGGTGCTGACGTCGAACTGAAGAAAGCAGCCGAGGAAGCCATCCAAGAAGAGTCATCAGTCCATTTCATCCGGTGGCGCTACATTCCCCCGAGCGCACCCTTCATGGGAGGTGCGTGGGAACGGTTGGTGCGTAGCGTGAAGACCGCACTAGCCACCACGTTGAACGAGCGGGCCCCCAAGGAAGAGGTCCTCCACACTCTGCTGGTCGAGGTCGAGCACACCCTCAATGGTCGACCGCTAACCCACGTGTCAACATCGGCAGACGACGACAGCGCCCTAACCCCCAATCACTTCATATTGGGCGGTCCATCGCGCGTCCCACTGCCAGGCAGCTTCACAGAGAGCGACGCGGCGGGACACAAGGAGTGGCGTGCCAGCCAGAGGCTAGCTGACTGCTTCTGGAACCGGTGGGTGAAGGAGTACCTACCCGAGTTGCAACACCGGCGGGAGCCCCGAGCTACACACGGAGCCATCAAAATGGACGACCTGGTCCTGATAGCTGATGGGACCTTGCCTCGCAACACGTGGCCGCGAGGCGTGGTGGTGGCAACCTACCCTGGACCAGACGGCGAGATCCGAGCGGTCGACGTGCGGACGAACAAGGGCATCCTACGGCGACCCACTAAGAAGCTGATCATACTGCCCACATCGACATCGAGCGACGCGAACACGAGTTAACTCCAGCTACGAGAGCTGCGGCGGGAGATTATGTTCGCGACAATAGCGATATTTATAGCAATGTTTATAGTTAGTTGTTAAGTTTCTAGTTTAATCGTTTTTTGTATTCTGTTATTTTATATAGATTTACATAGATTTAAGATACCTATAGTGTAAGTTAAATAAAGTATTCCTTTGTGTGTTGTCATTATTACCTACGAATAGAAATAGAAATTGTAACAATAAATAGAATTAAGAAATTGTAAATTGCAATAAATAAACGCTATAGAGTACCGATCTGAAGAGACACGCGTCTCGTTCTTTCTCGCCCCGTCCCGCTCGCGCAGATTCGCTAACGCGAGTTGGAAACGCTATCATGCGAGCGGGCGGGTATAAAGATAGGCCGCCTCTCGTCGAGCGGCATTCGCTTCCGGGCAGCGACGACTACACTCGAGAAGAAATAGGACAAGAAGAAAAAATACTCTCTTCAGACGGTACCGGAGGCTTCAGAATAGTAATCCCTGTGTTTCACTCCAGCCTGAACCAACGCCCCTACAGTCCACGCTCACCGAACGGCAGTCCACACCGCACAGATATTATTATGATTAAGATGTGCTAATGGTAGCACAGATAATATAATACTTTATAAGATGTGTAGGATTGACCCCCAATGTGTAGGAAAATTCCCATGTTTTAACTTTCCAGACGCATTTGTCTATATTATTCTATTAATAAAACATTAGAAACTAAATTTTGTTCCCTACTTTATAAGCGTGGATTTTAGAAATGGAAAAACTAATGTAATTAAAGACTTCTAAATAGCATATTAAGATATAATATACCTACACAAAACTAAGTTAAACCTTTAAAATTACAATTGTTAAAACCGCATCCAATTTAGAGTAGTAGTTTTTGCGTGATGTCAGAACAAACACACAGACAGATAGGCTAGGGTTTCTTAGATTTGTCTTTATATTCATATATTTTTGCGTTGTTGACTATAAATGATCGTATTTTTTTTTTTCAGACTTTTTAGATAAAAGAGCTAAGTATGTCGACTTTTAAATAATTATTTATTCAGTGAATTAAACATCTACCTGTGATCGACCCATGATCGCTAAAACCATTACCTACTATCAGATTTACTGTAATCGTATCTATCAAGCTTTTGATCATTTTTATTCTTGAAAGAATGATTAAACAGTTCAGATTTAAAACCGTAGCTTCTAAAATCCTTGATCTTATAATAGGGAGCATGTAGTAATTTTTCTGTCTACGATACATACATAATACATTCCTTGTTCTTAGCATACACATAGGGGGGAATTGGATTGTTACCATTGAGGTTTTATTATCTAATTGCTAACAATATATCCTATCGGGTCGACATCCACGTGGTTCTCCCTGAAAACTATCTTGATTTATTCTTTTGGAATTTATCACGATGGGCTAACTGACCTGTTTTAGTCTTCACCTATTATCTGTCACTAGTGCCCTGCTAGCGTATACCGATCTTAAAACAAGTAATTCCATAGTGATAAAATTGACAATTCATAGCAAGCTAGTGTATAGAAACTGTTATACGGCCGTATAACCCTACTAAATTCAGATACAACCTGCTTGCCTTTCTATATAAACAGTTCGAATATATAATCTAGTAATGTAAAATTTGTTATTGATAGATAAATAATTGACATATCAAACATTTTCTATATACTAATCTGTTATGAATTGAGAAAAATAACAACTGATGGTGTATCTTTTGTCCTCTTTTTACTAATTAAATTTGTATAAGAAGATAGGAGATAATCATATGAATTAGTTTTTATCATTCCTTTTATGTAATTCCTTGTTCTTAGATACCAATAGCTCAGGCGGGGTTACTATTTCATTTTCACCCATTAAAAAAAGCATACACACAATATCTCCAATTTGTGACACAAACTAGCACCCAAAGATTTCGGTTGGCACCCTAAGAACATTCCTTATTTTTAGGAACGAGGCTAGCATCCAACCTAGCAACTGTCAAGTGACATACACTTGACATTGACATATTAAAAGTTTATAGAGAATATTTTATTTCCATTCATTCATTCATGTAGGTGTCTATTTGTATATAAATTGTCTGCATTGAGATGCCGGATAAATTTAAAATTTTAAAAGTATTCTGTATTTATTCCAAATAGTTGTAAATTAAGTGTTGCAGTAATTACAATGGAAATAAAAATTAATAGTTTAGAGGTCGTGTTTTATTTTTGTGTGTGGATAGTTTCGAATCTTTACTCCTTACACTTGTTGTTTGAAACTCAAACAGGTAAATAGCCAATTTTTATGATTTCATATATTTATTAAAAAAGGGTAATATTTCTTATTGAAACAGAAAATACTTAATATAAAATATCTATAATTAGTTCTTATTGTTTGCTATTAATTGCTTTTCATTAAAAATTCGCTATAGTCTATTAATACATTTATGTTTTCCTGTTTACATTAAACATTCAACTCATAATCATTAAAACCATTTATTTTCAGATATTTTAAATAATAATAATGAATTAACATATAGTTTGAGTGATATGAGTTCTGGTTGGAGAATATTATCTAGGCCCAAAGATATTTCAGATGTAGAATGGAGTAGTTGGAAATATTTTATACAATCATCATGGCATTATTTGGTGTTCCAATTTTTTGTCTCCGAGATATTAAGAAGAACTAAGTTAACAATATTGAAATATTGGTACATAATGTCAAGTGTGATATTTATTGTTTTCCACATGGGATTTAAGCAGTTATTTGTAATTTCTGCACAACCAATAATATTCGGTACAATTATATCTTGTGGTGGAAATAAAATAAGCATATGGCTTACTGGTATATTGCTTCTAGTGAGTTATAACTCACTTAAATACAAATATTTCTTTTGGTATTTCTTGGATCGTAAAGAGCTTCAAGATGAAGAAGTGTACTTGATTTTATTTACCATAGCCTGGATTGAGTTGAGGTGTATTAGCTTTTGCATTGATTATGTTGACAAAAAAGAAAAGCATAGGACTCCTAATAGTGTTAACCATAATTATCCCACAGTGGTCGAAACCACTGTTGACATGTTCAGTTATATATTGTATTTGCCACTTTTGTATATTGGACCCATGATTCTTTATCAAGATTTTGAAAAAAGCTTTTCTAGACCTAAAGAAAAATTTACATTACGACTTAAAATTTTTATTTGGGATATGTTCTTATTTCTTATTTATACATTTCTATTGGACTTTGCCTTTCACTATATTTATTTTTTAGCTATGCAGAACGATATGGAGGTATGAAATGTTAAAAAAAAAATATTAAGTATTTAAAGTTGCAATATTATTAAATTGTTACATTATTTTTTAAGGCTATTAGAAAATTGCCCACTATAGCACTTTGTGGTGGTGGACTGTGGATGGGCCTGGAATTTCACATGAAGTATGTTATATCCTATGGTACAACTGCTGCATTTGCTCGATTAGACAACATCAACGCTCCACCAACTCCTAGATGTATAGCCAGGGTACATGTCTATTCCCAGATGTGGAGATATTTTGATGTTGGTCTCTACAGATTTCTAGTCAAGTGAGTAGAAAATATAATTAAAAAAAAGAATAATTTTGGCTTAAATCTATTAGAAATCTAGTTCATATTAATACTTATAAAAAAAATTCACTGTAATATCATATTGAAATTTGTAATTTTAGAAATGGGTTTAGAAAATGGTGCCATGAAATTAACCCTACTGCCTGCTCAATTATTTTTTTTTATATATGAGACATCTATTATATTTTATGTCCAAAAGCTGTTATAATGACAATATTTTATATGTAGTTTATAAATCTAATAAAGTCAGTAGAATAGTGCAATGTATATATATAAGTATTTAACTTAATCAATTCATTTTGGTTTATATTAAATTTTTGTTATTTTTACAGATACATCTACAAGCCTAGTTTCAATACTTTATCGAAATATTTTGTGTTCTCTGAGTCAACTAACAAATTAATAGCATCATTTGCCACATTTGTATTTATATTTATGTGGCATGGAACGGTTTGGAACATATTTGTGTGGTCAGTTTTAAATTTCTTCGGAATTACATTAGAACACATAGGCAAAGGCATATCAGGAGGTGTAATGTACAAATGGTTTAAGACTAATGTACTAAAGACAGATGAGATGGAAACACGTTTTATTGCTTTATTATGTACTCCACTATTAGCTCTATCAGCAGTATCAAATTTTTATCTGTTTGGTGGTACTAAAATTGGTGACTTATTCTTTGAATGTGTTCTGAATCCATCACTTTGGAATTCATTGCAAGTAAGTGTTGCATTGTATTCTTGCTGTCAAGTATCTATGGCGTTGAAGGATGTAGGTTCAAGAACAGATAGAAGAAAGACTGATGTTACATCAACATCCTAATTTTAGTTCCTTTAGTTTATTCATGTATTAAAATTTCTGTGATATTAGTTGTGTTTATGTCTATTAAGAATACATTTTGTATATTTAACTGACTTGGCTACATATCAGTTCCACTCATTAAGATTTTAATTGTCAGTATTATAATTATTTTAAAAATAAATATTAATATTTTTCGTAAGGTTGGAAATGGTTAACTCACAAATAACTGTAAGTCAGGCCTTTAAATATTAAAGATAAGTGTATTTTATAAATTATATTAAAGTCAATTTTATAGTAAGTTCCTCAGCTTCATGTAATAGTCATGAGTAAATGTCAATTAACATACTACTTAATTTTATTAAGATTTAATTTAATTTTGAAATAATTGCTGACAATTACCTATATAATTATAAAAACCCCTGAGGGTACATTGAAGTTGACTTCTACATAAAAATTATGTTTTGTATATATATACTACCTAACTACTAAATGGATTGTAGTTTACCTATATCCATTTCAACAAATTATGATATTCATTCAATGATTTTTTTAAACAAATGAGTCTTCATGGAATAAAACATTAAAATAATAAGAATCAACAAATGTTAACTCATGTATTCAATTAAATATAGATATATATAGGTATTATACAGCTATAAATTGATATGTATTGGAGCCTTTTAGTAATAGATATGAATGTATGTGCATTGCTTCTATTAGATCATTTGCGTCGCCTGTTATACCCGCGGCTTTATGCAATTGTATCAGTTCCTTTCTGGTGAACACATCTTTGCCTAATTGGTTTATTTGTCTTCTTAAAATGTCTAAGAATCTTTTCAACTGAAACAATGTTATGCCCAATTAAAATGTGTATTTTTGGTATATTTTTATACAGCAAGTATTATTTAAGTTTATAAAAGTATTAATAAAATATACATATGACATATAAGCACTTACTTTATTTCTGGAGCTCACTCCAGACCCATTTATTGATCGTGATAGTTGTATATTACCGAATTCGTCGCTAAATGTATCCATTAAACTATGTTTCACTAAACTAATTACGTCATTAGCATCTTGTACTGTAACTTCTTCTCTTAAATCTACTCTTGCACGAGCCTAAAAAAATATGTATTTAACAACTTGATTATATGAATGTGTACAAAATAAAGTGAACACTATTATCTATGGAATATTACTTGTGATAGTCGAATACAGGCCTCGAGTTGTCTTGTTGTTATAGGTGTACCATCGGAACCGTTGTCTTGATTATGACGCAGTTCTAAATAAAATTCTTGTAATGTATTCGCTGCTTCGACACTAAGTTTTGGGTGTACATATCTTCTTGCATATGCAATGTATTTTCGAAGAAGAACTAAGGGCAGTGTGTCTATATTTTCGCCTGGTTTTAATCTCAGTCTTTTACTAAGAAATAAAGTATTAAGCACTTATAAATATCGGTGTTTTAAGGCTACAGTAAACAATTAATTATCAAAATATTCCATGGTTGAAAATTTGTGTGAAATGTGTCTTTAAGTGTGAAAATTACCTACCTTAATGACGCCTCGGTATCGCTTTGGCTCGTGTGAAAACTGGTGTTTATATGATTATTTTTTGAGGAATTATTTTTTTTACCGCCATGTAAAGCTAAGACATGTGCCGAAAGCATTGCATCTATTTTCTAAAACAAAAATAATACTTAGGTATATAGTATAGTATAACAAGTACACGTTACATGAACTGAAACTAAAGTAATACCTCATCTGGTTGATCCAGTAGAATGAATACCAAATCAAATCGTGATAATAGGGCTGAATTTAGTTTTAAATTTTCTGCTACAGTTTTAGCTCTGAAAAGATAAATAATTATTAATTTAATTTCAAATCGATTTTGTGTAATAATTTTATACTGCTTTAGTAATGCCAAATTATTATTATCTAAATAGGTATTGTAAGTATAATACAATAAGGGTTTTATTGTTTTTGACCATGCTCAATGGAGACACTTGAAACGAGTTGGGAGACAATGCTATTTACCAATAATTTAATTATATGGATATTATGCTGATATAAGTGGTTAAAGTATGTACGAAAATGAAGTCATTAATGGATAAAATATAGTGTAACAAACTCCTTTAAATATGGCATTTAATCATATTTCATAATAAGTGGAAGTGTAACCTGTTGTAACTGCCCCCTGCTGGATTAGCGGCCGCCAGCACAGTTGCGCGCGCTGCTAGGCTGCATACCACTCCGCCCTTGGCTACACTCACACGACGTTGCTCCATCGCTTCTAACAGGCTGCTGTGATGAGCTGACATCTGAACAAAATACAAATCCATAGATACAAGAGACAGTAACTGACTGGCATAACACAGCTCAATATGTAGAAATAATCTAAGAGACAACTAAGGACATCAAGCACTGTACAAGTACATCAGTGCTAGAAAAAAAAAACTCAGTCAAACTCACATACTAAGCAGCTTCTCTGAGTAATAGTGGCAAGTTGGACTTGCAATAGTTGGGATGTTAATGGGTTATTAAAGTAAAACTGAAACTCTGATTTCTGCTGTGTCAAGTATTTTTGGTTGTTCTCATGCAGGTATATTATTTTATAGAATTCGTCAATTTATTCGCTCAAAATGCATGAAAAGAACAAATTGATTTGAATTTGTAATTAAAAAATTTCTTAATCTTTCCGTAACAACTTGTTGATTTATATGACAGAAAATTTGTGTATGTTTTTTTTTTTAATTTAATTAACTGCACTAATACCGCATTACTGCATTGATACCGTACATTAAGAATAGTTCATTGCTATGATTCGCATAGTAACATAATAGTGATAAAAATTTGCAATATTTTAAAATTACTTGAATACATAAAAAACTAAATACAATATAAAACGGTCGATTTGTTTCGGGAGCTAGACATCTGCTACAAAGCTGACTAGCAAAAATACTAAATATAGAAGTATATAACCTTATCCAACTCATCAACACAACAGACGCCTTTATCAGCTAATACCAGTGCTCCGGCCTCGAGTGCGAAGTCACCGCCAGCCTCTCGACCCAGCGCCACAGTGAGTCCTCCAGCTGATGCAGAAGCACCACACACATAAACGCCTGCAAAATGAACATCGTTAATAGTACACTATATTTTTACCCAATGATAAAGAAAAGATGACAACATAAACTGAAAATGTATATTCTCTCTTATTTATAAGCAAGCCCTATAATACTGATTTATTAACAACCTTCAATTGTTTCGAATACTTTAAAATTTCGTTATATAAAATATTCTGTATTATTTGTGTATTTTGGTTAATTCAAGTAAAATTATTCGATGTCATAGTTGTATTCCAACAAATTACTGTTCAACAATTAAATATGCAAATTTAACATTGAACAGATTAATATTATTTTTTTCTGTTAATAGCGTTCTTAATTTTTGCTTAGCGAAGTATGGTAACGTCACAATTATCTCTAATTAAAAAAAAAAATAACATTTTTGTAATTGATTACTTAAAATGGAGAACTTGCTGGCACCGATTATTCATAGAATCGATGAGACTGTTAATGTTATCCTGCGGCAATTGCTTCCAAAAAAATTTTAGTAAGTCCATCAGTTGTTGGGTTGTTGTCACTCCATCCAAGTCTTTTAAACACATTTCTGGAGCATGTCCCATGCATGCTCGATGGAGTTGAGGTCTGGCGATTGTGCAGGCCAATGCAATACCAGGATGTTTTCCCTTGCCAAGTACTCCCGTGTGTGCAAAGCTATATGCGAACGATCAACGTTAAATTGGAGCCAAGCGTTTGTGCGAATGGACGGACATAAGACCTTAGAATATCCTCAACGTAATTTACAGCGTTCATGTTACCATTTACAAAAACGAACTCAGTTCGTCTGTTCTTCATAATACCCGCCCACACCATAACTGTTGAGCCGTTGTATGGATGCACTTCCTGAACGCACCTGTCTTTCAGTATTTCCAGAACGACGGTACACTCTTACCCTTCTAGCATCAGGCTTGAACCCAAATCGAGACTAGTCGCAAAATAAAATTTTATCTCATTGTTCCCGGGTCCATGTAATGTGTTCCCTACACCATTCATTTCGATGAGCGCGATTCCCGTGACGTATCGGCGGGCACCTAATTGGCCATCGTGCTTGTAGACCATACTTATGCTGTCGATTTCGCACAGTTTGGCAGCTAACAACAACACCACTTGAATTTTGTAGCCTTAAATCTATCTCTCGTGCGGTTAACATCGGCTGGCGTCTTGCAGTCAGTTGTATGTTTTTTAGAACTTCGATCTTGCCGTGTGGTTATACACCTTCCTCGACCTGGGTGCTGTTCAGCAGGATCTCCCGTGTTAGTGTAACGCTGATGAAGACGGCAAATAATGCATCTTTTGACACCAAAATACCGAAATAACTGAGATGGACTTCTTCCCGTTTGCAGCATCCCTACAGCTCTTTGCATTTCATCTGCGTTCAAATGATGTCGCTCCATGACGTAAAAAATGTCTCAAAATCCAAATTTGTTCAAAACCTTTTTCAAATTATTGTTTAAATCATAAAATTGATACAGAATACTAAATTTTAATAAGCAAAGAAAACACTATAAAATTCGAACAAATGCATTCGCTGTTTGTGAAAAAAAAAAACAAATGATACACGTTTTTATGTCTTCTAGATCAAAAAAGTTTACATAGGTATTACCTACTTAGTAAGAAATGATATAATAGTTGATTAATAATTTGAAATAGTATGTGTTGCTTAGACTTTTTTGATGTGTTTAGATAGTTGCGATGTTGCTACATTTCGTTATGAACGCCCATAATTTGCATATATACAATATACACACAGCAAAGTGGTCGTCGTTTCTATAGTCACGCTTTGAAATTTGGTGCAAGTTATATACACATAGGCACTTTAGTACATACAGTGTTGATATTAATTCTAAAATGGCGTTATGGCTGATAAATATGGACATGCCTACCTCTTGGAGCCGCATGAGCTGCAGCCTGAAGCAACTGAGATTTCCCTAAGCCAGGGTCCCCTACTATTAGCACATGTGGGTTAGATCTGGGTCCATTTTCTACCTCTGTGCCTCCCAATAAACCTAGTATAAGGCCCGCCTTAACTGCTTCATGACCAAATATTGTTGGGCACAGTGAATGGACTAACAATTTAAAAACATTTTCTGATGCATGTATTTCCTGAAAGTAAAATATTTTTTATGTAAGTACAATTTAAAAATAAATGAAGTCTTAGAAAATATGTAGACTCTTGTATTTTGAATAAAAATCTTGTCATTTTATTATTACGAGAATATTAAATGTTTATTGTCTGCTCCTAATTAAATTTGAGTGTCTGTGTGTTTGAGTCTAGGCCACTTTGATTAATTTCAGAATTGATATAACTACAATTATTACAAAGAAATATATTCACGACAATAATTTTAGAAGGGGAAATAAGATTTACCGCGTTTAATTGATTATTTTCCACAACTACACCAAAAAATTGAGTGAAATGTTGTACACATTTCATTTGTATTTAATATAGTAGGAAACAGTACTGTTTTCTGGATCAATTAAGTTTGTTAACGGTGTTTACTTATCATTGAAAAATTAGTAATTTAATTTAACAATAGTTTTGACATTGACAAAAATGATAGCTAGTATACCACAGACTGAGCTTTTTTTTATACAATTAGGAAAGGCGATATCTATAGGCATAAACAGAGCCATGGACATTATAGATTACACTGTGTAGCCTAGGCACCCCTCCAGAGTTACCACTCCTAAGTACTAAGATGTTATAGTATAAATATGTGTAATATAAATACCTGAATAGCATAATAATCTTTAAGTGTAAAAGACAATGTTGGATTACTTAGGTTTCTCTGACTGTGTATTGAAACAGCTTCTATATAGAGTTGTAAAAGTCTTGCTGCTCTTTTACCGTCTTCTCCACCTTTACTTTCACCGCGAACCTAAGAAAAACACAAAATTATCAAATTCATTATCAAAAATGTAGAAATATTCTTCACTCTGAATTCACTGTTTCAGTTTTTGCCAATCTGTCCTTTACACCCTGCACTTGTTTTTTATACAACTTAGAATAGCAAACAAGCTGATAGCCCACCTGGTGGAAAGTGGTACCCGTTGCTTATAGACATGAGCAGTACCATGAATATAACAGAGTATACTGTTTCGCCCATGACATGATACCCCCCATACATTGCCATTCCTGAGGACTCAGGTGTTATTCCTCTGTACCCTGTAATTTCACGCCATATCCCACTCTTCAAACCGAAACACAGTCATGCAAACACAACTGCTTTACGGTTGAAACACGAATGGGACAGAGGTATCCAAGCAAACGATTTTTGTACAAAGTCTCCCTCTGGTAATATATGATTACACTTTCTATATAAGAAGGAGAAGGTCATAAACTATTTTTTATACCAGTGAATGAACATGTCTTACTATAAGCCAGTAGTTTAATGATTAAGATATTGACGAATTGGCTACTCTCCACACTATACATATAGGTAATACTTATAATGATCACCTGCACTATCCCAGTGACAGAAAGTACATCGCCAGGGCATGCTGTTCCGACGAGGTCCCCTGTCAGTTCTATTTCGACATTCCGTGGTATTGTACCAGAGGCACTCTGGAAGTAAAGAAATCACCGGATGAGGTTAATATTTAGATACTTCATTGTCATCACTTTAATATTTTCTGTACATTATGTAGGTTTTCTAATAATTATTAATAGAATTCTCAAAAGCAAGGTTACCCATTCAAAAAAAAATTTTTCATCATTTGATGTATTTACAGTTTTGATTATTTATTTTGTGAATTGTTTAATACAATATGAATTTATCACCTGCGATTGTATTTCCTGTATTTTAGCTATTTGCCAATCTGTTGTGTTGGTGAATGGGGATGATTGCAAAGGTTCAAATTTTGATCCCCCATTGCAACTCTGACAGCAGATAGGTGCTGTAGAAGTTGGAACTAATATTAGTATAGTCATAGTGATCAGGGCAGTAAAATAAGATAGAAAAATTTGACTTTTCTTTAAAATAAAGATAATAAAGGTACTACTTATGATATATTTTGTTTCATATATTTTTTTTAAAACACCCATAAGTTTAACTATAAGACGTTTCAAATTTATCCATTCATTACCGGACACCATGTATATATAATTTCTATAAAATACCAGCTGTATTTCATACCTCTTTTTGTAGTAAGTGGGATAAAATGTAAGTGTTGATCCAGGAAATGGACTGCCTGATTAGCAAATTCCTACAAATATTTTTACATCTAATATATATAATTAATGTGATTGAATTTTTTTGTAATGGGACACTCATAACTAAAATCTTAATGTCATTATTAATTTCATAGATATATTTATAGATTGTGATGAATTAAATAAATAAAGGTAGGAATGGGTTTTTGCTGTATTAGTCTGTTTATAATATAAATTCTAGAATAGTATTATGGATATCATATATGCCCAACTTCTGGTACCCTCAGAGTAAATTGTTTAAACAATAAACTGATTGATAAGAGCAGTATATCAATATGGACCAAAAGTAAATTACAATGTAAGAGATGGGCCAATCAAATTATGATGAGATGAAATTCTTTTCTTTAGTTAATTCTTTCTTCGGTATCACCATGTGTAAGATGTATACGATTAAAAATGTTGCAATGTAGTAACATGACTATTTTAAGATTGTCAATATACCTGTAAAAACTCCCTGCGGCTGTATAACTGCTTGAATATTGTGGCAGCTTGAACATTCAAAGGCCATAGAAGTGCAGATAAGACCTACACTTCCTACTCTTATAACAGTACCTTTTATTGTAACTAGTTTACCTGTAAATGCAATAACTATATAAGATATAATTATAATTATTTATCTTTAAATATTAATAGTATTTAAAGTACTACTAATGTAACTTTAATTTTAATTACCAGAGGGAGACTTTGTACAAAAGTCGATTTGCTTGGGTACCTCTGTCCCATTCGTGTTTCAACCGTGAAGCAGTTGTGTTTGCATGGCTGTGTTTCGGTTTGAAGGGTGGGATATGGCGTGAATTTACTGGGTACAGAGGAATAACATCTGAGTCCTCACGAATAGGGGGTATCATGGGTAAAACAGTATACTCTGTTATGTCCATGGTACTGCTCATGTCTATAGGCGACGGTTACCACTTTCTATCAGGTGGGCTGTCAGTTTGTTTGCCATTCTAAATTGCATAAAAAAAAATTGTAATATGAGATATATAAAAGTTACAAAGTTATTGCTAAATGCATATTTCTATTAGCTTACAATAAATAAAAAATAAAGGTATAGATATTGAGGTAGCTAAGAAAACAAATTACTTTCCATCCATACAACGTAGGTAGTCCAACAAAGGTGTTATGGGTATTTCACATTGTACAGTATGGAGGTCTATATTGTAATATGTAATTGCCTTTAGGCAATGGTTACCATTTTCCATAAATTGAACTACCAATTTCTTTATCTGAAAATGCTTTATAAAGTAACAACAGTAAGTAGTAGTTTTATTTCTGTTTGATGAAAGGAATAAATTTTTCTCAAGATTGGGGAAATGACCCTGAACTGGAAAAGCATAACTTACCAAAGTAATTGACTTTTAAATTAGCCAGAGGAATGACTGGTTGATGATTCAATATTCGAACTTTTATTTGTGCTTCACATTTCAAGCACTGGAAATAAAATAATTTAAGATATTTTTAAATATTTTTAAAGCAATATTACTTTTCTTGTTAAATTATTACCGTAATATCATACAAGGACTATATAGCTAGTGAGCTGATAGTTCACCAATGAAAATGTGGCAATAATTGCCTGAAGATAGGAACAACATTACTGACATTATATTATTGCATTAAACATCATTAATAAAAATTACTACAACAGTTTTAGGATATGGCAGCTTGATTACCAACAAAGCATCTAAATCTCTTCACTGTCAGTCAGGGAGCACAGTTTTGATTTTTCTAATAAAAAAATGGTATATCATTGTACCTACTCACTGAACTAAAAAAATTAATACTTACTTCATGTAAACAATATTCCAATATTCTTAGAGTGAACTCTGGTTTTTCAAATAAATCAGTTTCAAATGTAGTCCAACCATTAATGAAATCAGTATCATTTAATAATATTTGTAAATCTAATGGTACACTTCGAGTATTGTCTATCTTCTCTAAATCAAATAAGTTTCTGTTTTTTTCTATGAAAGATTTAAAATGTTTGATATAGTCTGATAGTTCATTCTTTGGTGGATATTCTGAAATGAAATGAAAATAAAAACAAAGTATATGTGAAATTTCTCTATTTAGCAGTTGTGCCCACACTTTCATCATTGTAATATTATTTGTTGTGGTTGTGATTTTTGCAATTGATATAGGGCAGGATAAAAAGTAATCTTTATTAATTCTACAATTATACTGCGTGTAACACATTTCTAAATAAAGTAGGAGATATATAGGGATAAGCAGACAACTAATACCTTCCGAAGGAAAATATAACTTCCAAGGATTATTGTCGGTATTAAGTGCTACAATAATAGGTAACTTATTGGCTGGTGCTCTTGATGATCCTGCAATGCTGTTTATTCGTGTGGAAGTTAACGAATGGTTTAAACTTTGGTTATCTCCAGTGCTACGTGATTTACTATTCGACTGGTGCCAATTATATTTATATCGACCTCTCCAATTACGTCGCATACTGTAAACTAAGCTGTAAACTTAACGTAAATTATTAAAAACTTTGAAACAAAGTTTTCCCGCCCATTCAATAACCAAAATTGTAATTTTGTAAGGAAGGAAATCGTTTTAAACCAAATAATATATATAGTGTTTGAATGTTTTTAATAGAATTGAAAAAATCATTTAAAATAAAAGATAAAATAAGAAAATTAATGCCAAAATTACAAGATTTTAGACAATTGATTTTTTAAAGTACGTTTGTTCCGTTGTGGAACAGGCTAAGGTCGGAGACCATGCTGCCTAGTCTTAAATATGATAATTTGTCTCGAATTTAAATAATTGAATATTCTTATTTTTCATTGTCAATGTCATTTTTGACACTCCAAAATTTAAAATTTGTCCAAAAGATACGTAAGTAGGTATAAAGATATTGCATTTTTTTTTTATCTTAGCAAACATTAAAACCAAATATAAATGTAACATTGTAATGTTGTTGTAAATGTACAATTTAATATTCATAAATATTATAAATATACGTAAAACTTTGCATAAATTTACAATATGTACTTATAAATATCCAAAATGTTTGATTTTTATTACAGACTCATATATTTGCAGCGTGTTTGTCATTCTTTTGGTCATTAACGTGACAAATAATAAATTGGTAAAATAACTAATTAAAATCTACTGGACATTGAAATAAATTATCTGTTTTGAGACCTAATGTAGATAAAAGGCAAGTCTCGGGTAATATTTTTACGAGTCAAATACATTGTAATCTGTTTATCGTTGTTGTTGTAATTTTAAGAAATTAAGGATAATATATACAATGGCATTCTCTTTTTACTTATAAAAAATATATTTTTGGCGGGAAGATATGAAATTTAACTGTAATATTATAAATTGATAGTTCATGGATGATTTAGTGGTTGCGTGGTATTTCGGTGTTTGTATGATTTTATTAATTGCCAATTTCCTCTGTTAGGGATTAAGACTTCGATCTTGTCGCTTAGAAAAAAATCAAACTTCGTAAATTTATAGTGTAGTTTAACTAACACTAGTGCTGTAATGCATTAAGTAATCACTACGTTACTCTAATATTAGACTGTATTGTAATAAACGTAAAAAATAAAATACTTGTTTTATGTAGGTACACGCATTGGAAATAGGAAGGGAGGGAACTATTAGTAGATTTTATTGTATTGTCAAATCAACTTCTACGTAGTTCTCTTTGTAACTATTTGTCATTGTAGATCAACTGACTTACCCGATTTTATATCACTTATTATCACTTACTGTTACGCCACTAGTATATATTACATATATATAGCACAGGCGTGGTTTTAAATAAGTTTTCGTTTAATAAAAAATAGAGTAGATAATCCTTTCCTAAATTGTGGCTTAGTTTTGGGTTTTATGCTGTATTTATGCTTCTTTTGCACTTCTTTCGTACTAACAGAATGCGTAATCGTCAAATATTGTATTTATTGTAAATGTATTGATTCTAGTATTGTTATACATTTTGTTTGTCTGTAAATTTATGGGAAATATAGATTAAAACCTGCAGGTTATAAAGTGAAATAAAAAAAAGAAAAAAAAACACGAAATTTGAATTTGGATTTTTCATAGTTTTAAAATTTCAACAAAATATCAATAATGCGTTTGGCATGCCACATCTGTTTTGTTATTGAAATTGGACTAAAGATTTAAACCAAATAATGTCTGGGAAAGTTGCGGATCCTTCGCCAGAAGCTGAAGTAAGTGGGGTGCCACCGGATACCAATGTGGAACAGGCTGAAGATGTAGCAGAAACTGCAGCAAAACTAGACGAACTGTCTCGGAGGATGTCGCGGAAGGAATCTGCGTTTTCACAACCGATAGACGATGGAGAGAGGGTAGAAGTAGATAGAACTGCACTTGAAGCCATACTCGATGTCGGGTCTCGACTTCAAGATATTCAAAAAAAGAGTAAAGTTTCCATGAGTACGCTAGCATTGGCTCATGAGTCTTATAAAGACAAGCAAGTAAATAAAATTTTATGATTAAACTATCTTGTTTTATTTGTGTGGCATAGCTACCAGACTATTGCATGCATTTTTTTTATAGGCCAAAGCAAAGGAAGCCCGTAATAATCGAATAGGAGGTCTTAAAACTCAGCATAGATTTTTATTGGAAAATGTAGCAGCGATATTAAATAAAAGCACTGAATATGTTTTGGTATGTTTTGTAATTTTTAATAACCGATTATACTTGTATTTTAGGTCAGCGATATTATTCAGTTTTATATTGTTTTTTTAATATTTCAGGAAGGAGTGTTTGATGCAGATATTCACATAGATCTTTTAGAAAGTGCTGTTGCTGAAGGTGGAAGAAATTGTATAATTCTTTGCGATGCTTTGTTGCCGCCACTAAAAATGGGTAAGTAATAGAAATAGATTATATCCTAACGGATGGAACATGTTTTTAGACAGACATTTTAACCTAAGAAATGAAAAAGGTAATGAGGATCAATATCATATAACAATATACTTGATTTTAGTGTAGTACTATACATTTCAAATTTTTTACTAAACATATCAAGAAATGGTGTAGTTTAAAGTTCATTAACGGATCTTTCAAAATATGCGTTTTCATTTAACTTTTAATGCTGTCGTTTTCGAGAGTATCGTTTCGCGAGAATTTAGTTCATGCCTACACTAAGTTGATTTATTTATATCATCATTTAAATGACTGGCTGAATTTTGATAATCGATTATCGTTTGATTGGCCAAGTGTTATAGAATAGGCAGGTGTATTATTTACCTTCCTATCTGGGATTACCTATTCTATAATATATAGCAAAATTAATAAAATATAAAAGTAATATAGTAAAAGTAAATTTGCTACTGTATCGTCATATAATAGGTTCGTACTCGTAGAACATTGGTGTACCTGGCGGTAGTTAAACGTTTTCACTTATAGGGGTTCAGGTAATGTTATGTATATTAAGTCATAATGTTCCAACGTTTGGGTAGATTTTAATAATTAAGCAGGTAGGCTACGGTTTAAATGATCGAGACAATACAGGTATAAGGTAGGTAGAGCATACATAATTAAAAGCAGACCGTTAAGTGCCATTTTGTCGTTAGTGTATGTATACTTCTTTATTATTTAATATTACTTAATGTAAGTTGTATAGATATACATAGGTTTTAGGTTATTAATAATACTGTAGAACATATTCAGTGGTGTTTATTGATTTCGTTAATAAATTTAATATTATATATTCTTACTTGTATTACAGAATCTGGGCGGTTTATTCACAATCAGAAAACAAAGATGGAGCGTACATATCTATCTGATGTGTCCACTATAGCTACAGAGGGCATGTGTGTGGCTATGTATAGGATCAGGAACAAACTTATTGATACAAAGAATGTCGCTGATGTAAGCGCTTAACATATCAGTTATTATTTATAGTATAAAATTATAAAAAAAAAATCTATAAGTTGTGTATTGTTACGGCAAAATTGCGTTTCGTTCCTTCATAGTAGACAAATATGTATTTTTAACTAGCTGTATCTCGCTGCTTTACCCCTTTTGTCCAATAGTGCTATAGTTACTCATGTACTAAATTTCATTTAAATAAGTAATTTTTGCGTGAAAGAATAATAAACATCTATCCATCTATTGATCGTTACAAATTTTGCATTTATTATATTAATAGGATTGAGATTTAACGCGATGCGATTACAGGTAAATAGTACTCGTATCTACATACCTGATTGTTATTGGTGACATTTCGCCCTAAGTTACACCACGTCGTGGTCACAGTAAGACTGAAGCGAACAGCGACTTTTTTACTTTTAACATAGGTACTGTTTACTTATAATCGCTTCGCGTTAAGTCTCAATCGTCAATATAAAATAAGTATGGGTAAATAAAGCTTACAATTAACTATTGCAAACCGCTTTAGACTGAAATTATATTACCTACCTACCATTTATATTCAACCAGCTTAAAAAAGGAGATTTTCAATTAGGTTGTATATTTTTTAATAAAATAGAATTACATAATCGTTAGTATTCTTTTTAGTATCCTACCAGTATCAGTAACAATATTTTAATTAAAGAAATATGAATAAAGACGACGAAAAATTTTAAATCTCTCATAGTAACACTGCACATCTATAGCACTGCTAGATTCCTTATTTTACTTATGACAATCGATTTTTTATTTTATCTGTATAGGTATAAAACATCATTGAATTGTATTTTTGATAGAGAATGAACGAAAATAATTCACCACAGTTTCTTTCTCTGTAAGATGGTTAATTAAGTCATGCTTTGTACATCATCATTATATAATAAATAAATATATTATTATTATTATTATCAGGCACGAGTGTGTGTACCTAGGTAGTTTTGTATCAAGTTTTCATTTTATTGTAATTTGTGTTTTTTGTCCTTATTTCTACCACACACTTTCCATAAGTTGCTGAGCGACTTGGAACGTTATCTGTTTACAAGAGTTCACAATTTGAATTTCATATAAATTTAAACACTTATTTCAGGATTATTATTTGGTAATGTTTGATATGAATCAAGAAACAGAAAATGTAGTGTCTGGTATATATAAGACGTTGAACCGTGTGTATGTACCTGCTTTACAAGCTTGTAAAGCTTGGGGTGACATCAATCCTCCAAACCCTAAGAGTGCAGATATTATCAAGTACTACAAATCAAAGATAATGTTATTTATTGACTATCTTGCAAGTAAGTAATATTTAAAATAAAAGATTTCTCGATTCAGAATAGATATAAATTTCATAATGGCATTATCTTTTTAAGTGAGCATACGCTTTTTTAAATATCACCATTTCGAAATATTTTGGATAATCTAAGTTCAGTTGAACTCTGCTAATCTATTGTATTTTCATTTCTCATCTATGGCCTTTCCCAGACATTTTGTAACCACGGTTTCTGTATCAATATGTTTTATATAAATCTATATTTAGAGTTTTTGTTCTACACACTGCTATTTCAGTTCCGCTACTTGTATTTAAGTATGTAACTAATAAAGAGATCTATTACTGTTTCTTTTGAGCCTTTTTTACAATCTCTAATTAACCAAGCGTGCAAATTTTTCCATTGTTCTTTGGGCCAGCTAGTTTTGAAATAACTTTTGTCATAATTTTAGTATTCTAAAAGTTAATGAGACTAAAATTAAATTAACTTTAAGAACTTTTAACTTGTATCGTACATGTTACATGTATTTACCCCATCAATTTTGCGCTCATTTTAGTTGTTTTAATGTTTACTTAGTTAACATTTTCCTTTTTAATCTTTAAGATTTTAAAGACTGAAAGTTATTAAAAGTCAAGATGTATCAAAGTCTATTTTTAAAAAGAAATTAAAAAAAAATTGAGTTATTAACACAGTATAAGTAATAGTACGTACTTAGACAGGTAGGTATTAATACGAGGTTTGTCCGGAAAGTACGTATAAAAGTTTTTTAAAAATTTTATTTTACAATTATTCAGGTAAATCAATTTTATCCCCTTCAAAGTACTCCCCCTGTGACATAATGCACTTGTGCCAACGCCGTTTCCACTGTGAGAAGGCTCCTTGAAAGTCCTCTGGTTGTAGGTTTCTCAGCTGCCCCGTCGTAGCTTTTTTTATCTCATTTATGTCCCCCAAATGCCGCCCCCGAAGTACCAATTTGGTTTTTGGGAACAAGAAGAAGTCACACGGGGCCAAATCCGGCGAATAGGGGGGGTGTTCGGTCACCGTAATGGAATTTTTACTCAAAAACTCACGGACAACAAGAGAGGTGTGGGCAGGGGCATTGTCGTGGTGAAGAATCCAACGCCCCTCTCGCGCCAATTCTGGACGAACTCGTGCCACACGAGCTTTGAGGCGTCTGAGCACATCGACGTAGAATTTTCCATCAACTGTCTGGCCTGGAGGGACGAATTCTTGATGGACAATCCCCCGAACATCGAAAAAAACAATCAACATTGTCTTGACATTTGAGCGGGATTTTCTTGATTTTTTTGTTCGTGGTTCCCCGGATGTCTTCCACTCTTTGCTTTCACGGCCATTCTTGCCGAGTTTCGAGAGAAACTTGATTACGACGCGCTGCTCTTCAACGGAAGCGGGCTCCATGCCGACGGGGTTTCGTTAAGAGGTAACTTCACAGATGGCGTGACAAGCCAGTTCGCACCGCACGGCGGTCAGACCAGAACTGAAGCATTGTTAGGGACATAAGGAAGGGGTCCTGCGCTTACCTAGCCTCCCTACTCCTCTTTCTCGCATTCCAGAACACTTTTATACGAACTTTCCGGACAGACCTCGTATCATAAGTTGCAATGTATTTACTTAGATCAGAATATGATGAAAAAAATACTTACAGTACTCGTTAGAAGGTGCTGTTTAAATAAAAAAAAAAAAAAAAAAAACAGTCAAGAGTTCCTTTCAACCATTTCTTAATAGAATTCTGTAACTTGATCTCTCATCTATTTGTTTGAAGTATTCCGGCTCTTATACTTTCAACTGCTACAGTCGGAAATTCGATATATTTTAAGTGACCATCGTTAACAAACTTAATTAAAGTGTTCTTTATTATTTTAAAATTTCGTATATATTTCACTTAATTGTTTTCATATGTTGAGTAATTTGTGTTTACTGTACTGTGAACTCATGAGGTTATATATATAGTGAGTTCACATGTACACATTAATAAAATTTACTTCAACAGAAACCAAAGTAGATTTAGATTGTTGTACGAAATTCAATATAAACCTGATATTGTATGAAGATGAATTGTCTGATCAGGATAAAATGAAGTTAGCAATAACAAAAACACACGTTCTGGAAGAAATTTGTAGTTATGTCAAGCAATGGGTCAGACAAATTACCATGGTAAATATGATAATATAAAAATAGTAGTAAACAATATACAAAATATCTTTTCAACTGTGTATTCCTTTTTGAACCACTGAACATAACTACTTGGACTGTCAAAGTGAGAATTGTTATTTATATGGTATAATACTATATTAGATTAATATATTCAGCAATATACTAATAATAGATTAGTATATTGCTGAGTTTAAACTGAAGAACAGCAATATGTATATCGCTGTTACAGCGAAAATAGACAAAACAACAGTGTTGTACTCGGACGAATCATACAAAGACCAACCACCGCTGTCTAAAAAAAATATGTTTTCTATTTGACGACACACTATGGAGGAGACCATTTATTTTCAAATGAGTTCAAAAAGATGGAGGTTTTCAATTTGGTTGTATTTTTTTTTTTATATTTGTTACCTCATGGCTCTGTCAGTTCTAACCCGATTTAGAATTTTTTATCTGAAGGATTATACTTATAAAATGGTCTCATAAAATTTTTATTAAAATCAGTTTAGTAGTTTAGTTCTTAAATAAAAATAACTGGCTTTGTCACAATTGAAGTCGTTTTTTACACTTTTATTATGCAGACGATATTTGTAAATTTCTAAATATCTACATATGAATATTACTAGGTTTACTCACGGCTTTTTCCGTAACGTTTTGAATAAAATAGTTAATCAATGTCTCTACCAAATTTCATCTCTTTAACCGTGATTATTAAACATAGGAATATCCAAACTTTTTAAAAAAAATTCGTCTTCCAAATATGTTCACTAACTTTCATATTCATGATATTGGCAGGATAAATAAATATTGAATTATCTGTATAGGTAAAACTACATTTGTCGGTACACCAGCTGAGATTTTACTTCTCGTAGTGTTACTATAGATAAAGAGAATTATTCAACTCTATATAATCAAAATTCTCAGGTATTGGTACAAAGTCAGCAGCTGCGACGTGAACCTTCCAATATAGGTCCTTTAGCGGAGTTAGATCATTGGCGTCGTCAGTTGACCACATTTACTTCAATAATAGAACATATAAATAGTGATCCTTGCCATATGTATATACATACGTTGATCCGAGCGAAATCTAAACTTATAAAGGTAATATAGTTTTATCAATGACCCGTAATTTCAGGGATAAAATGTACCTATATCTTGAATAAATGGTTGAATAAGTAAATAATTTTTAGCAGTAGATTCAACTATATTATAACAAAAATAAGAATAAAGATTAATAATATATTGACATCTTTCTAACAGTTTAGCATATCTAGATACTTTGTACAAAAGTCGTTTGTTTGGGCACCTCTGCCCCATTTGTGTTTCTACCGTGAAGCAGTTGTTTGCATGGCTGTGTTTCGATTTGAAGGGTGGGATATGGTAGTAAATTTACAGCGCATGGGGGGTATCATGGACGAAACAGTATATTATGTCCATGATACAGCTAGTATTTATAGGCGACGGTTCTAAAAAATCTATATTATTTGCATTTAGACATTTAAAGTAAGTGACCCATTTGTTTTGACATCTAAATGCGATTTCTTTTGGAATGTTTGTTATTGTTATATATATATATATATATATATATATATATATATATATATATATATATATATATATATATATATATATATATATATATATATATATATATCAGAGAGTTATAGTGCCTTTATCTATTTGTAATTTTCAGAAATGGCGATTATTGGATAATCAAGTTACCGATTATTATAATGAGGCATATGATAACGTAAAATATTTGTATGCTTTAGAAAAATATTGCGAACCTTTGTATAGGTAAGGATAAATATATTTTGCAAGAATTTATTCTACCAATATTTTATTAAATCCTATGTAACTTAAAATGAGAAATAGTAGTTCTTTTCTTATAATACTTAAATAACAATAAAAGGTATTCACATGATAATTTTGTCTCACGAAGTTTGCGTAACTATGTATGCATGAAACAAACTTTGTATAACTCGTTATTCAAAGACTAAATAAAGTAGAGAAAACATAAGATGTATTTATATAATAATAATAATAACAACATAAATTGGTTAACTTCTTACTTGAGGCCTAACGAATAACAATTTCAGGAGTGGGTATTTCCATGGGCATCATAATATATTCTGTAATTAGCTAGGCCGTCATTTTGTTTATTATTCCATATCGTCTAAAAACCTGAATATGGCCTATTAAATATAAATATTACAACAATCTTTCATTATATAAAAACAATTTTATATTATACATATATCACGTATACATAATATTGTATGGACATTCTGTAGTAGGTAGATATATTTAGTATCAGCATTGCACCCGTACGAAGCCGGGGCGGGTCGCTAGTATAATATATATTATATGATAGTATAATATTGTAATGAATATTAACAGGTGTGATCCAGTTACTATGCAGCAATACATACCTGGTTTAATATATACAATTCGAATGATATTCGCCACGTCGCGCTATTACAACACTACAAAGCAAATATCAACATTACTGGTCAAAGTTACTAATCAGATACTCAATATGTGTATGGACTACTTAACTAATGGTGGGAAGAAGACTATTTGGAACCAGGATAAGTTAAATTTTATAAAGAAAGCTAGGGTAAGGAATAATTAATTAAATATTGTTACTCAATATCTAATATATAAGGATTAAAGAATATTTTGTTTATTTAGTTATGCCTGAACCTATATAACTTTTACCGTGAGTGCTACAGCGAAACTCAGAAAGAAATGATGGAAGCTGCTGATGAGAGACCATTTGATTGCTCTGAAATGTACATCTTTGGAAAGTTTGAAACATTCAGAATAAGATTGGAAAAGGTATAATTTGATTGTTCTATCAAACAGACCGATTATTTTATTTTTTTTATCAAATTTGCTCTATTTCCTTGCAGACATTGCGAGGGTTTTCTTATTACTTACTATATTTTGTTATAATATTATTAGAACTACTGTGAATCGTTAGGCTTATTAATAATTTACTATCTTCTTTATGTGTTAAATACGAATAGATCTGGTCTATAAATTTAGTATAAGTAAACTAGCTATAAGATAATAATATGGTAAACTAGCTAGAAGACAATATACTGTAATTATTTTTGATAATGTAAATTGGACCCTTTTTTCCGCGCTTAGCCTCTCATTTGGGCCGTTGTGCGTGAAATTATTTTTGATTAATATTAAAGTTGTACAGCGTTATTATTTTGTTTGTCCTTAAATTGTTACAGATTATAGATTTATTTCAAACGTATATTACATATTATGTTCTTAATAAAACTACATTAGAAGGCATTGAAGAGTTTGCGACTAATTTTAATAAGCTTTTTAAGACTATATCTACCAAAACTTATGATGCATTAGATCACAGGTAGATTTATTTACTTCTTTAAGGCTAAATATTTAACGTTTTATTTTATATAACGGGATTAGCTAAGAAGCATACCATCGGGCGATAAGTGCCCAAGGGTTCATATCTATGTAGTTGCTTAGTGACATAATCTTGACATAGTGTTTGTTAATTTTATTGCTATATTTCACTCTTTAAACCGGAACGTAGCATGCAGATAAGCTGCGCAGCATTAATGCAGATGATAAGTTTTCTTTTGGTTTGGGAGATTTTTTCTAACAATTAGGTCTGCTAATGTCTATTACAAGCAGTACATTTAAATTTATTTTACTTATTCATTTGCGTTACATTTGTTTACCGTCTATCTTGCAGAGATTTTACATAATTGTATTTTATTTAATTATATAAAATGTAACATTAATTTAATCTACTTCCACTTCAAAGTGTATATTCAATTCAGGCGGCCTGATTTTGATAAAGATTATAAATCATACAAAGATGCTGTCGCAGCTCAAGAGTTACTTCTGGAAAATTTCATGATTGCGGTAAGCATTGTAGCCTCTAATTCTCTAGTACATAATGAATTCTTAGAAGATTAAATAAATTATTTTTTATTTTATTTGTTATCGAAGGTGTAATTCTATTATGGAATGATATGTTGTACAATAGTATTGTAGTTTATGAGTAATGTAAGAATCTATAATTAATTTATTTCAGAGCGTCAACAAATGTCCAACAACGGAAATTGCGTTACAATTGTTGGCACGGTTTGCAACGCTAAAGTTGGATTGTTTGTATCTCGAAGATCAATATTATGATTTAATAAGTAATTACACTGCTGAAATTGAATCTATACGAGATAGGTACATTATTTACATTTTAAGAGTTTTTTTTATAATGTCAGATACTTCTTTAATAAAGTGTATACGAGGTATGTTGCCAAGTCATATTTTTATTTAATGTTGTATTTGGTCGCCGTGTGTGCCCCGGCATAGAATGGGTCACCCCTTTCCTTCTCGTAGGTGTCTTAATAGGCGACTAAGGGAGATCAAGGGATGGGCAGCAGCGTCCCTCTTAAAACATCGCTTATGTTCAGCAACGGACAGTTAACGGTTGAAATAATAATAATAATTGGTACCTGCGTTCAAATATTTTTTGTATTGAAAAATGATTTTTATGTTATATGTAACGTGTCTTGTCTAACAGCTACAAATTCTTCTCTGAAGTAATCCTAACGCTATTTAATGGTAAAAGAATTATTAAAACTGTAAGGATACAAAACTTCCAAACAAATTACGAACCTGATTCGTTCTGAAGTCGCAAAAAATCTATTTATTGCTTTTCTGTTTTGAAATATTTGGTATTTCATTACATTCATTTACATGTATCTGTAATGTCATAAATTACTGATTTATGATATTATTAAAAAAATAGATATAATGAAGAACGTGAAAATCCAGAGCTTCCAAGGAATATGCCTCCAGTTGCAGGTAGAATCATGTGGATTCGATTTTATGACAAAAATATCAAAGGTCCAATGGAAGAATTTATGAAGCATTATGAAGTCATTACGCATATGGTAATGAAAAAAAAAATTTATTACACATTTACATACAATATGACTCAGAATTAAACATTAATAATAGATAATTGAAATGTATAATTACATAATACATTTTGTATATTTGTTACGATAATTAAATTTATTACAATTTCTTTGCATCTTTTTGATAAACCATAATTTCTATTTCAGAATACACAAAGATGTATAAAATTGTATAATGTAATGTGTATAGTATTTACAGAATTTGAGTTAATATATCATAAAGCTTGGGCAGAAAATGTTGGCCAGGTGAGTCTGATACTTGAGATATATATATATATATATATATATATATATATATATATATATATATATATATTATATATATAATTATTGATATATGTTATAATTTAAACCGACTTCAAAAAGAAGGAGATTCGCAATTTAGTTGTATAACTTTTTATAAGAAAAGAAGAATTTAATCTTGAAGAAATTCTATCAAAATTGGTTCAGTAGTTTAGTTTTTTACTGATAGTTCATGTGATAGAAGATGGTAACTGTTTTTTACTAACAGTACTATGGATTTTATATATATTTTATGTATATATTTTATCTAGTTATGATTTTTCACTTATAAGGAGTACTTACGTCTATTGTAAATGTTATACCCGTTGCCGTACTCTTCAGATCGGAACAACTGAAAATACAGGCATTGCTATTTCTCAATAAAATGACTTAGTAGTTAGTTAATTTTATAATTTGGTGTTGTTTACACATATTTTAAATACACTATCGCGACTTAACGTGATGAAAAAGTTGCAGGTAAATCGTACCTATGTACCTGTTTCTTTATTTTTACCACGACGTGGTACAATTCATGTTAAAACGTCGGCAATAAAGAAGCAGGTATGTAGGTATTACTCGTATTTACCTGCAAATTTTTTATTGCATTAAGTTCCGATAGTATATTTAAAATAAGGTCGTACTTTCTACCTATTTTTTTGTAAGTAATATTAGGTAGTTTCTTAGTATTAAACGAAATATTCTTGATTAGGTGCGTCTCGGTTTAGTTGCGCCGCTTTTAGTTCGTCATCCTGTAACGAACATGTATATTGTAAACTTCAGTATTTATATACCGGAGTGTATTAGAGAAGTGGAGTACATGTGGCAATTGGGTCTGAGTAAGTACATTTTAAATATTTCCTCATGATCCTATACGTGTGTACGCGAATATATATTACTTCTTTACTATTAATTTTTTATCTTGTATAGCAGGTTTCATATATGGTAAATGTAACAAATAATATTAGCCGATTTTACATTGACGATGTCATTGGTAAAAATGTTTCTGGTGTTTTATTTGATAGAATGAATGGGATTGTATATGCTGGCAGGGCACTAATAAGTGAGAAAAGGTGAGGATGAATTCAGGTCATGACAATTTCCCTAGAAATCAACCACGGTCGTTTCCAGGAGGACCGTACATGGTACATTATTAGCAATGGGATCGTTAGACTCAATTACTAACAATTGCTTATTTTCTTTTCTGCTTAAGGGATTTGGGTTTATTGGTTCGGGCATTATTTCGTAGCATAGAGCTTTCTGGAAGCTCGACAACCTCGGGTACCTTGAGTCACAGTCAAGTTGTAGTATAGAGCTTTTCTCTATATTACAACTTGACTGTGACTTTTCATTGTGAGTTAAGGTACCTAAGGTTTTTGATTGATTATATGTTTGATTCTGAGTTGTAAAGTACTAAATACCTTAACACAAAATTAATGTTATATATTTTAGGCGTGCCGGATGGTGCTCAGATTGTTGCATTCTGCAAGGATAAAATATTAGGAAATTACGAGCGAATAAAATATTTGGTTGATCGCAACAACCAGATAAGAAGGTATTGTTTTAAAGAGTATATCAAAAATAAAATCCCGTGTGGTCCGGGCATAGAATAGGTTACTCTTTCCTTTCCCGTGGGTGTTGTAAGAAGCGACTAAGGGAGGGCGAGGGATGGGCAGCAGCATCCTTCTTAAAACATTTGCAAAGCCAAACTGCGGTTTCCAATCTGCCTGCCAAGCGTGGCAACTACTGACAAAACCCCTGCTTGACTTATCTTCAGTAGTTAAAAGCTGATATGATGATGATCAAATATAAAAAGTTCATATCTGGAGAGCTAAATTGCGCAAGGAACATTTTTGATAATTTACTGATTGTTGTTAAAACGAAATTTAAATAACTCATTGTTGTTAAAATGAAATTTAAATAACACGCTGATGTTAAAAGAAATGTAAAGATTATTGGCGATTCTATAACAGTAACAACGCATTAATTGTAATTATTTAAAGTTGATTTAGGAAATTAATTCGTTTTGGATAAATCGTTGTTAATGGTGTTTTTCTATCAATGTATTATGTGTGGTGTCGTACTCATATACGGAGTATGTAATATATCGCTTACTTATATATGTAATAGATATAAAAAAAGAACATTGGTTACTTTTATTTTGTCATACTTTACAGGAGCATGCCAAAGTTATATTTACCTTTACTTCGAGCACAACTGATAAAACTTGAGAAAGCATTTCAACCAGGTCTTTCTACCATAACGTGGACTTCATTGGAAATACCATCTTATTGTGACAACATCGATGCTGTTTTGGATGAAGTAGACCTATTTGTTAAAGAGGTGATAAAAATGCGAATACCGTTACTGTGTACAAGCTAATAGTTTTATTAATGAAATTTGGTAATAAAGTTATTACGTACATTTTGTAGTGGATAACTACTTCTAGATGTAAAACATACACCAGATTTTATGTTAGACGTTTAGGAACACAACGGAGAAAATCCCATTTAATTTAATATACTTTTTTGCATGATACCGGAGTAAACATACAGACAGAGAAATTAAAATTCTGAAAATTATTGTATTGTCATATATATTTTTTTAAATTAAGAATTAATTTATATCAATTTTTATTAAATATGTCTTCTAGTTAAAATTGATTACATTTAGTAAAATTTCTTTTTAGGTAGTAGATATGAAGGAGGCTCGAATTGATGCGATTTTACAGTCTATTACAAAGACTTTATTAGTGTACTTGCCAGAACAAGCTATCGATCCAGGAGTATTTTATGAGGAGAATTATCAAAGACGTGATGACATAGGTGAGTTTGTTATTTGAGTATGGATATATAAATATTAAAATACGTTATTTGTAAAATATGCTGGTTCTTTATGTTATATATTATTATTTATTAATTATATTAATTATAAGTAAAAATTCCGTCTGTTCACTTGATGTAATATATATTTTATTATATTTAATTTGTTTTTCAATTTAAATGTTTTATAAAAAAAAACTACAATTATCAATGTATGTAAAAAGAATATACGTTTTATGTAAAATATTAATATATTTTAAATTTTCTTTTTAGCATTGGATTTACAACAAAAGTCATGTAATGCAGAAATTGCAGTTATAGAGTTGATCAATAAATTCTTGGAAAGTGTGCCTTCTAAACAGATTCAAGACTTAAAAGATAATTGGTAATTATATTTAAATAAGTGAAAAAATTAAAATTAATTTTCAACCGACTCCAAATATAAGGAGATTCTCAATTTGGTTATATTTTTTAAGTAATAAACTTAATGAGATAATAAATCTCATAAATAAATATCCCATAAATCTGTAAGTTATAAATCGAATTGAAAATTTTTTTTTTACCTGAAAAGATATACTTACAGATTAGTTTTAGAAATATATAAATAGAAATTTTATCAAAACGGTTTAGTAGTTTGGTCTACTCATTAATATAATAGGTTAAGCCACAATAGATGTAGTTTTTTATGTAAAACACAATCTTTAATTATTTGCTGTACAAAAATTTATAGGTCCCTAATAATTTTATTAGAAACGTGAATAATAAGTACTATTTTAAACTATTATATTTGATTAATATTTTTTATTGCAACTATTTGTTAAGGTTTTTATTTTAAAATGTATTTTAGGTTAGATATAGAGAAGGCATTAAAACAAGTAACATCAGCTACAAGAGTATTCCCTGAGGATGCTGGTAAGTATCTCTAATTTGTAGTGAATATCTAGTCCCAATATTAATTTAGCTTATTATTATACTTTATAGTATTTAAAGCTATAATGATTTTCAAAAGAAATTAAATTATAATTTTTTGTAAAAATATATCTACCATTTATATAATATTTTTTCTGTAAATGTAAATACTATTACGTTTTACCAAGGACTCCCTGCAACATTTGAGATCGTAACTTTATTATTTTTTATTTGTTTACACAAGTAAGTTAAAGTAATTTAACAACTATTATATTCTCCAGCATTTCTAGAGATAGAGAATCCAGATCGATTTGACGTAGTGCCTGTGATTAACGAATGCAATGAACTATTTGCTTATTTTGCTACCAAGTGTCTCGAATCACTTATAAAATGCACACGACAGAGTTTAGATTTATTGCGGCGACGAGCTTCGGTATCCAGGTATAATTACTGCATTTTTGCTTAATTTTTATTTTTTTTTTACAATTGTTGGTGTGTGTATTCGTCAAAGCTATTAGCGCAACATTTCGAAAACAAGCATTATAATTGCCATGCCTATTGCCATGTATATATATTTTGTTTCATTAAGTGACGATATAGTATGTATGTATATGCAACACAAAATTCCAGCTTCCTTACAATGACGACTGATCCCGAGGAACAAAAGAAACTCAAACCACTTATGTTAACAATGATGCATTTGATGATTCCTCGCATTTTGATAAAACCCACGTTGGAGGAAATACAGACTTCGTTTTCTCAAGTACGTTTATATTAAAAGAATTTGTAAGAGTTATAATGAACAAAATGATATTTAATATTTTTTCTTTATGCCTAATTTCGTGTGTAGGTGGTGTTGAATTGTATAATGGATATTCATCGTAACGTTTATATGTGGGGTCAACAAGAGCTGTTAAAAAAGGAGAAAATGGGAGCACGATCATTGTTAAATAGTAGAAGTATGAGTGGTATGATATCCTTCTGTGTTAAAATAATAGAGGAATACATTTTTCTTCTATTTAGTTTTTTTCTTGGTCATTTAAAAATTATTTGTTAACTGGAGTCGTAATAAATTTGCAGCTGGGTCTAGGTCAGGCTCGAACATCCTTGGTATCAGAAGTTACTTCAGAATGGTCTCTGAGCATAAAGATATCGTTAGATCTGTAATGGCTTTACAAGGAATGATGTACATGTTTAAACCGGATATCGAGAAGTTATTAAAAGTTAGTATAATTTATTGTTTGTGTAAAAAAGTTACAAAAATGTTTAGTGATTTCTAATATGACTATTTTATATATTGTCATTCATTTTTATATTTTTAGAGCTATGAAAGATTCGCTCATTTGTGGGCCGAAGATAGAGTACAACAAGTACAAAGTTTTGTGGATTCTAACCCTCTGAATGTAATTATCAGAGATATGCTTAAGAAATATGAAGGACAAACTGAGGAAGTACTTAATTTGCCAGAGCGGCATATTATTGGTTCAATTCAAATAAATATGGGTAAATACGTATTGTTTGCGTACGAATTTAATATTTTACTATATTTATAATGTATATAAAAATTAATAATTAAATAGAATGCTTTTAATAATTAAATATCTGATTGCGGTTTAATCTGAGCAACTACAATCTACCGAAATATTGTTTAAAATCAATGTTATTGCAATACACGTACTTTAACAGTTCAAAATACCTTTTAATTTTTTTATAGATAAAATAAAATTGGCTTTGCATGTAGAATCTATAGAATGGAAGCGTATACTAGGTAAATTGCTAAGTCGAGCCTACAAAGAGCGTGTGCAAAGACTAATGCAATTCATTAATGATCGTATGAAGACTATGGGCAAAAAGATTAAGGATTTAGACGACGTCAGAGTAGCTATGTTATGCCTTGAATTGATCCGAGATGAATTTATAGGGTAATAATTCATATATTAATTCTAAATAGATGTTTTAAACCCTTAAAATAATTAAATTTCTCTATAATAATGAATGAAACTATGTGTTATAGGATGGACATGGAATTAGATTTAATTGAAGAAAGCTATGCAACATTTGCGCAATTTAATATTGATATACCTAAAGAGGATGCGGATATGGTTTATGGATTACGCTATGCATTTCAAAATATGCTTTTAACTGTGTGTATATTGTTTTATTTATATGTTTTTCGTCCATTGACATTAGACAGGTGATACATACGAAGGTGCATGCAAACAAGTGACAAGTAATTAAGCAATTAAGCAATTTTAAAGATAAAATTTATCGTCGTCGATTCAACGCAAATAGCAAAATTTTGTTACCTATTTTTGTTTTTATTATTAATCTTATTTTGAAGTTTTGTATATTGGCACGATTGTTATATTGATAATTAATTTATCTGCTATGTAATAAATCATTTTAATAATAATAATAATATATATTTTTTATCATATAATATTTTAGTCGCAGCAAGTACAACAGAAAATAGTAGATATGCAAGGACCTCTTCAGAAAGAATTGACTGAAGGTGTGGCGACTTTCTTAGAAGATGTGTTGAAATTTGACGCCGATTACGATGCTTTTGGGCCCATGACTCCCGGTCTTACTGCCAGAGAGGCTAGTGATAGGTATTAAAATATTGAATAGAATAAAAATATTTTAAGTTCAGTACTACCAAGTTTACAATATACAGAATTCTTCAAAAATTGCTGATAATACATATGTTATTAATAGATAGAACCTAACTCCTAATTAACAAATCATTAATTTATTATAGAGTTATCATGTTCCAATCAAGATTCGATGATCTATGGCGACGATTTGAAATGTATTCCAATGGTGAAAAGTTATTCGGAATGGAAGTTAAGGACTATCCTATATTACATCAAAAGAAGAAAGAATTTAATTTACTTAGCAAATTGTACGTAAACTTTGATTATAGTAGAGTAGGTATTCAATATGGTTTACTTTTAAACAAAAAGAAAATACTGCTGAAGAGAAAGTTTAAAATGCTAGTAATAATTTTAAACTTTGTTTATTTATTATTATTAACGAATATTAATTTAAATTTATTTTAATACTTTTATATTATATAGATTTATTGCATTCTAAACCGTTCCTCAACTGTTCAAGGTCTAACCTTGTTTCCATCATTCTCACATGTAATTTTTTACAGGATAACTATTTATGATAAACGCATAGATTTCAGATCAGTTATCAAGCAGATAACTTTGTAATTCTATCATATTACAATCCGTCTTGAATTTATTAATATCTAATAATAAGATCTCTATTTCTTTTTTTTGTAGGTATAGTTTGTACTTGGCTGTAATGAACTCTATCGATGGATACTTTGAGACACCATGGGTTGAAATCGATATTCAACAAATTATAGCACAATTGACAGAATTCGATCTTCGGTTATTAAATATATATATTTAGTTATTTTATTTTCGTAAATAGAGTTTTAACTGACTGATTTCTTTCAATCGCTTTTGTAGATGTCGTAAATTACCAAGGGGAATGAAAGACTGGCCTGCTTTCATAGAATTAAAGAATAAAATCGACGACTTCAACCAAACTTGTCCATTACTAGAGCTTATGGCAGATAGATCCATGAAGGACAGACACTGGAGGAGATTAGAGAAACTAATGAGTAAGTACGATATTATAATTTTAAAATATTAAAATTCGCGATCCATCAAAGATTATGGGTCCCTGGTAAAAAATATTTTATCAAAACTCGCCAGGTAGAACGCAATATATCTCTATTTGTATAAGTTTGTCGCTGTGTCTATTGTATAAATCTTCTATCTATATAAATGTACAATAAATAGAATAAAGAAAAATGAAAAAAAAAAAATACCTTTTAAAAATGACTAAGGAAACAAACGAGATATTTTATGTAACTTTTTTACATTTCATAGATTGTGTTTTGGATGTGGAATCTGATTCATTCACGCTTGCGAATGTTATGGAAGCACCTCTATTGAAAAATAAGGAAGACGTTGAGGTTAGATATTTTACAAATAGTATTGATATATTCAACAGTCAATATTTGTTACATTTTATCGTTCGTCCATGATCATTTTGAAATTACAATATTTTTCCGGATTTATATTTTATTACTTTTCAATTATTATATTTTAAAACTTTTCAATTATTGAGTTGTGACGAGAAAAACTTATTTTGATAGCCAATAGTGACAGCAGTTTACTCATTATCTATTCAATTCAGGATATCTGCATTAGCGCAGTAAAAGAAAAAGACATTGAGGCGAAATTAAAACAAGTAATTGCGGATTGGGCAGTCGTAGATTTAACGTTTTCTCCATTCAAAAACCGCGGCGAGTTGCTTCTCAAGGCGCAGGACACACTTGATATTATTACAATGCTGGAAGATTCACTCATGCTGCTTAATTCTTTGGCATCTAACAGGTACTGAAATTATACTCTTAGGGATTTATTGTACAATTATAAGCCAAACTAAATTATACATTTGATTTGTACATAAATATGAAGGGTTATTACCCTAAACAGTCAGTGTAATTTGTAATAAAAGTAATTCTTTGCGTATAATTCAATCTTTAATGACTCTTTAGTGTTGGTCTATTTGTAACAATATAAGTACGTTTAATTGTTAATTAAGCACCGAAATAACTTTATTTGATAACATTTTTATTAGAAAAAACATTACCATTATTTTTACTTAAGAGATGACGCAAAAAGATGCAATTTACAGGTATTACTCCTGATTTTTGAGGAATAGCAATAGTTGTAGAATGCCATGAACAGCATATTATATTATATTGTTCAGCTTCATAAAGTTCAGTCTATTCGACGCCATCTATTCTTATTGCGTTTGCCGTCAATTTAATCGACGAATGAAAAAAGTTTCTAGAGTGATTATCTCGATTTATAGATGATTACGTGATAATTAGGTACATATAAAAAATGCACAGGAATCTTAGTAGGCGCATTTCTTGAGAATGGCTGGATCGATTAGGTTAGATAAAATTAACTGTTCTTAATAGTCTGATAGAGTTTTTAGGGAGAGAAATAAAAAAAAATGGTATATGGATAGGACATCGTGTTTTAGATGAGCAAGTATATAAATGATATTTATTAAATGATGTTTACTCAGATATAATGCACCTTTCAAAAAGGACATACTTTTATGGATTAACAAGTTGGTAAGCACAAGCGAGATTCTAGAGAAATGGCTTCAAGTGCAGAATTTATGGATGTATCTGGAGGCTGTGTTTGTGGGTGGTGATATTGCAAAGCAGTTGCCGGCTGAAGCTAAAAGATTTGGCGTTAGTATCTGAATCATTTTTTTAAACTACTAATAATTTTTTAATTAATTTTATGTAATGTGAAAGTTTGTGAATATGAATGTGTTTTGATGTTATTTATGCCTAATTAGCTAAACTGTATACGTAGTACGAGATGTATGTAGGTACAGATAAATGAAAGATAGGGTGGGTTGATATTGTTTATTCTAATTTATGCGAGAAAAACTGCAGGATTCACCTAGTGTTACAATATTATATAAATAAATGCATTAAAATTCGTAAAAAACATAATTTTGTCTCAATCTAACTAGTGCAATCTTTGAGATAAGAGGTCATTGTTTTCGGTAGTGGATTATACTCGTATACTCGTAAGCTGCGGAAAATATGTGTACCTATTTTTAGTTATAAGTAATCATATTTTTAAATAAATTATAACTGGCCAGTCTCACATACATAAAAACTTTTTCTCGCAATACTTTCTGAGTGACCTGGTAATATATTCACGGTATCGTTTACTGGTACCAAGCAAGGATTACCACTATCATGTGAGGTGTCAGATTATTTATTAGTAGTGTTAAAATAAATGTAATGCATATTTATTTTAACATTTAACATTATGTATTTTTATTTCAGACAATAGACAAAACATACGTGAAGATTATGTACCGAGCTCGCGACATAGTCAACTGCGTGGAGACTTGCACATCCGATGATACGCTCAAACAGTTATTGCCGCATCTATTTGAACAGTTAGAAGCTTGTCAAAAATCACTCACTGGTTATCTCGAGACGAAGCGATTGATATTCCCAAGGTTCTTTTTCGTGTCCGACCCGGTGTTGCTAGAAATCCTTGGACAGGCATCCGATCCCCATTCTATACAGGTAAATGGAATAATGATCTAGTAAACTATTGCTATCTTAATAATATAATAAAACTGTAAGACTATGATGTTTATATATAATAGGCATTTAAAAAAAAATTATATGAGGGGTCTTGATATGAACAATAGAAGCCAAAACATTTTATTTTAGATTTCTTGTTTGTTTATTTGTCTGTTTGTTTACGCAAAAATTGTTGTATCAAATTGAATGCGGTTTTCATATTTATGTTTCTGAAGGTTCAGCTTAAAATGTGGAGAATGTTTTATTTTTATATTATCTAAAAGTGGTAATCTACCACATCATTTTCTACTTTTTGTATTTTCTTCTTGTAAATGAATTATATTTCTTTGAGAAAATAAAGATCTTAAATCATTACTTCCCAAAAATGAATATGTACAAAATTGCGGGTAAAAATAACTAATAACCTAAATAAACTCTATTGTGACATAGTAGAGTTGACATGATGTGATATGCCTTTAATCATTCTTTTACAAGAATGGTTATAATGAGCTATGCAAAAAAAAAATGAATATAATATTAAATACCTATTACATCGCTTTTAGATTTTCAATTAAATATTAAATATCTTACTTACTGATCATATGTGATTTATTTCTAATTGATGTATGTAATATGAACAGCCTCACCTGCCGAGCATCTTCGACGCGATGTACACGGTCGACTTCGATGACAAGGAAAGGATAATCAATATGAATTCCGATAATGGCGAGACCATTCCTTTGGAACGACCTGTCGCTTGTATTGGAGGTGTAGAGGTGATTATGTAATAATATTTTTTTTACCTTTACGTGGAATTTCCAGTAAATTTGTCTTCCAGTTACCTTTTAATTTGATTATAAATCCTCTTATTCGTTATTTGAATTTTACGAAAATTTATAAAATCATTACATTTACCTATACTTATAAAATTCTTTGTCCTAATTGACTATCAACAAACAGACAGAACTGTTAGTTTAGAAAACTAGATCCGTAAAGAAAGGATTCTTTAAAAAAATCAACTTAATATAGTATATATAATATATAATAAAGGGTAACCAACATAACGTGTGCAAAGTTGCGAGCTATAACTAGTTATGTAAAAATTACTTAAAGTGTGACTTTACAGATTTGGTTGAACACTTTGCTGGACACAATGAAAGATACTGTTAGGAATATGATTGCCAACATTTCTCAAACGATGGCCGGTGATCCAGAATTTGAGTTTTTGGTCGGCTTTTGGAATTTTCCAGGACAGGTAATTATTTCTAAAAGATCTAATTCAATGTAAATCGTACTATATTTTTAATTATTATTTATATACTATTATTATTTTTTTAGTAGTATGTTAAAGTAGTAAATATTAAAGTGTCATTTTGAATAATATCTCGTAGATTTTACAACTTTTACGTCTCATGTACTTCCAGGCTGGCTTGTTAGGTATGCAAATCTTGTGGACCAGTGATGCAGAATATGCACTAAAGAAGGCAAGAGCTGACCGGTTTATTATGAGGCTGACCAATCAGAAATTCCTTGATTTATTGAATGGACTAATCGATTTGACGGTCAAAGATTTAGTGCCTTTAGACAGAACTAGAGTCGAAACTATGATTACGATTCATGTACATCAAAGGTACTGTATAAAATAATTTCAAAATATCTGTTTAAAATGTATTTTATAACTAAATTTTTTATTAACTTAGTTATTTGAAAAATTTGGTGTTTTATTTATTTTATACAGCTAAGCTTAACTTAATAACTTGACATGCTTTTATAGAGACATCTTTGATGATTTGGTACGGATGAGAATAAAATCACCTATAGACTTTGAGTGGCAGAAGCAGGCTCGGTTCTATTACTTTGAAGACACTGATGATTGTATTGTGTCAATTACCGATGTAGATTTCTTGTATCAGGTTATTTGTACACAATTACTAATAATATAAGTAATATAGGTGTAGTTATGTGGTTAAGCGGATTGTTAAGTCGACAATTAAGATTTGTCTACAAAACAATTGTCTACAATGTGTTAGGCAAGTGGCTAATACTTTATAACAATTTTTAATAACAGTCATGAATACATACGGTACACTTAGTTGTGTAAAAGTAAATATCTATAGTTACAAATAATTTATTAAAAGGTATTTCCTTTACCGTAGGGTTCTTCAAAAAAGGGGCAAAAAGATTTCTTCAGGGTCGGCAACGCGTGTGTATAGTCTTGGTATTGCAGATGTTTTTAGGCCATAGGCTAAAAACGTTTGTTACTATATAACCGCTTACTATTCGGCAGGTCGTATGCCTGTTTGCGACCTCAGTGATAAAAAAGAAGAACATAATCTTCAGAATGTATCTTTCATTAAATTCTACGTCTATCCACAGAACGAGTACCTCGGCATTACAGAGCGGTTAGTAATTACGCCACTGACGGACCGCTGCTACATCACGCTCTCGCAGGCTATCGGTATGAGTATGGGCGGTGCGCCCGCCGGGCCCGCTGGCACTGGCAAGACTGAGACTACCAAAGACATGGGCAGAACGCTTGGAAAACTCGTCATTGTGTTCAACTGCTCAGATCAGATGGACTTTAGAGGTTTGTAGCCTTTTTTATCATCATTGTCTATTGTTGAACAGAGACTGTTATAAGGAATAATCCTGAGTCCCCTGCATCTGTTAATACCTTGAATACATTAGATAACATTGCTCCATATTCATCTATTAGACAACTTTCAAATAGAAGAGTCTCTTGATTCGTCTTGGATTCAATTCTTTTTCTTTTTTACTCCTGTGATGATCAATTTAAATTTGTTATGATGGAAGTAACTTTTTGATAGAGCACACAATATATTTGATTACTTATAACTTTTAATAAAAAAAAAAGACATAGAGCGAGAGTTAAAAATAATTCGCCGCTAATAGATATATCTTTAAATAATTGAGTAAAATTTTTGTTTGGTTGAGTAGACACAATTTCAGTTCTGTAATACTCTTTTTTTCTTTCATTTGTAGGCTTAGGCCGTATTTACAAAGGGCTAGCGCAATCAGGAACATGGGGTTGCTTTGATGAATTCAATCGCATTGAGCTTCCCGTATTATCCGTAGCAGCGCAGCAGATTTATATCTGCCTTACTGCAAGAAGGGAAAAGCGAGAATTCTTTGTATTTAGGTGAATTGGTTTATTCTTTTGAAAACACATGTAATAAATATATCAGTAATTATAACATACTAACAGTACTGAGTTTTACAACCAAATCCAATGTGAATGCAATAATTATGTAAATTATTTATATTTTTATATTGGTGACACTGTTGATAATTTAAAAAAAAATAATTTAAATTCATTAAGCTATTAATTGGATACTATTGTATTAAAGTTTCTAATTGATTTCTTTGACATGACTAAACTGACCAAATAATGTAGTGTCAACATAACATAACAAATAATTTGGATCGTAAAAGGTTGTTTTAAGAAGTATTTGCTTAGATTAATAAATATCCTATTTACACAGTGATGGCGACGTAGTAAGTCTAAATCCTGAGTTTGCATTCATTATCACCATGAATCCTGGGTATGCGGGTCGTCAAGAACTCCCGGAGAACCTGAAGATCCAATTCCGTTCCGTAGCCATGATGGTGCCTGACAGACAGATCATTATCAGGGTCAAGCTGGCTAGTTGTGGTTTCAAGGAGAATATACTATTGGGTATTGATTATTTTTTAGCATATAATATGATGCTACCCATATTTGTATCCAAAAGTATTTGGACATTGCAAATTTGAGTGTGTTTATATTCGATATTGTAACGTCTTTTATAAATATTTAAGTCAAAGGAAGTTATTTAACTAACGGCCTAGTTAGGTGGCTAGTAGATCTAACTAAATGTAATTTATTATTCAATAAAGACAGTTATTATTATTTTTATTATTAATATGACCCTTCAGATAAGACGAAACGAAGGACTAGTCTGTTTCAATGAATAACTGTCCTGAACATAAAACAGTCTACTGATATCCAATAGCAGTGCAAATAAAAAACGATGAATTGAATAAATATTTTAATTTAATACTGATTTTGAGATTGAAGAGTGCTTCTCTGATAATTTCAACAAAATTTGACTATTTTTCATTAAATTATTTTAAACAGACTGTACTATACGTATATGTAATTTATATATAATTATGTATAATTATTATGAATATATATTAGTATGTATTTTTTCTCGTTTGCACTTGCACTTGTTTCGATAGAGTAAATATATCACAAATACATTAATTTGTTACTTGAGTGTATATTATCAATCTTTAATGAAATATTATTTAATTTCTGCATTATATTTTAGCTCGCAAATTCTTTACTCTATACAAACTGTGCGAAGAGCAGTTGTCTAAGCAGGTGCATTACGACTTTGGTCTACGAAATATTCTCTCTGTATTAAGGACCATGGGCTCACAGAAACGAGCGAACCCTGAGAGTACTGAGGAGAACATTATGATGAGAGTGTTGAAGTTTGTATATTTTATAAGCATTTTTTTTTATATTATTAACATAGAAATTAAATACTATATCTATTTTATTACAGGGAAATGAATGTATCTAAATTAGTAGACGAAGATGAACCATTGTTTGTGTCTTTGATTGAAGATTTGTTCCCTGGTATTAAACTAAGTCAAACTGTGCACAGGTAGTAGTTTAATTTAAATTTTTTCAACATACATGTTTAGTTTAAAGATATAACTTTAGTCTATGATCTTATCTAGTTTCATAATTTGCAGTCTTAAATAATTAACCAGCTGTTCTATCAATTACGATTAATATTTTTTAGAGAAAATCTTTCAGTTCATTTGTTTCCTATTTACTTTGAATATTACATTTCCGTGATCAATTTGGCTATGGACTTATGTTCATGATTCTCCATGAACTTAAATAAATATAAAAAAAATCTTTAATTTTAGAGAAATGCAACGTGCCATAAACTTGGTAACAGAACGGACTGGTTTAGTTAACCACCCGGATTGGAACTTGAAGATCATTCAGTTGTATGAAACATCGCTCGTACGGCACGGTTTAATGACCATGGGTCCTACTGGTTCTGGGAAAACCACGTGCATCCATACTTTGATGGCAGCGCTAACGGAAGTTGGTAGACCGCATAAAGAAATGAGGATGAATCCCAAGGTAAACAGTTATTAATTTTTTTACAGTTTTCTACATATATAATAAAATTTTATACTAAAAATATTATACATATGAGAAATTAAATAGAATTCTTTCGATTGATTTAAATTGTAATATTTAATTTGAATAACTTTATTCCAGGCTATAACTGCTCCACAAATGTTTGGCCGATTGGATGTGGCAACTAATGACTGGACAGATGGAATATTTTCGACTTTGTGGAGAAGAGCTTTGAAAGTGAAAAAGTCTGATACTACTTGGATTGTATTAGGTATGTTATATTAATAGTTGGTTATTAATTTATATTTTTTTTATAATATTCCTATTGATATATACATAGATGGTCCTGTGGATGCCGTATGGATTGAGAACCTAAATTCCGTACTTGATGACAATAAAACTTTGACATTGGCCAATGGTGATCGTATTACTATGGCACAGAACAGTAAACTTGTGTTCGAGCCTGATAATGTAGATAATGCTTCTCCAGCTACTGTCAGTAGGATGGGAATGGTGTTTCTATCATCATCTGTACTCAAGTGGCAGCCTGTACTCGAGGTAAAGTCGTAATAGTTACTATCTAAGACTAGTAGTAGCTTCTTGTTACTGAAGAAAAAAAATACTCACGTTATTAGTATTATTACAGGGCTGGTTGAAAAAGAGATCGCAAAAAGAATCTGATTCCCTACGTAATGCTTTTAATAAGGTTTACAACGAAGTTCATATGTATGTACAACAAAAGCTACCAGCTAAAATGAAATTACTCGAAGCTATATATATAAGGTAATATCTCATTATAGTGAGAGAAGATATTATATGATTACAAGCGTATATAAATTGTATTTTTCTACAGGCAATGTATAGATGTTTTGATTGGTCTACTGCAGATAGAAATTCCTGGTGGTAGTAAGTATATTTTTCAATATTTTATAAGGTTTGATGATGTAAGAAAATTATATAAATTACATCGTAATATAGGTTTGAGTAATTATATTATCAGTGCAATATTTAAAATGACGATTGTTAGTACTTGAGCAAAATCTAAATTTATATTTTTTGTTTAAATAACAACTTGTCTAATTTATCTAATTTAAATTTCTCGAAGAGAATAATTGCATCATACACATTTATTCAAAATAATAAGGATTAACTAAAAGTATGAGGAGCAGATTAGGTACTAGGGTGTGGGTAAATAATCTATAGGTTACAAATCCAAAGATTGATCAGAATCAGCCTTTAAATTCTGGACTGTTTACTTGAAGTAAAAATTCAATACTAAACAAATCTGTCGTTACTAGAATTGCATACAGACCGTCACTTGGAGCGACTGTTTATATTCGCCATGATGTGGTCGCTGGGAGCAGTGCTAGAGTTGGATGCACGTACACGTATGGCCGAGTTTATGACAAAGTTACCCGTCAAAATGGATTGGCCTGGGGCCAAGTCTAAGGAATGGATCATGCCTTTTGAGTATATGGTCAATGAAACGGGAGTGTGGCAGCATTGGTATATTATACTTTTTATTATTATAAAATTAAGTAAGTAATAGCCGAAGACAGAGCTATATTCTTCGTAAGTTGTTACCTGAACCATGCGTTATTTAGTGATCAGATTTAAGAAAAACGACGAAGTTAGTTATTGAATAAGACTATGCTTAAGAAAATATGTTAGTAAGTCTTATAAATAATATTAAAATTCAATGTAATTTGTGGTCTATTTGATACCAAGTATCTAGTTGTCTATTCAGTGAATTAGAATATATGAATTACGCTTCGCTCGTTTCAGGTCTGAGATTGTAGAAGACTATATTTACCCGCCAGATAGTATACCAGAATATGCCTCCATTTTAGTACCAAACATCGATAATGTGTGCATTTCATTCTTGATCGAGACTATAGCGAAACAAAACAAAGCAGTCTTGTTGATTGGTGAACAGGGCACAGCAAAAACCGTGATGTTAAAGAGTTATATGCAAAAATATGACAATGAAGTCAAATTGTATAAAATGATCAATTTCTCATCTGCCACCACGCCTAACATGTTTCAAGTAAGTTCAAAGATGACATTTGCTCTAGTGATTACAGAGTTATTGTCGCCATTGTGTAAATGTGTTAATGTTATTTAAGTATAAAAATTAAATAAAATAAGTTATTTATATTTTAGTATTATTACAGTGTAATTATCAACCAGTGATCTAACGCCTTTATACGTTCCGAATGATTACATGACAATTTGAAATTCATTTTACTGTCTAGATATGTCCGTTGAATGACTAGTGGGTAAGAGTTTTTTAGATTGGGGTGTTCTGTATCGAAAAATATACAAATTATATTATCGATATATTACATTATAGAGAATCATAGAGTCGTACGTGGAGAAACGTGTTGGTATGACTTACGGCCCTCCCGGCGGAAGAGGCATGACTGTTTTCGTCGATGATATCAATATGCCTGTTGTCAACGAGTGGGGTGACCAGGTAATTAACAGTTATTCTTATTATCTGAGTAAGTTTCATTCTTTACTAACTAAATATTAATCAAAATCATGTTACAAATAAGAAATTATTTTTTTGTAATTTGAAAATTGATGAAAAACAGCAAATTTATCTGCACTATTAGTTTGAGTTTGTAAGGTATCTGAGAGGCATGATAGGATAGTTGGCTTATTGTTACGAATGACGAGTTCAATAGTATGACTAGTAGCGAAATTACGATGTTGCGGGAGACGACTTGATAGTGTATGGGGCTGTCGATCGCTGTTACTAACGATCCCTTATCACAATATGTCGAACTTTAAACATTGCTGGTAATGCTTTGTTAAATATAATAGGGATTAGTAGTATTTAGTTGGAATCTATGTTGGTCTTTCCTAATTGGGTAACTTTTAGTGACAATAGGGGCTGTTATAATAACAATCGTTTATACGTTAGTAAATTGATTTCAGGTAACTAATGAAATAGTACGTCAAATGATGGAGTACGGCGGCTTCTATTCATTAGAGAAGCCTGGAGAGTTCATTATAATTGCAGATATACAGATGTTTGGTGCAATGATTCATCCAGGTCAATGCATAATTAATAATTTTATTTCTAGTTTCTTTATTTATATTTATAATTCATATATAATGTTTCAAATATGGTATATAATTATGTTAATTTTTTTTTCAATAATAGGTGGCGGTCGAAATGATATACCCCCTCGCTTGAAACGACAATTTAATATATTTAATTGTACTTTACCTAGTACGATTTCAATGGACAGAATATTTGGTAAATATATAATAGTCATTATGCCATCTGTTAAATCCTTTAAATTGTATAAGTTGCTTATTTCTATTAAAATAAATCGATTATTATGGCTATTTTTCGTTGGTTTTATCATTATTATGACAGATATAAAGGTTAATATAAAAGTTTCTATACCTATTTTACCACATATTGTGAGGTTATTAGGTGACAGATAGATGACTCTGTATTAAGAGAAAAGTCAAATAATCTCTGCAATAGACGTATGATTACGTGTATCTTGAAGGTATAATGTAAGAATAGAGGCATTTAGATGTTATAGTAATTATCTCTGCCTACTCTGCAATATAATTTTCAAGCTAGGTTAGCTTGAAAATTATAAGCGTGATAATCTGGGACAAATTAAATATAATATTGAGGTAATGATGGTTTTGGCGTTTCTTAAAAAACGCGTGTAATTGAAGTGAAATTGTTAATTGAAATAATAATATTACAGAAACCATTAGTGCTGGTTATTTTTGCAAATCACGTTTCGACAAGAAAATTGTTGAATTTATGCCTAGATTAGTGCCAGTTACTCGTATTATTTGGCAACAAACAAAGGTAAGTTGTTCGTTTTCTAAAACTACATTATATACATTATTATCAAATGGTAAAACATATTGTAAATAATAATTAAAATAGCTTAAATGTATATTTTAGGTTAAAATGTTGCCAACGCCTGCTAAATTTCACTACGTATTCAATCTTAGAGATTTGTCTCGCATATGGGAGGGTATATTATTCATTAAAAGAGAAGAATTACCATCTATAAAAACTGCTCTTAAATTGTGGTTTCATGAATGCTTAAGGGTTATTTCTGACAGGTAAGAAATTCATATTTCAAATCCTATTAATATTATAAATACAAAAGTTTGGGGAGATATAATGTTTGGTACTCAATTTTGAATTGAATTTCTAAGAAACTTGTGGAACTTAATTTACGCGGGCAAAGTCAGTTAAGCTATTTTTATCCTATGAAGATTATGTATATTAATTATACAAAGACGAAAGATTTTATTTATTTGTATATAATAATTTTTTATAGGTTCACAACATTCGAGGATAAAGATTGGTTTGTAGTAAACTTTTGGAAAACGGCTGCGCAAGAGTTACCGGATGTGGTAAGCGAGTTTCCTGAGGGGGAGACATTCTTTGTGAACTTCTTGCGAGAGCCAGTAGAGCCGACTGGAGATGAGGACGAAGACTTTAGCACTGATGCGCCTAAAATTTATGAAGAACTACCCGCGTAAGGATCGTGTTCATTATAATATTTATTATCTAAATATGAATGAAAGCCGGTTTTATATCAGTAGCCCATATTTTTTTTTAATAATATTGCCGTGTCTTTCTTTAATCGATTAATCAATTTAGCTAAGGTGCTTTTAATTTGATTCTAAAATTGTCTGAATATAGATCAGAGAAAACAAAAATACTAGATTTATCAAAATTGTAATAATTTTTTTCTTGAGACAGATACGTGAGTTGGGGAAGGGGGAGGGTAACACACTACTTCGATTAAAATAGGATAATTAAAATAGGTTCAAAATTAATAGAGTTAACAATCTTTAGATTTTGAATTTTTAAAGTCGATTGACTAACCATAAAATTTTTCAGCAACTTTACCTATGAAATAGATGCATGTTTTATTATTAATGACTTCTTGACAGTAGTAATTTTGAGAATATTTATATTTCTTTAGATATTAATTAACTAGAGATTTTTTCCATCAATGGAATATAACATATAAGATGTGGTATTAGTAATCATTAACAGAAAGATTAATTTATTCTTTTAGATGGGACTTCGTATTGATGAAGCTTGGACAGTTCCAAGAACAGTTTAATGATCAAATCAGAGGTGCTCACTTGGACCTTGTCTTTTTCCACGACGCTATGGTGCATTTGTTTATTATATCGAGAATCATAAATACACCACGGTGAGTAAAATGTAGCCTTGAGTAACATTCCATTTAAAAAACATTTGAGCCAACCAATTTGTCTCTTTAAATTAGGCAGTAAAATGGTTTAGTATTTACTAAAATATCTGACTACAAGGTAACCAAATATTATCAAATTACATTTTATTTTATTTAGAAATAAATAATATATTATTTCATTAAAACTCATTTATTATACGTATTATTGAAGTGTTGTTTTTATGCAAATGTTGATACCTAATTTTTTAAAATATAATTCATTCATAACAGGTAAAAAAGTGCACTAATTTTTATTAATTGAAACATCTGAATTTCAGAGGTAATGCATTATTAGTAGGTGTCGGTGGTTCCGGTAAACAAAGCTTGACTAAATTGGCCTCTTATATAGCGAACTTCTCCTTTTATCAAATTACATTATCAAGGTACATTTCAATGTAAATCAATATCTAGTAAATATATAATATATCAAGTGTAATCCTATATAGGTAAGATCTCAAGCATAGATTAAGTCACATAAATTTCTCTCAAACCTCCCTCGTCTTTGTTACTACAAATAGTAATCACATTCACCCTCACTCTTCCTTATTCTGACTAACTAACTGGGATTTTCTTATAACCTCAATATACATAAATAATTCTGCAATGAAAATATTTATCTTTTTTTTGTAATTTTTTTATTTAACTTGTTCCGCGTAGATAATACAGATTATTTTTGTAAGTTATCTACGAAAATAAAAATAAATAAAAAATAATAAAAATCCTGTGGGAAGTCTTTGGGTGTGATATTTATTTTTTACTAAATTGATGCCTATATCGTTTTAGGTCATACAATGTGAACAATTTCATGGACGATATAAAGTACTTGTACAGAGTTGCTGGTCTTCAAGGACAGGGCATCACATTTATATTTACAGACAATGACATAAAGGATGAGCAGTTTCTGGAGTTTCTAAATAATATTCTTAGCTCGGGAGAGATAGCTAATCTGTTCCCTAAAGATGAAATGGGTAATTGAATTAAAAGTAGCTGAATTGAGTACTTTATCTGTGTTTTTTTTTTTCAAGAATTTCACAAAATTATAACTACTAAGTTAGTCTTTTAAATTTACAAAGATTTATTAAAAATCTGGCCCTTTTTATTTCGGTATAGTGTTACTAAGGGACGATATGAATATATAAGTCCAATAATATTTCAGACAAAGTTGTGAGTAGTTTCACTAATGATTGAGATAGCGTTGCTCTGTATTAACAAAAAAATTAGGGTTTTAATACTTTTAAAGTTTAAAAAATAAATTAGTTGAACATTTTACTTTAATACATTTCGAGCTTCGTTTTATATGCACATTTACAAAGATTTCGTTAACGAATATTTACATATTGACACATTATTATTGTATATACTAAATTGGAATAATTATATTTTTGTATTTTATGTACTAGATGAGATACTGAATGAATTAACTCCGATAATGAAGAAATACGCTCCGAGAAGGATTCCGGTCCCCGACGTTCTTTATGAATACTTCATTATGCGATCTAGGTCAAATTTGCACGTTGTTTTGTGTTTCTCGCCGGTAAGTCGTACTATAATTTATACAGATTATCTAAATATGAGTTTTGTCGATTAACAGTTATTGTGATGTATCTAATGTAAGTATATAAAAAATATTATAGATTCGTAAACTTTTGACAGAATATTTAATATTCCTAAATAATTGACGATGGATTGACGATATATCACAGCTTAGAATATTCCTAAGATGACCTGAAGTCACCGAATAAATTCTTTTTATTTTGCCATCCTACATGACATACTTCTATATACAATTCTACATGGCTGATTTAGAGAAATTAAACTATTATCTTATTCTAAATCACACAATAACCATATTTAATTGGCAATACCACGTATAAAATAACTTTTAAAGATTTTTTAAAATACGTTTCTTTAAGGTTGGAGAAAAATTTCGAAGCAGAGCCTTAAAGTTCCCTGGCCTCATTTCCGGATCTGTAATGGACTGGTTCCAGAAATGGCCTAAAGAAGCACTGATTGAAGTGGCATCACATTATTTGTCAGATTTCCATGTTAGTATTAAAACTCACATTCTATTGTTAGATTTGTAAAAGCTATAAAAGGTCAGTAAGCAATTCGAAAGAGTTATTTTTATATCTGAACCGTATTTTGTTAAAATTAATATATTTTTATAAATTTTATTATTTAAGGAGTTGTTAGGATGCCAAGAAGTAATAGTTCAACCAACAAAGTTCTTTAGAATTATAATGTATTTACATAAAATTCTACATAATATCATAGTTATCACTATGTTCTATGATGTCCATAGTACTGTTTATGTATATAGGCGACAGCTAACATTTTCCATCAGGTGGACCATAAACTTATTTCCCATTCTAAGTATCATAAAAATATTCAACAGGTTGTATGTTCTGCGGAGACAAAGCTACAATTGATTGAAATCATGGGCATGGTGCAGGATAATGTGGCTGAGACCTGCATTATGTACTACGATAGATTTAGGAGACAGACACACGTCACTCCAAAGTCTTATCTGTCTTTCCTGGAAGGGTACAAAGTTTTGTATAAGGAGAAGCATATGAATATTGCAGAAATGGCAAGAAGGTTTGTTCTTATTCAGCATCGTTAAACACCAACTAATTTAGATAAATGCTAACGCTGCACTAAGTGTAACTTGTAGCTCTTGAGTATATATTTTTTATTCTTAGTAAATATTACATTTATATATTTAAAATTTGTAATGAAATTAATGTTAGAATGACAACTGGTCTTGACAAACTGGTCGAAGCAGCAGCAAGCGTTGATATTTTGAAGAAAGAACTGGAAGTGAAAGAACTTGAAATAAAGGAAGCGACGGCAAAAGCTGAAGAGGTTTGAATTCTATATTAACTTTCTAAAAAGAAATTTCTCTAGAAAAATTGTTTATTTCGAACACTGGCGCACATTTATCACTATTCAAAAATTTAATAGGTACATTTTTATATTTTTCTAGTCTGAAATATCAATTTTAAAGAAACATTTGTTTGATTTTTTATTATAAAATTGTTGTTAAACGGTAGTATAATAGTTTAGAATATATTATTACACCTGAAACAAGAAATGTAGACGATTGTGTAACTACAGGTACTCGCAGCTGTAGCTGAATCAGCAGCTGCTGCTGAAGTAGTAAAAGCTGAAGTGCTGGAAGTAAAAGATCGCGCCGTGAAGTTGGTCAGTGTGATTGCAGCGGAAACTGCCATTGCTGAGGAGAAGTTGGCTGCGGCCAAACCAGCTCTTGACGCTGCCGAGGCTGCTTTACAGGTTGGTACGGTATTCATGTATAGGTATGTATCTATATATGTACGTATACAGTTGTCGAGTTAAAGTAAGACGTCTGGTCGTCTGAACGTCTATTTTTATAACGTGCGTGCTTCGATACGCATGTTATAAAGATAGGTCATTTAAGGGTATTCAGATTTAAACGTCCAGCAATAGCTTCGAAATTAGTAAGAAGCTGTGTAATAACTTGTGTTAATAAATGTCTTTATTTTAATGTAATTATGTGCATAGGCTGGCATAAAGAACTGTTGTCGAGCTTCTTAGAGGATACATTTAAAGGATGAGTGACTTATTTGACACACTCGTGAATGTTTACTAACGTTGGCACTGTTTAGTATTACGAATTTACTTTAATGTAAATTCAATATTTCTTCTTATTCTTTATCTTTTAAAATGTGTGAATTTAAATTTTATAAAGTTCTGCACGATACAAGAGAATAACACTGAAATGCCTAACTTTATGAAGCATGATGAGTGACTTATTTGACACACTCGTGAATGTTTACTAACGTTGGCACTGTTTAGTATTACGAATTTACTTTAATGTAAATTCAATATTTCTTCTTATTCTTTATCTTTTAAAATGTGTGAATTTAAATTTTATAAAGTTCTGCACGATACAAGAGAATAACACTGAAATGCCTAACTTTATGAAGCATACTTATTATGGAGAATAATAATAATCGTTTATACAGACAATTAATGCTGCCGATATTGCGACAGTGAGGAAATTGGGCAAGCCGCCGTACCTCATTACACTGATTATGGATGCTGTCATATTGCTATTCCGAAAACGAATTGACTCTGTCAGACCTGATCCTGAGAAACAGTTCTTGATGGCTTCTTGGGCAGAATCTTTGAAGGTTATAACTTTAGATGATATGTTAACATCTAAATAAAATTACAATTATATTCAAAAGAAGATGACGTTTGTCAGCGATAAGAGATAATTTAAAGTTGTATCTTTCTTTCACTATAATTCGCTATCGATGTACCTAACTCTATAATAAAATGATGATTATGTATACAATATATAACAACAATTTTTCTATATTTTAGGTAATGGCGGATTCAAGATTCTTAAACAATTTGAAATTTTATCCAAAGGATGAAATCAATGCTGAAATGGTTGATCTATTGCAGCCTTATTTCAATTTCAGGTAACTATTATAGTTATAGCATAATTAGCGCCTTTTATGACACATTTTTGAGGTCATGTGGTCCCGGCATAGAATAGGCTACCCCTTCCATTCCCATGGGTGACGTAAGACGCGACTAAGGGAGCGCGAGGGATGGACGGCAGCGTTCCTCTTAAAACATCTTTAAAGCCTAACTGCTGTTATCAGATTGTCTGCCAAGCGTGGCAATTACTGGTAAAACCCACCAAAGGGGAGGTTTATGTTCAGCAGTGGGCAATTAAAGGGTGATATAATGATGATGATGATGATGGTATATTTACGCCGCTATGTGTATTCGTAGGTATTAATATGCGCAGTGTATGCCATGTTATGTAGAATCATTGATTAATTCACATAGTACTAACAAACTGAACTTTCCATTTAGATAATCCACAACGTATTAGTTGTATACTGTGAAATTTTAATTACAATACTAATATCACGTCGCATTTACATGATGAAATTAGTTGCTTGACTGTCTGGTTCAAACTGTAGATGAAATTGATATCGAGAAATTAATTTTAGGATAAATTTAATTTAGGTACGTTACTATCGGATTTTCTCGCAATAACAATTAAATTATTATGTAGAAACTGTAGGCTCGCCCTCTACCTCGTTGTATTCTAATATGATTAGTGAAATGCGATTGTTCGTTCATCACGACGGCAGTAGTTGACAGATTCCTTTGATGATTTACTTCATGAGTTATTATAAGTCATGAGAATATATAAATCTTTTTTTCTACTAAAGATTTATCTAATAAATTATTGTGCTGTAATATGCATATATAATGTTTGAATAAAGCCAGTACACATTCGAAGCTGCTAAAGTGGCGTGCGGCAACGTCGCCGGTCTCATTTCATGGACCATAGCAATGGCACAGTTCTACTCGGTAAACAAGGATGTTCTACCTTTGAAGGCGAATCTAGCAATTATGCAGGGGAAGTATCAAGCTGCTAAGAGGGAGCTCGAGTCTGCTGAAGCTCAGTTACAAGCGAAGGAGGTTAGTTTATTAAAAAAATAATTATACTGAACAAACTTTAAAATTAATAATCTCAAATATCTAATTGACTATAGGTCAACGAACTAGGTTGTTACCATTAGCTAACAACTATTAGGTAGTCTGCTATAAATCTTAGATTAGCTTAAATATTTTGATAACATCGTTGGCTCAATCCTTACCTCCTTATTCATAAAAACTTCTACAAGCCTATCATTATGACACTGTTTTGTAATTTTTTTTCTGATTAAGAATTTAGTGTAAAAAAAAAGACAAAACAATTCAATGGCTAGAATAGGTTTATTAGAAGTTTGACGTTTTTATAAATAATGGGACAAACCTTTATTTATAACTCTTTCCACCGATAAGTATTGACCAAAGGTGCTGGATATTGAGTTTGTTTATCATAATATTTACTGCATCTATTCATACAGCAAAAAAACTAGACAGCTTTTCAGTACAGAAATTGTCAGTGTGAAAAGTAATATAAAACATAGAACCTTTTTTTTTTTAATCGGTTAATACAATGACGGAAAAGATTAAAAACCTAAGGTTCCGCTCATATTATAAAATATGATTTTGATTTGTGATACCTCTTAAAAGTTGATGTGCCTATATATAGTATATGTTTGATTGAATATGCCTTATTAGCTATATAGTATAGACATAGTCTAAAGTACTCTCTGTTGTACAGGTCGATAGTGTTTTTTTTGTACGTATTTAATGATGCAATATTCTGTCATTAATATCCTTTCAAAATCTGTGAAAAAATACCTACTTGTATCTATAGGTATTTTTGATATTGGATATTTTAAATCACTGGATACAGATAAATTAAGTAATATCCAATCATGTTACAGTAAATAAAGGAAACTGTAAAAATAGAATTTTTAAAGTCTATAGAAACGATAAACATACCTACTTAAATCACTCAACAGCCTGCGCAAGCGTTTGCACTGTTATTATACACAAAAACTGAAGTACTCACCTATAATAGTATTATCCGACCTTATTTCTTCTCTAGTTAAAATAGCTAACACATTATAAACAATTCCTACCTTTTTACGGCTTAAGGGCATTAATTATTTAATTAAAGCAATGAGACTTCATAGACGGAACCCTAAAAACTGTGTACACACTAAGTAAACCGTAGTAAATCAGAAATACAATGAAGTAATTTCAAAAGCCTAGACGTCTCCAGAAAAAAATGTTTTTACAGTCAAAAGGGAATTGTGGCTCAAATCGATTTTTTGGAAGGTTTAAAATCTTTAGGTAAACAATAAATGTGTTTTTCTATGAAATCGTTTTTACAGTTGTCTGTTATTAATGTGGCGATTGTATTAGGTTCCATTCATACCTGGTGATTTTTTGTAGTTTACGAATTAGTGCTTTCGATATTGTATTTATTAATCTTTTTATTGGTGAACTTTATCAACTATTGTTTTAAACATTTATTATAAATATAATATTATCGGTATTATGGTTTTAGAATTTTCTACCTTGATTAGAAATTAAACATTTGAACACACAGTATGAGAAAAAAGAACAATTTATTATTATATTTAAACAATTTATATTCTTTCACAAATTATTAAAATATTTTCGCCTTTCATAATACTATATTAAATTGTTTATGTATTTACATTTGTTTATACGATTGTAGATGTTTGGTTGTTCCATCTATTTCAGTATGTAGTGCGTATAATATATGTGTATACATACTTAGTAGAAATTAATTTTTCTTAAATTTACAATTATTAAAGAGACACTAGTATTCTGTGTATGTGTATGTATTTGTAAGTATTCTTTGCTGTCAATGGTGGTATATAATTGTGACTATAGACGACGGATTTTATTCAGAGACTATTAGCTTGTTTGTCATTCTAAGTTACATAAAAAAATCTAGGAACTTTTTTCATAAGCACGGCCATCTTTGTATACGTCATCATATAACGGCCAAGAGTATCTCATAATGAAAGTATTGATTTTGATTTTCCTTTTTAAAATCAACAGTGGTTATATATTTTGTTATGAATTAAATGTATTTTTTCTGGAACACAATCTTGATTTTGGCAGTGTGTGTGTCCCCGGCATAGAATAGTCCATCCTTTCCTATCCCGTGGGTGTCGTGAGTACCGACTAAAGGACGGCGAGGGATGGGCAGCAGCGTCTCTCTTAAAACATCTCTAAAGCTTACCTGCGTTTGCCAATTCGCCTGCTAAGCATGGCAATTACTGGCAAAACTCCCCAAGGGGGAGGCTTATGTTCAACAGTGGACAGTAAAAGGCTGATATGTTGAATCTTGATTTATTCGTAATGTCTGTTACTATAGATAATATATTCACTGATAATATCTAGGTATTCCTAACTAAAGTATTAGCTTACCGGCATTGCTCATATGAATTATTTAATGACGTCACCTCACGATCAACCTCGGCTGTGAACACGGCAAAAACATTGAAATGAATTGTAAATGAAATATGTACATATTAATGGATTTAGAAAGCACATGCCTGATATCTTAACAGTATGTAAATCGATTATTTATTTATATTACAAATAAGAAGAATAATTTGTAACATTTTTAAAAAATGATGTTCTACATAAATCTATATTAAAATACATAGTAACTTTTATTTTATATTTTGTGTGTCAAGGACTATGACCTAAGTTATCAGAGGTTTATTTATGAATGTATAATGTATAACTTGCAATATTTTATAATTGGATTTACGTTCATATATTTTCACAACATTTGTATCAGAGATGTTCTTTCTCATATATGAGCAATAGGATCTTTAATTAATTTTCACTTCAAACATCGTTAATATTTAATTCATCTAAAAAAATTGGCAGCACATTTCCTCTTTACATTGAAATCTAATGTGCTCAGCGCAACGTGGTCAATCAGTTGTCAGGTTCACAAACTCAAACGGTTACAGTTGATCAAATGTGTAATTATCTCAACTGAGATTGTAGTGACGATTTGGTAAGCAACGGATCTATAATTAGGTTCTATATTAAATAAGAAATTGATTTTAATCAGGTTAATATTTGCATTCGTAATGTAATAATAAATTTCGCAATGACCACCACGGCCCGGTTAGCTCAGTCGGTAGAGCGCGGGACTTTTAATCCTGAGGTCAAGGGTTCAAGTCCCTTATCGGGCGATTAATTTACTTTTAGCTGTGTTATAATGTTATAAGTAACATTTATAAATTGTTTTTTAAAATATATGTAATTATAACCATTTTTTATCTTCGTTACAATTTTTATTGTACATATTTTTAAGTAATATGGTATATGTTATTTTAAAAGAATTTTTACCTTATAATTTTATAGTTAATTATAAAATAACATATTACATAGTAAACATATATATATATATATATATATATATATATATATATATATATATATATATATATATATATATATATATAAATAGATTATGTAGTATGTACGAGTATATAAAATACAGTCAAATTGTTGTGGTCGCATCTTTGTTTTTGTTCTATATTGACATACCAATGTCATGAAAATAGAAACAGGACACGATCTTTTCAACCGTTTACTTAGGCATGTTAGTGCAGAGTCTCTTATTTGAGAATTATTTGTTACAGCGCGAGTTGGCTGCAGTACAAAAACAGTTCGATGACGCTATGGCATTGAAACAAGCGGTACTAGATGACGCGGCCAAGTGCCAGCAAAAGATGGACGCTGCCACCGCGCTAATTAACGGTCTGAGCGGCGAAAGGGTCCGGTGGACTGAGCAATCTGCTTTGTTTAAGTCGGAGATTGAGAGGCTGGTCGGCGATATATTATTGCTCACTGGGTATATTTATTATAATACTATAAAATAGTAGTTAATAAAAGTTTCCTTACTTAGAATCCATTGAGAAATACGTTATCGTTACCGCATACATGAGATAGAACGAGACAGTAATATCCTGTGTTTTGTTCTTTCTTATGCGTACACTAACGAAAACGTATCTAACGTTTGAATAATTTGTAAACTGTCTAGAGAGGTAGATGTGAGAGTTGGATATAAAACTTCAAAAAAATAGAATGTGTTATTATGATTAGATAATGCACTGTCTTTGGAATTGCCGTCTATGCATGAGACGAGTAATAGAAGTGGATAAAGTAAGAGAACTTTAAAAGTCGACTCAACAAGTTTAGATAGTAATAAATAATAATAAGTTTAGTTTATTGTCTATCAACACAACATTATAATTTATTAATATGGAATATGGGCCAAAGATTATTTTAAGGTCACTTACAGTGATGTATTACTCACAGTGTGCTATGACCCTAATCGTAACGATCGAGATAATAACTATTTTGGTACTACTGTTGGGTAAATAAAGTTGTGTAGTCTGTTAAATGGTTAGTACATATGGAAACGATAAGTGTTATCTATACATGCCGGCTGTTAGTCGATCTTGTTTATAGACTAGTAATCAGGAGAAAAGAATAGGCTGGATTATTGTATATACCAATAAGTCGCTATATGGCTTCGTATTTGTAAAAGATATTACTTACATTTTTAACAGATTGCAAAAAAAAGTGGTTGTTAATTCCATTGTATTTTCTTATTACTTTTCAACTCTGTTATTTATAAATCGATTAGAAGGAGATTTTTATTTGAAAGAATATACTTTTAAATTGCTCTCATAGAAATCGTATAAAAATAAATTTAGTAATTTTGTTTTTTAATTAAAATCGAGTTTAGTTTTGCTACGATTTAAATCTTTTTTTTTAATTTACTTGTTTAGTTGGGGACATTAATAGAAAAAAAATTAGTTTTATTTACTATATGTTTCATTATTTTGATTGTAACTTTCAGATTCCTATCATACTCTGGTCCCTTTAATCAAGAATTTCGTTCGCTATTGATAAGCAGCTGGCTATCTGAACTGTTACGAAGAAAAATACCTGTATCTATGAACTTGAACATCACAGATCAACTTACGGATACAGCTACGGTACATATTTATAAAATAACTGTTTGAAACAAACAGAATGGGTTGAATTTGATATGTCACGCTTTAAACCTATTCCTGATAGAGATAATTTTAAGGAATGACAGTTCAGAAATGACCTACTAATGCAGAGAACTACTACATTACTTGGGATGTCCTCGAAAGATGACTTTTTTGCATAGCTAACTCCAAATGTCAGTCTCTATGATTTTGTGTTATAATTAATTTTAATTAGGAAATTATTGAGATATGTATAGGCAATAAAATTTTAAAATCGGTCACAATAACATAATTTTTTGCTACAAGATTATTTGTTTGTTTCTAAATATAGCAATTTGTATAAATTGATATAGTAGTACATTAGTTTACTATGACTACTTGTCCAAAATATAGCAGTCAAGCGAAATATGAAGTTTTGTTCGTTGACTGTTCATGGTAGAGTTTATGACGAATGAAATATCTCTCTCTCTCTCTCTCTCTCTCTGTCTTTCAGCCACATTTTCTTTAGAATTTATTTCTTAATATTCACGAAATATCAGTCATGATTATATTTAATGGTAGACAAGTAGAAGTGTTAGTTACATTTTAGTAGAGTAGTACCTATAATATCAATTGGTACTACTCTACTATAATGTGATATCAGATGATTAGTATTATTTCCAGTATTATCAAATATTTATTTAAGTTATTATATAGATTGGTGATTGGAATCTGTGTGGACTGCCGACGGACGAGCTCTCGATTCAAAACGGCATTATCGTAACAAAAGCATCCCGTTTTCCACTGCTCATCGATCCACAGACTCAGGGAAAAATTTGGATTAAAAACATGGAAAAGTTTAATGATCTAATCGTTACTACACTAAATCATAAATATTTTAGGTTAGTTATGTTTACTAAGTTGAGTTGAGTTACTTGAGTTCTTTTTCTCTAATTTCGTTTATATTAATATAGAAGACATTATAAACTAAAGGTGGATAATAAAATATAATGTAAAATTTTACTCTTATACCTTAATTTAAAGCAAACATTACATAGGCATAATAAGATTATTTAAACGGTAAATTTAATATAGAAAATACAGAAATTCCTACAAACGTTTTAAAGGCCGGCAATGCATAAGGAACTCCTGTCGTGTTATAAGTGTTCATGGGCGACACCGCCGCTTTCCACCAAGTACACTATTTGCTTGTGCTTTGCCTCTTTAACTATAAAAAAAGTATAGAATATTTTTTTATAAATTTGCCGCCATGGCTATTATTCAGCTTAACGCGCAGATCTAGAGACATTTAAAGAAAACCAACAAAAAAAAAATTGCACATTTTTTAAACTGTTTAATATACTTTTGTTCCATCGATAGAAATCATATAGAAGACTGTGTTTCACTCGGTAGACCATTGCTTATTGAAGATGTCGCTGAAGAGTTGGATCCTGCTCTTGACAATATACTAGAACGGAATTATATAAAAATCGGATCTACCTTTAAGGTAGGCTTAACTATCTTCAAATACGAATAGTTGAATTCCAGACGTCAATATATTTTGCTTATTTTCTAGGTGAAACTGGGTGACAAAGAAATCGACGTGACCCATGGTCATAAGATTTACATAACAACGAAACTACCTAACCCCGCGTATACTCCTGAGATTTCAGCACGCACTTCAATAATCGACTTTACTGTAACAATGCAAGGTACAGTATTGACATTCTGGAAAATATCAATTCGCTGTCGTCATGCTCAATCTAATGTTCAGTAGCTTCACCTATTGTTGTTTTGTATGCACGTACCATGTATTTCGGGAATTTTTTCCTTGAATATTGTTACTTTTCTTAAACATTGATATATATACATTTCCTTCAATATATCTAATATTTTTATATTTAAGTATTCAAAAGATATTTTGTCGTAAGAGACATTTGATGTGGTGAACGTAATACTCGACTTGTTTACATTTAGCAAAACATTTAAATGCAAACTGGCACAGTGCGATCTTAATTTCTCTTACATTGTAATTTACATTAAAATGGCGCTGACTCCGAGCTAGTCCGTAATTTAAATTGACAAAAAGTTTTGTTGTAAGTCAGAATCCTTTTACCACTGAAGTTTGTTTCATTTCGAGTCTCTCTCGATCTCAGAATCAAATTAACTTCAGAGATATAACCTCAGAGTCTTGTAAGGATAATATGTATAACGATTAGGTCGTGGATAAACGAACAAATATTTGATATTAGGTAGACACGTTAATAAATCATTTTTTTTTATATAACTTAAAATGGCAAACAAGCTGACGACTCACTTGATGGAAAGTGGTAACCGTCATCTATAGACATGAACAGTACCATTATACGTATTATGTAGAAAAGTAACTAATGTAGATTTAATGGATACCGTTACTATAAATGTACTTTGCATGATCATATTTGACCTAAATTAGCTTATTTGTATCCAGTTAAATTTCGTCTTAGTTTCCTATATAAAATTTATGTAAAAAAATTGGAAAAAATAACTAACAGTGTTAGATATATTTGATATTTTTAAATCTGTTTGGCATGATAAGAGCGTTTGCATTCTGACATGGTTGATTACATAAGTTAATAGGCATTTATGATATTAGGAACTTGCCCCGAGATACAGGATCGAAATCTGAAAATATGTATTGATCTTTTTTTTTTTATACCACTGCGGTGGCAAACAAGCGTACGGCCCACCTGATGGTAAGTGGTTACCGTAGATCGATCTTTTTACACGAATGTTACTATTACGTGATGATTTTTTAATAAGTATTATTACTTAAACTGTGGTATTATTTAGTCCTCAATAATATATTACATATCAGGTTTGGAAGACCAGTTGTTAGGGCGAGTGATTTTAACGGAGAAGGCCGAGATGGAGGCTGAACGTACTCAATTGATTATGGACGTGACGGCTAACCGAAGAAAAATGCAGGAATTAGAAGCGAACTTGCTACACAAGCTGACCACAATCCAGGGCTCCTTGGTGGAGGATGTTTCTTTGATACAAGTGCTTAATATCACTAAATCCACGGCCACTGAAGTAAGTGTGTGATCAAATATTTCTATTTGACCTGATAACCATTGTCTTATTCCAATTTTATTTTATTTTTTTCTAAACATCTTAATACAACTTTTATAAACATAAATAAGTAAGTGTTTCAACCGCGAAGCAGTTGTGTTTGCATGGCTGTGTTTCGGTTTGAAGGGTGGGATATGGCGTGAATTTACTGGGTACAGAGGAATAACACCTAAGTCCTCAGGAATGGCAACGCATGGGGGGTATCATGGGCGAAACAGTATACTCTGTTATGTCCATGGTACTGCTCATATCTATAGGCGACGGTTACCACTTTCCATCAGGTGGGCCGTCAGCTTGTTTGCCATTCTAAGTTGTAAAAAAAAAAAAAGTAGATTGTATTTCGAAAAAAAAACCGACTTTGATTATGGCAAACTAGTTATTAGTTATTTTGATACTAAACTACTGAACCGATTTTGATAAAAATTCTATGGGACTAATTTGGAAGTATATCCTTTAATATAAAAAAAGAATTTTTCAAATCGATTTACAACTAATGGAGTTATTAGGTAACAAATAAAAAAATATAACCGAACTGAGAATTTTCTTCTTTTTGTAGTCGATTTAAAATAGTCAAATCGGTCCAGTCACACACTCTAGTAATGTGTCAACCAACGATCAAGTAACGCATAACCTTTATAATAAATTTTAGTATAATGTAATCTAATACATTATATTTCTTGAACTATATTAATAGAATTGACAAACTGATGATCTATCTGATAGTAATGTCTCTGTTAATTAGTACCTATCACTGCATATAGGTAATGTCAAACGAAAAACTAAAGGAAATTTCTTATTTGTTACAAAATACTGTATCTACTATTATTTATTACATTCATATAAGTCGTTACCGAATACGTGTAAGTATCTGCTATGTTGTCGGCGACGAACGTGTGAAGTCATTGTCTAAAATTACAAATACCCGCTTATACTCTACCACCGGGTATTTTGTTATGGTATAGTTTGTGGGCTTATTGATGTAGAAAAAAAAAAACGAATAACACGAATTATTTTCTTTAGGTTCTTATTTAGGGTTCTACATAGGTGTTAGGTAGGTTAATTTTTCAGGTGAAGGTCGACGTGCATAGATTACGGTACTTGTACGCTTATAATTCCACACCATCAGCATCATCCAAAAAATTACTTAGGAGGGTACATTGCGGTTAATTATTCTTTATTATAGAATACTTAACGTTGGTATTTAATAACGATCTGCAGGTAAAAGAAAAACTTGACGTGGCCAAAGAGACAGAGATAAAGATCAACGCTGCCCGCGAAGAGTTCCGCCCGGTCGCGACTCGAGGCTCGGTGTTGTACTTCCTAATTTGCAATATGTCGCTTGTATGTAACATGTACCAGACGTCGCTCGCTCAGTTTTTAGAGCGGTTCGATATATCTATGGAAAGATCGCCACAGAGCCCTATCACTACCAGGAGAATCGCATTTATCATTGATTATTTGGTTAGTGGTTTGGTGGATCTAAGTAGGATTAAAATGACTTTAGGAGTTCTTAGGCAGAGAGTTTGATACATTAAGTTTTATAAAATATTTGTCATACAAAATAAAAAATAGTTGAGAATGGGCAGCTCCTCCCCCCACTCCCCTCCTCAGAGTTTTAGCATTAGTCGTGGTTACCACACTCTGCCAGGAATAATTACTAATTTATTACTTATGGCATATAGAATAATATTAAAGATTTATAAACTTATCAAGAATCAAATCTTCTGGACTTTTTTAAAAGTAATCTACTTTTATCGCAATGTAGTTTTTTTACAATTTCATAAATAGATGCATATAATTTACAAAAGACCAAAACTCTATTTTGGTTTTTTAAGACTTATGACGTATTCAAATATATAAGTCGAGGATTCTATGAAAAGCACAAGTACTTGTTTACGCTGCTACTTACTCTGAAGATTGATTTGCAGAAGGAATATATAACATACGATGAATTCCAGATATTAATCAAGGGTTTGAATTTGAATTTTAATAAATGTAGTTAGCATTAGTCAAGGCTACAGAGCTATTTGTAGTCTTTTGATATTATTCATTTGTCTAAATTATATCTAACTAGCTGTATCCCGTGGCTTTGTTTGCGTGAACTAGGACGTAAAGAATATGTAGTTGAAAATCATTAGTTAATATTAAATGAATTAAATCATATAGTATAGCTAACCTAATAGTGATTTTGATTGATAAAAATTGTAAATAACTAATATGTTAAAAATTTAGTTTTTTTTTTAAATGCTGCTACATATTTTTAATAATTTTCAAGTACGAAAAAATTTAAGTATATGATGTTCTAGGTGGTGCTGCGTTGGATTTGAACGCGTGTCCACCCAAGCCTTTTAAATGGGTGACCGATATGTCATGGTTGAATTTGGTGCAGTTGTCAGAATTACGACAATATACAAATATACTTAATCAAGTTACCAATAATGAAAAAGGATGGAAAAATTGGTAAGTTACTGAGATATTATTTTTACAGTACTTGTAAAACTTTCTAAAGAAGACTTCTGAATAAAGTTGAAACAATTGTTGTGATCGACAAACACAGTAAGTTCATAAAATTCCTATTATATATATTTTTTATTTATTTTATTTTATTTATTTCTTATTGCATAATGTAATTAGTAGATAGCATTTCAACTTCTATTATGGACCCTGTTGGGTAAAGCCAGTAAGAGAGAGGAATATATATTTTACATTCTCAATAACTTGTCACTATATACTACATTGATAAGTTATTGAGAAACTTATATACTTGGTTCACAGAAAGGGGTACACAGAGGGATTCTGGGTAGGCAGAAATATTTGATTGCCAACTTCTTTTATTATAAGCATATTGCTTTGTATTTAATCTAAACTTTAGACATTACATTACATTTTAGTCTAGTTTTCAATTGGTGTTAACAAATATTGTTGCTTAAGCGACGAAAATGAAGAAGTTTTCAAATCGTGTGTAGTTTTCTTCTGTTATTATCTTGAGCTATAATTATATTTTTATTAATTATTGAACAAATTTTGTCATATTTTGTTTACAAATCGATTGGTTTTCTGTCATACTGGTTTATGAAACCAGTATTTTTTATTTTAATTTAATTTAATTAATTTAATTTAAAAAGAGAAGCAGTTTCGGGACTTAAGTTTTTATTTTTTGTAAAATAAATTCTACTTGTGAAATTAAATTTGGTCATGAAGAAAAATATAATTGTATTTTTTTTTAATTTACAAAGGTTCGATAAAGAGGCACCTGAAGATGAGCCGTTGCCCGACGGATACAATTCTTTGGACGTGTTTCGGAAACTGTTGATCGTACGTGCATGGTGTCCCGATAGAACACTTGCACAAAGTTTGTAAGTACTAATAGATTAAATGAATTTAAGGGCTCCGTGTAAGAAAGGTTGCTGTTGTTGTGCAACTAAATATGTTTGTCTAGAGGGCTCTTGCAATATAAATTCGATATTCACATCTTTACTAATATTATAAATATGAAAGTGAGCTTCTTTGTTTGTTACTTCTTAACGCCTTAACGCCTCAACCAACCGTCATGAAAGATATACATATTTGGAATGGAAAAAGATGTAGGCTATCCCAATCAATTAACATATCCAAGTTACGCGGACGAAGTTGCGGATAAAAACTAATTTACTTATGATATGTGCTTATCGAACTCAAAGACTGACAGTAAGATAATATCTTAACTAGTTGATAGTCGGTATATGTTATTTTTTCAAATGTTTAAAATATGAGACAATTATAAAAATTAAAATAAAATAATCAATTCGATTCAGCCGTTTATATACATATTACTTAAGTACCCGTCAACCAACAGCATTTCATTTTTATTTATGTAGATTAGAACGGTCCGCCCTTATGGGATATTAGCTAAAAGGGTCCTTTCAATGGAATTTGAATGCGCTGTTATTTTTAATATTTAACTCTGGGTTTACATTATTCAGAGTTTATATATATAATAGAAATAATATATAAACCGATGATTAGTTTGATATTTTTTTTTTATTTTTTATTTATTTATTCATTCATTTAGGAATATTCCATTGTAAAATATAAATCAACATAACTATTTTTAACTTTTAGGAAATACGTCATACACTCTATGGGCGCAAGATTTTCTGAAGCGGTTATTGTTAATTATGAGGTAATATTAATTTAATTTAATTAAAAATATAAAGACATTTTTTTATTTTTGGAATAGGTATAATTATGAGATGATTATGATCTTTATTGGATGAATTTAGAATTTATAATTATTATATTTTATTCAGCAAATGGTCCTAGAGTCACGGCCTCTTGTTCCGTTGATTGGATTCCTTGCAATGGGCTCTGACCCAACTCCGTCAATCGAGACGACAGCCAAGCGTCTAGAGTGTCTGTGTTCTTCAATATCTATGGGCCAAGGGCAAGAGGTTCATGCGAGGAAACTTATAGATCGAGCATTGAAAGAGGTTCTGTATTAAATTATAATATCATATAAATGTAAAACAGTTTGTTGGTTTCCTCTTGGTGCCTTAACCGCTTAACCGGACACTATTTGATGTAATAGGTACTATAAAGGATGGAGAAGAATATAAGCTACTTTTTATTTAGTCACGCAGACGGAGTTGCGGGTTAAAGCTAATACTAATATAATTTTTCCTTTTATTGGTTACACGACCAATAATTATTATTTAATCAGAAATATTAATATAACCTTATACCATATAATATATTAATAATCAATAAACTCTGCATGTGGTTGATTTGTACCGTGTTTATTAAATTAAAAATGAATTAATTTATAATGACATCAATTTATTTTTCAGTCAACTTGCTTAATTTTCCATCAAATATACTTTCTGTGTATTTTTAATATTAAATATTATACAAAAATTTACAGCCAGGAAAATTATATTTCAGTACATATTAAAAATTTATTCATTATCATGAATTTAATAATAATCTTTCGAATTAAAAACATTAATTATACATTTAGGGTCTATGGGTGTTATTACAAAACTGCCACTTGGGTTTGGAATACATGGTAGAGATTATGGAACAATTCGCTGAATTGGAAAAAGAACCAGAGAAAGTACACGAGTCGTTTAGATTGTGGATTACTACGGAAGTGCACGACAGGTTTCCCATAACTCTACTTCAAATGTCTATCAAGTATACTTGCGAACCGCCTTCTGGTACGTTAACAGTGTTTTCGTTTCATTTAAATATAAACTATATGTTAATACTCTTTTTCATATTGGATGTCATAACAGGCGACTAAGCGAACAAATTATAATACACCAGAATAAGAAAAGAATACTATATAGCCGTTTACTGTTCACTACTGAATATAGGTATTCCCCTATTGGGAGTTTCGCCAGTACTTGCCACGCTTGGCAGAAGGGTTGACAGCCAAAACTTAGGCTTTGTTAATATTTTAAGAGAGACGCTACTACTCATCCTTCAACCATTAAATTCCCTCTAAAAAGTAGTTGCCTCTTTCAATACTCACGGGGAAGTATGATCTATGCCGGTATACAATGAGAGATGAATATTCAAAATATATTAAGTTGCTTGTCTAGCTTGGTAATTTCCATAGAACTTAATGAAAATAAAACCAAGTTTTGTTGAAATTATCACAGAAACACTTAAGGATCATAAATTATTAACAAATTTAAACATCACACCAACGGCAGATTGTCTTATGGTTCGATCCATTTTCATTTAGTTATATCGAAATAGACTATTCTTTTCTTATGACAAAAGATTTGGACCCAACATTGGGACGTTGGACTCAAAGGCCCGATGAGTTGTTATGGAAAAACAATACTTGTATTGTAAAATTGGCTTTTAATTGTTAATGATATGCTGATGAAAATTACGGCCCACCTTATGGTGAAGTGGCTAATCACTGCCTGTGAAAACTTGCAACTCTAGTGAGATTGCAATGTTATTTTTATACGATCTGTATTATTTTAGGTATAAAGGCTGGTTTAATGAGAACTTACGACTCCATGAGTCAAGATTTTCTCGACTATAGCGACAGTCCGTTCTACTTGCCGCTTATTTACACTATATCCTTCCTACATACCGTGGTACAAGAGAGACGCAAGTTCGGCCCGCTCGGGTGGAACATTCCATACGAGTTCAACTCTGCAGACTGGTTGGCATCTTGTATGTTCATACAAAATCATTTAGACCAACTGGAGCCTGGACAATCTATAAGTTGGACAACTGTACGGTAAGATTATTAAATGAACAAAAAAGATAATAATTATCTATATCTTGTTGTATTCTGTGAGTTTGTCCGTGTCCATCAGTATATAAAGTATCCTATGTGTTCGGACATAACCTACTTCTGTACCGAATTTCATTTAAGTCTGTTTAATCGTTTAAACGTGAGTGAGTAATAAACATACAAACAACACTCGTAACAAACTTTGACATTTATAATATTAGGGAAATATAAGAAATATCAGTAATAGAAAAGGTAAAATACCAATAACAAAAAAAATCTTTTGCTTAATTATCTATATTAACAGGTAAATGAAAGACTAGCTTTCTTTTGATACATTCACATTTATTTTTTCCTTAATGTAGTAAAGATACTTATATTATATATGTATATCTTTCAGAACAAAGTACAGATTATCTACCAGTTTACTTTTCTCTAAGGCTCGGATATTTATATTCATTAGTGACTGGTTCTTTTTTTCTCTGTAATAATAATATAGGTAATATATATTTTTATACAGCTATATGGTGTCTGCGGTGCAATATGGCGGTCGAGTAACAGATGATTACGATACTCGTCTGCTGGTGACTTTTTGTAGAGTCTGGTTCTCAGATCAACTGTTTTCTGATGACTTCCAATTTTACAAAAGTTACGGTATAATGAAGTTTAAAAATATACCAGAATATATCGAGGAGATTGAGAAAATGAAGACGGTTGATCCGCCTCAGGCATATGGTTTACATACGAACGCGGACATAACGTACGTTACTTACATCTTAATACTCAATTCACCTAGCATTAGATTTAATTTATTCTTTAACAAATTAGCCGCCTCGTCTCTTGGTTGCAATTTATTACATAACATTGTATTTATTTTGTTATACAAAGGTTTAATTAGGATGTATTGTACATACAAGTTTTTCGTGAAAAGTATGTAAATGATAGTAAATAAGTAAATAAAACCCGTGTCAAAAACCGTTGCATGGTTTAAAAGTTTAGATGTGGAGAAACAGATGCGGATCGGAGTTTTGTGTTATTTTACACTACTGTATTATTTAGAGAAGTATTAAATTATATTACTCCGTATTATTCTTATCCTTATGTTCATTAGTACTTACTGTTAGTAAGTACTAATGAAAATAAGTTTGAATTAATATAAGATACCTACAATTTTGTTAATTTAAATTCTATCTAAAGTTCTGATGATGATAAAACAATATAATTAAACACATTGCAGTGATTCATCTGTCAGTTCAGATTGTTGAAGTAGAATAAAATAAAATATACGGCCGATCTCTTAAGAAATGAATAATTTACTTACTAGTGTTACGTTAATCGTATCGTCAATCGTCGTCTCGCAATACTATCACTATAACATAGAACTATAGTTAAGGGTATATTATTATTAATTTTCTATAGATATCAACGCAATAAGACCCAGGAGTTACTGGACACAATCCTCTCGATTCAACCAAAGGAGTCGAGTTCTGGCGGCGGAGAGACTCGGGAGGCGTCAGTTTACAGGCAATCCAAGGAGATGCTTGACAAAGTGCCACCTAATTTTGACCCTCACGAAGTCAGAGAAAGGTACATAATACTTTAGTTAAAAAAATTCAATATTAAGCTGAAATAAGTGGCAACTCTTCTTGTAATTTTTTATCAAATGAAGGTTTGAGATTTTTAGATATATAGTAAACTTATGTACATAAAAAAGTTTGATTTTTAATATACATAGTTGTTATAGCTATTAACTTATTAATATTATAAATGCAAAACCTAGCAGATAGGATACTTTATGTACTAATTCACGTGGGCGAAGCAACAACATTCAGCTGGTATTTAATAAAAAAATGTTATTTCTTGCTTATAAGATGTTGAAATTATTATTGACAAAAACGGATATATATTAATGCTTACAAAACTTTAAAAACAACGCAGACATTACCAAGTTTTCATTTAAAATTACTAGCATATTATTTCTATAGAACGATTGGCATATTTGAAAGCCGTAATATACAATATATTTCCTTGCATAGAATTTAGAATTTCTACCGATACCACGTTAAGAAGTGACTTTGTTTCCAGACTAAAATATTACGGCATGTTGAATTCGATGGTGATCTTTTTGCGCCAAGAAATTGATCGCATGCAAAAAGTTATATCTCTAGTGAGGACCACCCTAAAAGATTTACTACTCGCTATCGACGGTACTATAATTATGAATGAGGTGAGTTGGTTACATTCAATAACTATAAAATTGTTTTAAAAGAAAGTTAAAAATGTTGAAGAAAATAACTTCAGCAGAAGGGAACGTCAAGTACTTACTCAATACTTATATTAAGCGAACAATGTAATGATCTTGTTTGAAATGAAGTTTTTTTAAACGTAATTATATAAGAACATTATATTTAGATGTAAATTTCAAAAATAATAATTGAATTGTGCAGGCTCTTCGCGATTCTCTAGATAATATCTACGATGCGAAAGTACCGAAAATTTGGTTGAAAAGTTCATGGTCGTCGTCGACGCTCGGATTTTGGTTTACCGAGTTTTTGGAGAGAAACATTCAATTCTCCTCGTGGTGTTTCCAAGCCAGGCCCTTTTCATTTTGGATGACTGGCTTTTTTAATCCACAAGGTAATTATTGTGCTTTACCCTCTTCATCATTTTTTTATTTCAGTTCTGACAGTTAGATTTTTCCTTAGGATTTTTCATTATTTTGTATCTCTATGGTAGGTATGTAGGCTACAGTGATTGTTTACCATCAGACGGGCTGTATGCTTGTTTGTCACCTTTGTGATATAAAAGAAGTGTCATCTTTGTATCTTTAGCTATAATATCTTTAACAAATAACATAATTAACATCCTAATTATCCCCATTGACATAACATAAATAAATAAATAAAATTAAAATATTAGCAAGTGATTTATTAATTTCACGCATTTTTTTTTATAAAATATATATCTAAAAGACTACTCTACTAGTAGTTCAAAGTAAATTATGCGAGTTTATGTTGAAAAGTAGAATATATATCGATCGTCACTTTGATCTGGCCGACACCAAATACTTTGTGTCAATTAAAATTTCTGACTTCTATTTTTCGTCGATAAACCAAATTAATCCGATTGAGGGCGGGAGGCGCGCCCTTTACCATGTTTGATTCTAATATAGTAAGCGAAATATAATCATGCCAAATTTTACATTTATTACAATGGCAACAAATTTCTATGTATTCATTGTTTCCTAATTTTTGTATAGATTGTATTTATTAAATTTTTTTATTGCTGACCAGCTATACAATATTCCTGCTATACATTAATGCTATTATTCCGCTAGGTTTCTTGACGGCTATGCGTCAGGAAGTAACTCGAGCCCATAAAGGCTGGGCGTTGGACATGGTCACCTTACACAATGACGTTACGAAGTTTACCTATGAGGAAATTAAAGCACCACCACCGGTATATAATTATATATTATTATTACTTAATTCATACGGAAGACTATAATGGGATAATTTGTTTATTAATATGAGTAAATAGGACATTTGCTTTATATCTATAGTATTGATTAGAAACGAATTATGTAGGTCTGGACTTTTTTTAAATTTTTGCTATCAGATCAATATCTACAGAATTTTCGATATTTTGAAAATAATTTCAGTTACGTATGGAATGTGTGAATCACTGCAGGAAATTTTTCGTGTAAATTTTATTTGAAAATTAAATGTATGCTCAAAATGTTGATACAAAATATATTAAAAAAATATTCATATTTATAAAATAGATAAAATTGTCCAATACATGTAAAAGGAAACGAAAACCTTCTACAACGACCTCATGTAATGCTGTAGGGTGAGGCCACGAGGATGATTTCTTAAATAATTAAAATTTGGATAATTATACTGGTCGGATTATCAAGCAATAATGCGTACCTACTGATTAGCATTGACGCCTATAGCTGAAATTATCCGAACGAATTGCGTGCAGGATGGTAGTAAATATTTTCTATACATTTTTGTATAGGTATTAGTTTAGCTGAAGAAGCAAATATACATATACTCGTATATTGTTATAATATATCAATATTATGGCTCAATATCAGTTAATATATGTATATTAATTGGCACGACAACTAGGTATATATTGGAAATTGATTATTAAATATATATATATATATATATATATATATATATATATATATATTGTTTACTATGTAATATGTTATTTTATAATTAACTATAAAATTATAAGGTAAAAATTCTTTTAAAATAACATATACCATATTACTTAAAAATATGTACAATAAAAATTGTAACGAAGATAAAAAATGGTTATAATTACATATATTTTAAAAAACAATTTATAAATGTTACTTATAAAATTATAACACACCAAAAAGTTTGGCCGCCCGAACAGGGACTTGAACCCTGGACCCTTGGATTAAAATTATATATATATATATATATATATATATATATATATATATATATATATATATATATATATATATATATATATATATATATATATATATATACTCTCTGATAACGTAGTTTTCTATAAGTGAAAGAGTTTTTAAAATAGGCTAAGTAGTTTTATTACAAATAAATATATAAAAAACAAATATTTTCTTAATATAATGTTAGTTTTATAATAATGACGATGAACATATTTTACTGTGCTAGGTGTTATCTTGCGGAAGTCCATAACATTGGTTATTTGATTACATTTATTTTGTTTAATTCCGCTACCGTTAGTATGTGTGTGATTACAAATACTCGAAGATTGACCACCACTATTACTATCAGAAGTTTCACAACCTTCCATATAAGTCATCAATCTCCGACTGCTATTTTCTTCGCGCACGTTTTGTGGAACTTGTTTTATATCAAAACGAGACATCTTCAAACAAATAATTAGATCGCTCGTCTCGACGCCGAACGGTTTAATTCTAATCACATAACCGATGACATAATATATTGTATTCAGGAAGGGGTTTACGTCCATGGTGTTTTCCTCGACGGTGCGGGCTGGGATCGACGGAATCTTCGACTTTGCGAGTCAACACTAAAAGTGTTGTACACTCCATTACCAGTTATACATGTGTACGCAATAAACTCTACGGCGCCCAAGGATCCTAAACTATATCAGGTATTCGATTAATTCATATTTATGCAATCGTTTTTTTCGAGAAAATGTTATATTAAATACACTTTATTGATTATATTACATTACTGATGTTTTATCTATTAGTTTTGGTATCTATTTGTATATTATCAAGCGGTAGAGTTTCGTTTAATACATTTGTATTTCGTATCACAAAGTCAGATTTAACTGTACCTTGTATAGCTAATATTTACATCATTTTATCAGCCTTTAACTGTCCACTGCTGAACATAAGCCTCCTCCGTGGGGGGTTTTGCTAGTAACTGCCATGCTTGGCGGGTTAGCCTGGGATGGGTAATATTTACATACCTACATATTATTTTTGTTTACATAGGCGAAACATGAGTTGGTAGAATATATTCCATAGTAATGTCTATAGTTGTATTTATAGACGTGAATCACCACTTATGTTTATTTGCCATTCCAGTTACTGTAAAAAGTGTATGAATCGGAATACACTGACATATATATCCATACTAATATTACAAATATGCCTAAGTTTGTTTGTTACTTTATAGCACCTTAACGGCTCAGCTAATTACTTAGAAATTTTGTATATACATACTATTTAGGATGGAGAAGAACATAGGTTACTTTTTATCCCGGCCTGGTTACTTTATATCTGGTCATGCGGTCGTAGTCACGAGTAAAAGATAGTGTTCAATATATGTCAGTGTGTTTTGTGATGTACATAGTGTTGTACATGTCTATAGGTGGTTCATTTTCCATCAAGAGACCACCATGCAGGTTTTCCTTTCTCAGATATATAAAAAGACTATTAAATATATATATATATATATATATATATATATATATATATATATATATATATCATCATAATCATATGAGCCTTTAATTGTCCACTGCTGGACATAAGTGTCCCCTTGGAAGGTTTTGCCAGTAGTTGCCACGTTTGGCAGTTTGCATTGCGGATTGATTAATAGATATGTATATTAATGAAATATGAATTGGTTACCAGTGTCCAGTGTACAAGAAACCAGTACGTACCGGACTGACATTCATCACGCCATTATGGCTGCCTACTAACAAAAATCCAGACCACTGGATCCTCAGGGGAGTTGCTATCTTATGCGATATCAAGTAGCCTCGAAACGTCATCCTTTTCATGATGTTATGTTCATTTACAGTTTTTGAAATCAAAATAGGTATGATTGTTTATTCAGATATTGGAGGCACATCAACATCTGTTAATTGTAAATTATTAATTAATTAGACGATTGTTCTATAACTGTGGTACTTATATTTCTCTAATCATTATGATGTGTATTTTTTTATTTATTTTAGTTTGTAGTATGTTAATTAATAAAAGAATTTTAATTTTAAATATGTTTATTATTTGTGAAGACATACCAAAGCACTGAGAGGTATTCAGATGTATTTACGTATATTAATTTATTTACAAAGTTTTCGAATATAATGCTACATTTAAAATACTGCATTGGGTATGGATGGTTTCAATTCTTAAACAGCCATGTTTTCGATCACGATTTTTAACACTTGCTACGTTGCAAATAATCACAAAACAATCACTAATAAGAAAATTGACTGTAACAACTTCAATGGACGGAGCGCATTCGCTGATATTGTATTGTTCACAATCACATTGTATGGAAGCATTTATTAGGTATTTTATTTTAAATGATTACTGTATAAGAGTAATGTTAAGATTCGGATTTATTATTTAAAAGAAAGAGTCATAATAATACCAATCATGTCATAATAGAATATTGGTTTGTTTTAGATGGTATAAAGCGAATTGTAAGTACTGTATAGTTCATTTAAATAATATTAACTCCTACAACAACAAGATTTTATGTTTTCTGCATTATGTCTAAAACTTTGGCAGTGAATAGGTACTTGAACTAATTGAAGTAGAAATTATCAGTCTATTAATAGGTCTGTTATTGTCACGCGGATTTATCTGAAGTGGGTCGATGAAATAAAATATGTTGCACCTAAACAGACTTAGAATTTTAGATTAAGTATAGAGTACTTATTCTAAAATTGTATCTTTATGTAATTAATTGCAACAAATTGATTTCTTTGCGTTCCATTTAGTTGTAAATACAGACAAGTATAGCATATAACGAGATCTAGCTTTCCTAATGAAATATCGTAACAATAACATGGTGTAACAGATTATAACAATTAATAACTAAGTAATTATAATACATAATACAGTCTTAGTATAGTAATAATGTACAAAAATTATGATAACGTGATTGACAACACTAATTAGCACTTATAATGTATGATATAATATTTGCCGACTGACATACTTGACATTGGTTAACCTATTCATTATTATAAAAAGTTGTATCTATTTAATCTAATTCTAATACATAGGCATAATTAATAATATTTTAACAACGTATGCGTCAATATCTAATCGTTGTTCGTAAGTACAACGTTCGTCACAATTAATTTTATTGTAGGCCTAAACCTTAATAAGTGGCAAATTACCACTACAATGTTGCCTTTGGCTAAATGATTATAATTACAAAGAAGTTATTGCACTCAAATATACATAACATGTCTCTTTGGAGGTCAGGGTCAATTTATTCCCTTTTGCTGTCACCTCGGAAATTACCAAGAGGTTCCACAGATCTTGACCTAGGTGCTCTGAAAAAGAAATGTGTTCTTTATAATTTTGTATTAATTATTTATTTAAATATAAATTATATGGAAGTTATTTAATTACTAACCTTCTTCTTGAAAGCGTCAATTCTATTTTTCCTTCTTTAACTTGTTTGAAAAGCGATATGGCCCCCGCATGGCTCAGTCCACGTGTTGGCACATTGTTCACTGACAAGATTTCGTCACCTGAAATAACACAGTAATATTATTTACAAATTAATTTTGTAAGTATTTTTATTAAAAACATGTTAGTAAAATTATAATGTACCTTCAAAAATAGTACCCTTGTCTGCTGCTTGACCATTTGGAAAGACGGTCTTAACAAATATTCCCATTTTTCCTTTAGGTGAATCTGTTCCTCCGACAATACTGAACCCAAGACTTTTATGGCCAGGCCCTTTCCAAAATTCGGCTTTATTTAGTAAATTATGTGAATAGTGGCCTCCATGTTGGTTTTCATTGTTTTGTGCGTTGTATTCCTGTTGTCGAGATACATGCGAACTATGAATGGGGGAGCACCTTTGCGAACCAACACGGCTGAAAAATCTGCTTCGACTGCTGTTTCTTACTTGTTCTGGAATACTCTCAAATGATCGATTTTGATATAATCTTGGGACATGTTTAATATAATGAGGAGAATTTTCTTTGATTTCGTTAGTCGTATTATCGTTAGAAAATTGTTCAATCGGAAGAGGTCTGGAGTTATGAAGTGAGATAGGTCTGTAATTATTATTAGCGTGTAAATTTCTAGGTCCTGGTGAAGGACGCGTTGATATTTCGATATTTGTAATATTTTGCAAAGAAGCTGAAGCGGATGACTGAGTATATGAATGTCTCTCCAATAGCTTTTCGTCGTCGCTTTTCTGGTTCGACCGTAAGAGATCATTATTGACTTGAATTCCAAAATCATTCTTATTGAAAGACTCAGTTCTACTGAGATTTGTGTTATACGTTTCCTTTTCTTTTGGTAGACTACTTGTGTTATTTGTGCTATAGTTCTGATTGTCACTAGGAAAATGAGTTTCGATCGTAATTTGATTAGATGATGAAGGTTTATGAACAGTTTGTGATATAATATCAGGAGGAACACTAGTTGTTGAAGGTATAATGTGATTCTGTTCAAAAGTCTGATTAGTTATTATTCGACTCAAAGTGATAGGAGTGATCTCATCATGGGCCATTACTAAATCAACTTGATACCTTTGAAATAATTCTCCGTCTTCAACTGTAGCTTCAGTTGAACAAGAGTTAACAATATGTTGAACTTCTTTTAGAGAAGACAAACCCCTCAATACTCTTCCATTAACATTTACTATTTCATCGCCAATTCGTAATCTACCATCTCTATGAGCTATACCGTCAAAATCTAATTTTACCACAATATATCGAATTTCATAATTGGAACCTGTGTTGTCAAAATCAACTCTATGCTGTGCTAGATATACACCTAAACTTTCATCCAGATTTGATTTTAATAATCTTATTTTTCTAAATCGTTTTGTGCATGGACCACGGCCGAATATATCTATTTCCGTATTTGGTTGCATTTGAGATTTATTTTCTGTTAAAAATTCTTTATTAATATCTGGGTTTGATAAATGTTGTACATTAAGAATTTGTGAATGTAAAAGTTTTATTTTTCTTGTTTGCACACGTTCATCTAATGTAATAGTTTTATAAATGTAAGGACTTTTTTTATTAACTGTTTTCTTTGGAAGTGGCGGTGGTTTACTATCATTATGATCGAATACTTGTGAATTTATTGAAATGTTAGGATAATTGGTATCTCTATTTGTATTTTCATATTCATGCGCCGATCCTTTTTCTATGGGAAATAAGGCACATGGTGTCGAACTCCTTCGAGCAGGAATCTGAACTCGACTCACATTAATTTTATGGTTCAGACTTAGTTGCCTTGAAAAAGTACTGTGATTATTTTCACTGTGCGCATCAATAGCCTCCGTTTTAATAGAATTAGAAGATAGGTGACACGAATAACCCGGTGGAGAATGATTACTATGTTCATCTGTTGGACGGCCATCGCTATCATATCCTGATTCATTTGAACTAACATAGTTGCTCAAACGATGAGCTTGAAGAACTTCAGTAGTTTCAGGGATATGATGTATGCTCTGAGCAGAAGAGGTTAGTTCCGTTTTTAAATCTCTTACGGATCCAATGACTGAGCTATATTCATAAACGGGTAAACTGTTTCTATTTCTAGGTATTAACATAGGGTCGTAATCAAAAGGAGTTCGTTGAGAAATCATAGACGACCTTCGTGGTACATCATCGATTCGCCGCATAAGATACAAACTACTATCAATTTCGTTGATACTTCTAATAGAGCTTCTCGAAAAATCGTAGTCATTTCTTAAAGCAGAATTACGAAGGATATTATCTTCATGAATAGATATACTATCGTTGCTTTGGTACCGTTCTTCCGATCGAGAGTTACTGAGATATAATCGTTCTCTTCGTAACTTTGGTGATCTTCTATCAATTCTTTCAGAGAAACTTTGTCTCATACAACTAGTTCTTTGTTGTGATGACATACTGTTTTCTTCTGGTAATACTGATAACTTAGATCTTAAGAAGGCATAGGGAAAATTAGGTTTTTTACTTGCGCTATTGTTAACTTGCCCTTCCAAATTTGGAATATTGTCACAACTAACGGCCTTAGTTGATGACGATACTAACGATTCATCTGAAATTACATTAAGTTTTGTAGGCGATTTTTTGTTCTCATTCATAGCATTTTGCAAATCAATATCATCTGAGGGATCGTCAGCTTTTACATAAGTAGATAAATGGGACGTGGAACAGCTTCTATAAAGAGAGGGGCCATTTGCTACTGGATAATTTTCGTTAGTTTTTTGAGTATTTAGAGATTGAGACTTTGATGAATTTAACATTCCCGTTGAACCCATCCGATGGAAAAATGACTTAAAAGGACTCGGTGATCTATCTCTCGAATTGCTTTTAATAGAATCCGTGTCATTGTCTTTTTTTAATGACGTAGAATCAGAACTACTGCGTCCCATTTTCCAGTGCTGTTTTTTCTTATATTGTCCCATAACGACTACCGAAGAGCCTTCATTGATGTTTTCATTAGATGGTATTTCTTCTGGCATTTTTGTGTCTGGTTTTTTTAGCATATCTAATTTTTTCCCCATCCGACGACCCCACGTTGCAAACACTGAAATAATTGATATTTTAATATTATTATTTTAAATATAAGATAAATTACGTAAATTACTTTTTCAATATTATCATATATTTGTATAAAAAACCAAGTATAACAAATATTATAATAACTAAAAGATGCTGTAGTGTATGTACCTTTCTTCATCTCCCTAACGTCGTCTTCCATGACCATGGCTGGGAGAGCAGTGACTACCGTGAAGTCTTGTTGTGGAGCATGCGTTGCGCCGGCAGCGGCGGTGGCGTCTCTGCCTAGAGACGGCGTTGCTACGGCTCGCGGCGCGGTCACTTCCCTGCGCTTCGGCCCGCGGAAGAGGCGCATGATGACCGGTTACGCATCCATCGCACCACACCGCACGCGCCGTCTGCTCTAAAATACAGTAAAATAACGTTCAAATACAGGCACAGTTTTGTTACTATTATCCATCATTATTTATAATTATTAAAAATAATTTTTACTACATTAACGCATTTTTTAAATTTTACAAGATTTTACTATAAGAGATATATATAGTTCTCAATAACACTCTGATATGCATATTGTCATTTTTGAAGATTAAGGTGTAAAGTTTTATAAAAAAAAAACTTTATTAGATAAATAGATTGATGATATATTTTTTAAATTTATTTTAAACTTCAAATGTATAGTTTTTTTTTTTGTTTTGCAATACCTCGATTAAGTAGGACGTAACATAGTTTCTTAATGAATACTAAGTATTACTACTGGACTGGAACTCGTTGTGTTGCAGCAGTGTAATTATGAATGTGTCATTGCACGCCAATTTACAAGGGAATTTCTAACGTGTAAGTCCTTGTAAATTATGCACACATACAAACTCTAATGTTACCTATACTTGTTTGTTAAATACTGTACTACCTGTAGTGGATTACCATCAATTTAAGACCTTCAATATCATGAGGTCTTGAGTTTAATTTATTGTTCGCATATTATTTATTATATTTTATTGCTAATATAATATGAATTATAAAAAGAACTCCAAGAAATAGACAAAAAATTGACATAAGGGAAATACTATATCAAAGTTTATATTTTTTTATATGATGTAAGAATAATGATTTATATATTAGAGTAAAAATATAATATATAAAAAAAAATCGGCGCATCGAAAGAATAGGTCGACTCGAAATTAATAGACAATGAAGAAATTCGAGTCTTGTTCGTTCTTTCTGTATTTAATCTTTTATATAATACGAGTATTTGCTGTATAATATTAGAATTTTTTATTTGTTCTCTCATTAAAGGTATTCGTACGAAAAATGGATAGGTAGGGTTCTATATCCAGCCTTCATTGTTTATAATATTAAGTGATTAATTACGTATTCGTCTTCCATTCTTCCATCTTAGTTTATGTAGAATCGTCCAATAATATCCTGGTCTTAATACTATAACGATGAGGCTTAGATGTAGCATAATACTTAAGTTGTGCCTTCTCTTCACTAACGAAGCAATTTGAGTGACTCATCATTAATAGGTTTCAATAGCAGTGCCTGGACAGGATCGCCGGAAATCCATGTTGCTCGAGACTTCACTGCTATCTAATAACTGAACCTGACTTCAACCAGTTCTGGCTCATATTCTACATCCACAGGTTTATTTTTCACTTAAACGGAGACGACAGCACGTAATAGCTGTAAAGGTATCTTTAGAAGACGTTCAATCTAATTTTAATAACTGTCCGTTAAAGGAAATGTTAATGGATTAAACACGGCTTATCTCATTGCTAATAACAGGTAACAGAGTTTATTTAACTGCTGCTTATGAAAAGTTTCGAACATACAGGACTTATTATTGTCTTTAATACAAATTGTGTCAATGAATTTTGGTAATGAAACAACTTAATAAACTAGAAGTTTCTGAACCTTTATAAGGTGATGATATTTATCTGCACAGGACATTGTAAGAGATGACTAAGTAACCAAGATATATATTTCGGAAGGAAATCTCGAAATAAAACCCTATAACAAGCCAGCTGATCAACATCATCTTTTATATATTTTCACGCTTCCTTGCAATGTAATTATTATAGTTAGCTAAAATCCCCTTTTTATTGGAAGAAACGTATTCGGCTGTGGAAGTTTAATGGGTTGTAATTATAAGGTTCTATGGTTGTAATGTAATGGTTGGTAATCCATAAAGATACGAGTGTATGCTTCATTTAATAATATGCCTAAACTATGATCAAAAATGGTTTAGAAAGCAACAACATTTTATTTACACACGGAAAACTATGAAACCATAAAAAATCATTTCTTTAATGTTAAGAAATGGTGATTTACGAGTTTTTGTTAATTTGAATGAAAAATATTTATTATCAATTAGTTACTTGGTAAATTCATTACGAGTAAAGAATTCATAATTAATTTACCAAGTAAAAAAAAAAATTTAGTTTTTACATTATACATGTACAATAGAAGATTACAACAATATTTCTAAATTTCTAGTTGTGATAGAGTAGGTTTTAGTGTCCGGTATTGTTATTGTAATTTCTCTAATAAATCCGCGGATAACTGAAGTTATCACGTACGTTTTCCGCTCTGCTTCTTTAGTCGGATGAGGTATTGCAGTCATGTTTTCATTTTAGAAGTGCAAAAAAAAAAGACCGTGCTGACTATACTGGATATTCTAAGCACCTCTCATTACGAGTGTGTGAGGAAGTGGCACTTCCGGACCGGACGTGGGCCACACTTAACGATTATCGAACAGCGCAGTACGTAACATTTTGAATTGGACGCACCTGCTAGCTGCCAAATTGTGAATGGCCGTCATAATCTTAGTAAGTTTGGAGAACATGTTTAAAACTATTACTAACAGTCGAATTTATCGAGCCTATAAAAATTGCAATTGGAAATAATTACTGAAAGATATAGTACAATTGTGCTTAAACATCTTGTTATGAGTGAATAAACAAGAAAGATACGCGAATGAATCATATCCTTGATTAACAAATAAGATGCCTGTAGTAATCTATAGAATGAATATTTAAAGATAAAATTAAATACAGTTGCTATAAAACATCTTACCTTAACACGAAATGTAACGATCAAATATGGGTATTAAAACATACAACCACTTTTAATTATCACGATGGAAAAAAGTTTATTATGATAGCGCCGATAACACACTCGTAATACCGTTGCATTCATTAGGCACTAGACAATTTCGATTTCTAAGTTCTCGTAAAATGTATATATGTGAATGTAAAATATACTGTAATCGATAGCAACTACATCAAAGTGGTAATTTTATGCACTAATACCATTTGTGGTCAAGTTGCATTCTAAATCTATTGACACAAAAAGATATTGAAATAATTTTCTTTTTTACATAGTAAAGTATTCCGCGTAACTATAAAACTTGTTCAGTCAAATACTTTAATACGAATGAATATATTTGAATGAATTTGTTACATAGTGACATTGGTATATATATACATATGACCTATATACATACACGTAATTAATGAGGGTAAAAGTGCGAAATAAGCCTTTAAAAATTTTATTTAATTATATTTTAAATAGTTATTTATAGAGGTCAATTTCAATTTAAGTAATACTCTATTTCAGGCAATTGGTTTAAATAAGCAGAGTGGAAGGACTATAATTTTTATATTTTTAAAAATTGATTTTCATATTCGCTTCTACCTATACAAATCTTATCTGTACGTCTCAATCAAATATACTTATGTTTATATTCTTACATTCATGTCCTAAATCATTAACAGAGTCAATTAGTAAAATTAAAGGAGAATTATTAAGAATTATAAGCATTTATAGCCCGAGATACACGACAAATCTTCAGCAGTGTCGGGCTAATACCTGAGCTGTCTAGATTACCACCCATTTAAGATTCCTAAAGACATACAAATGTCATTCTCGTGCCTGATTTGTTTACGTACTTACTTTGTAATTACGTTTTTCTTAATAGCTCTAATCCTAAGACATGAAGGTATGTAGGCGCATTGTACGTACAGTATAGCCTACTTTGTAAATTCCTGCGGTATAAGTAACAATTTTAATACAGATGGAAAGATATAATCGATTATTTCTTTTTTTCTAATGATATTTAATATAATTCTATTATATGCATTGATTTTTTTTGTCATAATTTTCTTTATTCTCTCATTTTATACTTTGGATTTATATATATGAAAGTTTTGGTAGATGAAAACATACATATGTACATTCATATCTGTCACGCCTGTCTCCCATTAGAGTAGGCGATACGAAGATAGATATACTATAAAATTATATTATATTGTAGGTAATGGATAATTTTATATCCTATTTAGTAAACAAGAATTTTATTATAGGAGATAAAATTATTGATGATTTGACTTAACGATCAATCATTGATGCTGTCTCAAGCCATATTAAATGTAGAGACAAAAATGATTTATGGGACTCTACATGGTCTAATCGTAAGAGATCGATGTAGAATTGAGTTATTTGTATTTTTTTTTATCAGCGATTCAATAAATAAACTCAAATTATTTTATTATCAGAGCCTCAGATGGAGCGACGTATGGTTATCATACTTGACATACGATATATTTAATGTAGAACTTAAATAATATATATTATAGAAGCAAAAAAACATGAATATAGTTTTTATATTAAATTATTTTGTTAAGTAGCTTTTGTTGTTGTACAAATATTCGCTTATATTTGTATGTATGCAACGCTATGTTTGACGGGCAATGACATCGTACGCGATCAAGTGGCAGGTGCGTCGTTAATAGTAATACCCAGAACATTAAGAACACTAAATACGAGGTGAGGCGCGCACCAGAAGTCATGGCAATATAGCATGCTTGTCCGAACAGTGGGCAACCTCAGTCGTATTACACTTGCGCATTACTCTAACTTCATTAGTTCTTAGTATCCGTAAGATAGATGACGGCTATCTTTTTAAATGACTGCTCTCTTAGGACGATTTATAAGTTCTTGTTTATAAATATGAGCATTATTTATCATTAGGTATTACTTATAATGCTATTTCTAATGAAAATTGTATGGGAGGGTACTAAGAATATTTATAATAATATGTTAAAATTGTTGTGTTGTTTACTTGGTTTTCGAACTTACATCATACGTTCATCTAGCGTTTATTTGTCTATAACTTAAAAAAAAAAGAAATTAAAAAAATTGCGTATAGGCAGATGCTTAGGTAGGTATAGATACAGATAAAAGATAATGTACAGATTATATCGCTTGTGGTTTATAAGATTGTTATGAAAACATAGGAGAGAGAATCTTAATATATGTACGTATTTGCAGAAGTCAATTTAGATTACGAAGTTAAATTTATGGCAGGGATTTGGCCGTTAATCGATTTGCGAATTGGGTAAATATTCGCCTAAAGTATTGTTGGCACTGTGGGTGTGGTAATATTATCATTGTAGTACGTTGAACTGTGTAGGTGTCATGGTAATCGGAACTGTTAGCGAGCGTATCATTAAATTCTATTATATTGTATATTTTATTTATTTATTTATCAGCACACAAAAAAAAATTACAATCAATACGTTCGATTCCATCATTATTTTAGCCATTAACTGTTCACTACTGAATATGAGCCTTTTCCATAGTAAAGTTTTGACAGTAATTGCCGTGCTTGGCGGGCGGATTAGTAACCGCAGTTAGGCTTTCAGAGATGTTTTAAGAGCTGCTGCCCATCCCTCTACCCTTATGTTCCTTTACTTGCCTCTTATAATACCCACAGGAAAGAAGGGGGTAACCTATTCTATGCCAGGACCACATGGCCAGATTAGGCAGCAGGTACTATCCTTAATCTATGGCTCACAACCTGCTACATAGGATTATTATACTCGAATATTCGGTAAAATATGGGCATGTTGAATATTATGTTCTTCACAACGGTAATAGTCGACAGATGCCTGTAATTTTCTAATTTTTAGGGATTAAATTCGTAAGCATATTTATTTTTATTTACACTGTAACTCGTACATTTTAAATTTTAGTTTTTCTTAAATAATTCGTAACGGTTGTGGCTATTGTGTACTTTGACTTTATCGGATGTAGGTAGGAATATTTTTATTCTTGTTTATATAATAAAAAAGTATGTGTGAATGTTTATTATTTTAAATAAACAGTTTAATAAAGTGTCAAATAACAAGAAGTTATCCAAAACATCGCCTGTAAGCTGTGAGTTTTATTTTGGTCGGATTGAGTGACTAATCATAAGATTCTATGGGAATTTTAGCCAGGATGAAGAAGCTTACCTTCTAATCGAATAACTTCAATAACGATGAGCTCTAAATGTATCTTTGAATGCAATGCGGGTGTAAACAGAGTTAAATACAGCACGATGACTCACCTCATACCAGTGCACATGGAGTAGACGGTCCTGCAGCGGCGGAGGCGCTAGCGATGCGACGCTCGACTGAAATAACACATATTCATATAAATACAAGGTTTAATGTTACATTCAACGTGGTCATAAGTAAATATTTAAAAAATAAAACGTCAGTACCTCTCTCACTATAGTAATTACTTGAATAAGTAACAAGCACGAGAATTAAAAAATTATGTTATATACGTACTTTCTTGTCACTCTTAATTATTGTATAGGTAATTTATATCAATTTATATTATACACAAGTGCGATTTATTATTTATGTATCATATATTTATTACTGATTGTCAACGTGTAGGGTAGAGTATCTACAAAACAGATTAATATATATTTGAAAGGATATTGGCATATGACTTAATAGAGCTTTACATGGCAATGTGTCGATGACACAATAATATACCTGTATTAGCTGTTTCCCGCATTTTTACCCGCATGAATCAATATATGTGTATATGTTATGTATAAAGTATCGTATGTTAAGTTGGGATATACCCAACCCGTATATCAAATATAATTCAAATGTGTTTAGTCGTTTAAACGTGATAGTAATAAATATACAAACATATTTACAAATTTTCACATTTATAATATTAGTAGTATATTCATAATATGTGTATATTTATGTAAACCGCAGCTATGAGGACAATCAGATGTACTTGTTTTTTTGAGAACCTCATTAAACATTTATAGGGACTTACTTATAGTTCAATTATAAATATCCATGATTATCAGTAGAAAAACTTATAATATCATAATGCTAGTGGCGTCTATGGATCGGAAACATAAAAATTCCATCACGTAGAGAGAATGTTTTATCGTCATCTATAGCAGGACAATAGGGCGGCGTTGAAAGAGAGCCTAATGGAACCTATAGTGGTCGACTCTCCGCTTACCATGACATGCAAATAGGACATAATACTCAGTTGTAAAAAATGTTTTATTGTTGGCGGAATTCTGATGACTTTTACTATTGTAATTATTTACCTTGATACTATCATATCATAATGACAACGTTTTTGAATATAAATCAATATAATGTCACATATGTCCATATATCATCAGTTTTTCCATCTTTTTGTATTATTTTCAACAAAATAGTATTTTATTTTTTTATCTATTGTATTGTAAAAATTAATTAAATATCGATATTTTTACCGAAATTTTAGTAAGCAGTAACATTTTTTTTTCTTTACAATTTTTTTTTTCTTTCTTTTTTTCTTTCTACTTTAGATTGTTACTTATTCAAAATATTAGTTTTTGTGTTTTTTGTTTATATATGAATTTTTTTTGCATTAGGCAACCGAGTACTGGTGCGGTAAATGATTTTCAGCTTAAATGAACACAAGCTTGAGCTCAGTAATTTCCTATCTCCCCCTAAATTGTTGATAACTCTATATTACCCCGCTCGATGAAATTTATCGCTTGACTTTGCTTTTTTATAAGTTTCTGCCTCGTGTTCTAATAGCGACTAATCTTGAGAGGGGCGTTTGTTAGCCTGCACACGACAGGTACTTCACGGTGTCTACTCGATCGTAACTAACAGCCATTTGAGTCAAAAACGCGAGCCATTTAGGAAGAGTGTGCCGAACATTGCCATAATTTCATGAAATGTAATCATAGAGAAACATTAAAACTATTTTATTTTTGAAATACATATTTGATTTTTTTTTATATTTTTAATATAATTTGCATATTTTTTTATTAATAACAGGCATGTGTTACAACCAGCAAAATTAATTGTTTTACACATTTTTATAATCATAATTAACAACCATCGTAATGTAAATAATGGGAAAAAAATAATTACTTTTTATACAAAACATTAAACGTACCATTGTTACAAGTAGGTACTATTTGAATTTAAGTGCCTCTTAATTATATTTTTTGCGTAATACTATTATTATATTTGTATGTATATTTTTAAAAAGGATACTAATTATAAATGTTCTATATAGGACCTATACTTGGAAGACATTCTCGTTCTTTTGCGTGCCCTGTCTTTTTTATAAAAGACTGTTTTAACGTATCTATTGTATACCTAACATAACATAACATAGTAGCTGGGGATTCTCGTTCAAAAATGGTAATTACACAAAACTATCAACAAAAGTAAGAAGAATTAATACCTGGAAATAGTTTCAATCCGTGTCATAAAATGTTAGATAGATTTGTTATATTAGTTACCAGCGGCCCGCCCCAGCTTCGAGCGGGTGGACATTTTTACAACATTGTATACTTTTTAACACAATATCTATAACGATAATAGTTGGACATATAGTATCACGAAGTTTTTATGTAGTTATTGATATTTTCTTCAATATTGTAGAACGTACTTTTTTTCTATCACCAATACTTTCCGCTGCGCACGCGACGAAAGATATTTTATAGCATTTTTTTACACTTTGAGTTACGTTACTAAAGTTTTAGTAAGGATCCTTAATCTTTTCTAGCAATGAATATAGCCTGTGTTACTCAGGGTGAATGTAGCTTTCTAATGGTAAAATAATTTTTGAAATCGGCAAAGTAGTTTTTGAGTTTATTTATTACAAACATACATACACACAAAAATACAAATCTTTTCTCTTTATAACATTAGTGTAGATAATGAGTACATAAGTTTCCAAACAGTAATTTATTACGTTTTTATAAGAAATGCTTTACTCAACATTATAGACGCATTATTTTGTACAATAGACTTTTCAAAATTATAACTAGACAATAAAAGGTTAAACAGTTTTGCAATAAACTTAGTTTACCTACCTATAAGAAATAAGCAACAGATTACTTAGCATTTGGATGTGTTCCAATAAAATATTACGTAAACTATGCAGTGATTAATGATATTATTCATTTTGTTTATAGAAATACTTATATAACATATTTATTATACTAGAATCCTTAATTTTTTTATATAAGACATATATATATATATATATATATATATATATATATATATATATATATATATATATATATATATATATATACCATATTTTGAGAGTTGTTTTTCTATTGTATTTCTATTTTTAAATACTTTTTGTTTCCATTTGAAGTTTAGAAAATACAGTTTGACTGCCATATTCTCGTTCGTGCGTTATATCTCAATAACCTGTAGGTTATTAAGATGTAACGCCTTGGTTCTTAGGGATGGTAAGTAAGTTTGTATTCTTTGATTTTTATGTCTATTAGACATAGAATTTATTGTTTTCGTTAACATTTAATTCGATATCACTTAGCAAAATTATTATTTTTATTCACAGTATAATCACCATTCACAAATCACAAATGTGATTTTCGCTCGCAATGATTTATGATTAATTATAATTATATGATAAGAGCGAGTAAATTGTTACTTTAACACCATGTGATAATGTTTGTATTCACTCAGTCGGCAATCTGATGCGATTTTACTTCACAGCTAACCGACTACAAACGATGGGTCACGAATAAATCTGAACGCAGCGATTACCTGCGATTTTTATTAAGAATGATTTGTAGCACTCTTTGTAAAGCGACACAGCTGGAGTAACGTAAGATTTAGCGTAATATATGAATTTTTACATCTAACTTGTGAAATATTCCAAGCTATAATTAACGATCAAGTAACGGTTATTATTTATAATCAGATAGGCTGTAGTTTTGTAAATAATAAAATGTTAGTTATATTAAAAATCATATTAAATTGTTGTTTGAGTAATGTAGCAGCTTTAACTATTATTGAAATTTAATGTATATTTATATTCATTATCATCTCAGTATTTCACAATAATCAAAGAAACGTCGGAAGACGTCGGAGTAACGAGGCGTTCAATAAACTGCGAACTGGACAGGACCGCTCTAACATTGTAAACTAACCAAAGTTTCTGGATAATATTATTTTAGTAATACTCATCGAGTTGTGTACCATTCAATATTTGCATATCATTAACGCGGCACTGTTAATTACAGGAGCCAGTGTATGCGCATGTTTTAGAATTTCGCGTTTGGTATGTTTGAGAATACAAAGTACCTAAGTTTTGTTATTAAAAATTCAATTATATATTTCTTATGCATATTATATTCCTAGCTATTAATAAAAATTAAGATTATATAAAAAAGTAACAATGACCTTATTTATAGATATGTACATATTAATAACATCTCAATTTGAATGATAGAACTTTTGTTCTTTTAATTAAATATTTGAATTTGGCGTAAAGTTCCACTTTTATATAAAAAATTATATAATTTGAAGCAATAAATTACAAATATTATATTAATAATTCAGTATCACTAAAGATGGACTACATTAAATTATCTAATGCATATTTCGTATTCTATTTTCATATACAGTATAGGGGATTGTTATGAGAATCATCAGAATAATTATTTACGTCTGGCCACATTGATGTCAACTTCTAATTAGCGGACCGCAAATTAGTTGTTATCTTGTTGTCTTCAAATTGATCTCGTAGTTACAGCTGCATATGGAATATCGTCATTCATATTTTAGTACGATAATTACAATACTTTTTTAATTTTATTTTTATACCACAAGAAAGGTGGCAAACAAGGCCGTTTGATGGTAAACGGTCACTGTAGTTCATGCCTGCAACACTAGGGGTGTCATGTGTGTTGTCCCTGAAGAAATCTAAATATCTTTTTTGAAGAACCCGAATTTTGATGGTATTTAAAAACTTTAAAAGTATTTACATTGTAATATATTATATGTTCAGCTAGTTTTATGAATATCACTGTAACGTTATTGAAAGTCAGATTGCACGTTTGTTTAGTATAATTTAATATCATAATCATTTAGTAATATTCATTTCTTAAAAATTGGCAGATAATGTAGATGATGTTAGATATTGCTTAGAATGCTCACAGTAGCATTTAATTATTTGGCAGACAAATATTATATAGTGAGGGGATCTATGACCAATGCGTGGATAGCCACTACTTATTACTAGGTCATGCAACCAGATTATCCATAATTAATTCAGTTATCGTTATTATATTTATAATTAAGTGAGCGTAGTGACCTACTT